TAAATGTATATATTATATGTGTGTGTGTCTATATCTACATCTGTATCTATATATGTCTTTGGATACACATACACACACACACAAAGCCATTTTCTCCACCCTTTGCAATTTGTCAAGCTGAAAGAAATTCGCTTGTGTGTTTGTGTGTGAATTTCCAGCTCCCACAAGCACAAGGGATAACTTTGCATATGCTTCTGGCTCCTGGACCTGGAAACACACTCTGCACATGCCCCAGAGTCAGGGGTGTGTGGGGTTGGAGCAGAAGTGGGGATAAAAGTGCCTCCTGTTCCCCGGCTTTAGGAGGAAGGAGGGACCGGACTGGCCCCTATTTCCCTGGCTTTGAACCACCACCACCCCCCCAAACCCCAGAACAGCCTCCCCTCCTGTAGGCAAGCCAGTGCACACTCACTTCACTCCTGTCCGTTTCCATCCATCCATCCATCTCTCTCGCTCCTTCCTGCCTTATTCAGCTCCCAGGCCGAAACAGCCATCCACAAGCTGAAGATACAAAAGCCGGACATTTTGAAGTTTTTTAGTTTTGCCTGCCGGACAGAGGACATGATCCTGAAAAGTAGGACATGTCCCCCTTTTGCCAGAGGTCTGGCAACCCTAGTCAGAAGGCAGTAGTTCCAGCCTTCCATGAGGACTAGATTTCTACCAGATGACCTTCAAGATGCCTCTCAATTTTGTATGGTCTTGGAGTTAAATTCTGGAAAATGTCTCATCGACTACAGTAGCAAGTGACAACCCTGCCCATAAAAAAGTCAGAAACGTCCCATAAGGAAATGGGAGTATTTCTGCTTCTCTATCAAACTGTTGAAAAAATAAGCTTAGGAACTTTTGAAAACATTACATGGTGAGCTGCCAAGGACATCTCAATATCCATTATCTCAGTCCACTTGTTCATTCTCTCCCTTGTGTGAGGATGATCTTCCATTTTCTAGTCCCTCGTCTCAGATTTTTCTCATAAAGATTTATCTGTCCTACGCTTCACTTGTCATGGAAAAATTATGAATAATCTAAGGAGTATTCATAACTCATGATTTCCTTCCTGCAAAGCCATGGGAACAGGCTAAGTTCATGTTGGAAACATCAGCAAAATGAAAACTAACTTTAGATTTTAAGTCTTCAGTGACTTCCTGCATAGCATTTCTTCAAAACAGCTAAGCAGAAATGCAGGCACGCGATAAGAAGATTGAAGCACACTGCAATGAATGGCCTACTTTGCTTAAGATATTAGTGGTTTAGTAAAAAATAAGTCAAGACTGCCATTTGATCTGGTCAAAGAAAGTGATTCCCCTCCCGCTTTAAGGACAGAAAGATGGATGGCAAATCAAGTCACACCACAATTTCTTCTAGCAAGAGATCTTCTCCCCTATGGCTTTCAAAAAACATCTATTCCTCTAGGCAGTGAATTCCTATTCTAGCACAATTTACAACCAATGGCAGTGTTAACTACTCTGTGACAGAATTCGCAAACATCACCCATGATGCCTTAAGAACAGCCCATTTTGTCTTCAAAATGACTTCATGACAAGCATGAAACATAATTTTCAGCTTAGAGATGTGCAGAAAGCTCCTCCAGCATTCACCCAGGTCATGATTATTCATATACTATTTGCCTAGACCAATGGGAGTGCTGGAGGGGTGGAGTCATGAGGTATAAGAGACTCAGCAGGAGGATGAGGATGAGGAGTACAGATAGACACAGATAGGGTTTTCAGATGGAGAATTAAGAGAGTTAGAAAGTTGAGGGAGAGTTTTGTGACACAGATAGGGTTTTCAGATGGAGAATTAGAGAGTTAGAAAGCTGAGAGTTTTGTGGTTTGGGCGGGAGAAGTGTTTGAGGGTGGATGAAGAATGTTTAAGAATTAACAACATTGCTTGTTTTGTCAACACATGTATCAATAAAAAAATTCTATTTGGTTCTTTTAAAATGACACATGGTCTGGACATATATTAATAAGCAATGGTGCGGCTAAAAAAAAATATTGTAAATAAAATAAATAAATAATAGGTACTGTTGATGAAATCAACTGGTGGCAGCTGAGGGGCACGTGGCGTGAGCGCTTGGGTTGGTGAAATGATCAGGGGCCATGTGGAGTCGTGACAGCTCCTTTTAGGGTGAAAAGTTTGGGCAAGTTTTGGAAACCTAACTCGTTTGTTTATTGTTCTTAAGCTACCAATCAACAGCTCTCTTTCCTTCCCACCACTAGGAGGGCTCAACGTTTTTGTCTCCAAGGCACTTTTGTGGGTAAGTTAGTTTTTTCTTGCTCAGTTAGTACCAATTTGACAGATGTTTTATATATATAGGTAAAGGTTCCCCTTGAAAATTTTTGTCCAGTCGTGTTCGACTCTAGGGGGCGGTGCTCATCCCCGTTTCCAAGCCATAGAGCCAGCGGTTTGTCCGAAGACAATCTTCCGTGGTCACATGGCCAGTGCGACTTAGACACGGAACGCTGTTACCTTCCCGCCGAGGTGGTCCCTATTTATCTACTTGCATTTGCATGCTTTCGAACCGCTAGGTTGGCGGGAGCTGGGACAAGCGACGGGAGCTCACTCCGTCGCGTGGATTCGATCTTATGACTGCTTGGTCATCTGACCCTGCAGCACAGGCTTCTGCGGTTTAGCCTGCAGCGCCACCACGTCCCTATAATCTTGGAACTGAAGAGCTGGAAGGGACCCTATGGATCATCAAGTCCAGCCCCTGTTGAGGAGGCCCAATGGGGAACCAAACTCCCAACCTTTGGCTCCACAGCCAGATGCCTAAACCACTGAGCTATCCAGCAGTTCTATGCTCACTTTTATCTATATAACTTGCTTATATTATAAGCAGGTTCCCCAAGAATCCCTTTTATATATGGCAAACATGGTGGTGGTAGGTGTCGCAGTCAAAGAAAGTAGCTATGATAAAAGGGAGTCGCAACTTGGAAAAAGTTTGGGAACCACTGTTCTAAACAAAGATCTATTCTACAAGTGTTCTATAACCAGGTGGTCGAAAGGACTGCACTACTTCAGACATAGATGAGTTTCAGATTTAAATGTTTCCCCATGTACGCAGCTCCAGGACATCTGGAGATGTACTGATGTTGGTTTAGTTTCTTTTAGCATATTAGGGAGCATTCAAAAACAATGATCCAACCTGCCATCTTAGGTCATACAAACCATTGTTGCCATCTGACTGCGCCTCATGCACTGAAGAATTTTTTGGAAGTTTGTTCTTGGGATGTTGTGGATTACAGGGAAATGCCCTTGTTGACAGTAAACCTTTACAGGCTTCACTCAACTAATACATCTCTACTAGTCAGTCAATGAGCATTATTAAGGAGTTTGTGTAGCCGTTGTGGAGGGAGAGAAAAATGTGCCCATTGCAAGGAAAAATCAAGAGAGACAGTGGATCAAACAACTCAAAAATCACTTCAGCACAAGCCCTCAGATGGTTTCATGTTGTCTAGTACAGTGGGGTCTTGACTTGAGAACTTAATCCGTATTGGAAGGCGGTTCTCAAGTCAAAAAGTTCTCAAGTCAAATCTGCATTTCCCATAGGAATGCATTGAAAACCATTTGAATCTGCATTTCCTTTTCCGTCCATAGAAACTAATGGGAAGCTGCTATTCCGCCTTCGACCACTAGAGGGGGATATTTTGTTTCTTTTTTTCTTAGGTCAAGAAAGGTTCAGGGAAGGCAGGGAAAATACAGTCCGGGCAGTACAGTACCAGGCAGTCCGAAGACTGTCTCCCAATCCACTCTCTAAACGCTGGGAGGAGTGAGGAAGCAGACAGGCACCCTTTTCACTGGCCAACAGTTAACTGAAAGTTCACATTTTGCACTTTCCCTGCCTCCCACGTGGTTTTTTTTCAGTTCTTAACTCAAATCTAAGTACTTAAGTCAATATTTTCCTATGAGAGCGGTTCTTAAGTCAAAATGTTCTTAACTCAAGCCGTTCTTAAGTCAAGACCCCACTGTACCAGATCTGCCAAACATTCAACCTCCTGTCAAACAATAGATCTATACAGGGGATAATCTTAACTCATTGTCTTTGAATTGCACATGAAAAAGCAACTCGTAGGAGTAAAGCTCATCCAGGATGATTGTGGAAAAAACAACAGCTTTAGAGTTATGTCACCATGGCCAGAAGCCAATTGGAGTGGCTAGCACCCCCTCCCCGTATGCAAGCCTACGCTTCCCTCCCATTTTGGGGAAGGGCACACACAAATTTAACCAAGAGATAGCCACAGGTTACTGTGAGTATTAAAACCCAATAACATCGCCCACCACAAAAGTGGAAGGTGCCAATATCAGAAAATTCATAGCATGGTCTAATTTCAAGAAAAAGTTTAGTTCCAAGTCAAGATACTAAGTGGAAAAATATATACAAAACCAATCTTCCAACTTATTGTAGGAGCTGGGCAGGAGCCAGACCTCATAGTTCTGAGACCTGGCAAATTGAGTTTCTCTTTTGCATCCATGTTTACAGACAGAAAGCATCCTGTGGAAAAGCTTCTTCGAGCAAATAATGCACTTGTGTAATCCTGCAATGATTATTTGATTGACTTCATTCCCATTCTTCCCCCTTTTTCCCCAGCCTTCCGAAATTAGCTGTCCAAGCATCCCAGTTTTCAATTCTCACATCTCCCAGAAAACACGCAGAGAGAGAGACAAATTGGCTGCTTTTCTGGACCAAAATTTGAAGTCCTTTGTAGATCAAGTCTTTTCAAATTTCTCAGGATGAATTTTTTTTTAATCAAGAATGCATTACTGGTATCTTTGCAAAACGTTTAAGGGTCCTTCCAGCATTACACAAAGGTTGAATGTTCTACAACTCTTCAGTCTCCACGTGGGAGTAGAGTTCACTGAGTTTTTCAAACTTTGGCCCCCATTCTCTTATATCTCCATACACTGTGTCTTCGTTCCATCCAGAGGAACCAAGGGAGCTTAGACTGCTAGCTTCTGAACATTCTCCTTCTGTATAAAACACTTGCAATGAATCACATGGTAAAGCATGGTGCTGCTGGTCCATACTTCTCACCACACCTGACAGGTAGCATTCAAAATCAGTACTTGAAAAGGAGGAGCCCCTTCCTGCCGAGAGAGGTTCCAGCTGTTCCTTTGGACTGACCCGGAACTCATTGTTCAAGGGACTGTGTGGCTCGGTCTGTTTCCCTTTCTTCTTGTAGAGAGAGTAAGCTGGGCTGGTTTGAAGGGATACCTGAAGCTCTGCCATGTTGTATGCATCCTGCAAGATGAAATTGATATGTTAAGGAGGCATCTGGAAAACCTTTAAGGCCTTCTAAGGAGAAAGTCGGGGTAAAAACAAACAGACAAACAAAACTTGCCATCAACATTGGTTTCATTCTCCAACCGTAGATGAAAACTGTCACAAACAGAGCCTGAAAATGTTACTTTTTGGAGTGCATCTTCCAGAATCCCCTAGCCAGCATGGCTAGTGGTAAAACTAGCAAGGAATCGTGCAAAGTGCAATCCTTTTGCTTTTTTGACCAGATAAACATATATTGATCCTCCACTCCTTTTGCCATATCTTCAGTTTTGGCTATCTTTCTGCATCAACCTAACCACGTGTTAAAGAGGTGACACCAACCTCTCTTATTTACCATGGTCTGTATTCTGTTTGCCCACTCCCCCTGTACAGCCAGGAGGAGTTTGGGCATTTTCTTAATTACCATCTGCTGGTCTCTAAAATATAGCTGCATTTTGACCTGTTTGTTTGTTTGTTTGTTTGTTTCTTGTATTTATACCCCACCTATCTAGTCATTTCGACCACTCTAGGCGGCTTACAACATAAAAACATAACAAGTTTAAGAGCGATTTATAACAATTAACTAATTAAATAATTCTGCAAGATGGGAAAAATACAAAATAAATCAAATAAAGAGAAAAAGTAACGAAGGTCAGGAATTAATTGGAGGGGAAGGCCTGCCTATTATTATAATTATGTCTGGCTTCAGAGTTTCATGGGGCCAAGGCATTGGGAGATAGGTAGTGAAGGCCATTTCATGCAATGGGCTTCAGCTGATAGCTAAGCTACCTGCTATGGAAGCTATGAGCAAAGTCTAGGTTAGGAATATGAAGCTGCCTTAGGTCATCGGCTGATCTTGGCCCATACAGCCACCTCCAACAAGGAGTGGCTCTCCAGGGCTTCAGGCAGGATTCTTCAGTAGATCGAAGAGGGGACAGAATTAGGGGTCATGTGCTACAACCCTGCTATGCCTTGTAGGTTTCCCTCCAAGTGGTAACCAAACCCAGACTTTAGTTTCCAAATTCAGGCGTGGTGTTGGGGCCAAATGGTGTCTGATCTGTTGTCTGTATGGAAACAATTTCTTTTTTTCAAAAGGCGATTCAAGGAAGGAACATTTCCAGGTTCTGCTCCTGAGCAGTTGCTGTTGAGCAGACCTCATTAGTGCAAATGGCTCTTGAACTGAGAAGAGTTTTCTGTCACTGCTCTGCCTTTCACCTGGGGCCTGGCTGCTGAATTGGGCCCCTGCCTCGCTTGCCGCTGCCAGGCAGCAAAAGGAGCAGTAGTTTTTCTTTCAATCACTGGGGCTCATTTTGCCAGTATAAGAAGGAGTGAGACATGGAGTGCCTGACATCCAAACAACGGAGATTTCTTCAAGACATGTGTGGGTAAACCTATTTCGTCCCTCCCAACAATTGAGAGAGGGAGCTAATCTTATTAACTACTAATAGGATTGCTATACTTAGCTCTCTGCGTGCCACCTTGATGATAAATACCCTAAGTGTTCAAAACGCGTTCATGGAAAATTCAGAGAACAAGTAGGAAATTCTTGGTGTTTAATTGGAGCTAGTATAGAGATTAGGTCTGTATATAGTTCCTTTAGTTCTTCTAACATTCGTGTTGCTAAACAGCAGGGCCAGCTTTCTCATTAGGCAGCATGAGGCCAAGGCAACAGTATGTTAGCGGCTCGTTTATTATGATTGAATTTTTACAATAAGGCAGTCGATTTGAGAGCCAGTGTGATGTAGCGGACAGCTCACTGGACTAAAACTCAGGAGACCCAGGTTCCAAAATCACACTTTGTCATGGAAACTCATGAACATCTCGTGTATCTCAAAAATCCTACCAGGCACCTAAGAACAATAGATTTTCTTGCTTCCAGACAATACCTGTTTTCTAGAAGAAAAGGCGTTTGTCTTCTGGATATGTGAAATGAGGGTTCCCGCTCCCACTTGACCAAATGCTGCCTGTCATCTACAGTTGTCACATTTTTAGTACATATATTAAGTCTGCAATTTCCTTCCAAATAAATTCTTTTGACCCTTCAGCACAGGCTGTTAGGCGAGCTTTGAAGACCCTCCTCTTTGCTGCTGCTTTTAACTGAGATTTCAGACAGATAAGGCTTCTCAAAATAATGCAAAAGGTTTTCTCCACAATTCTCTTTGATATTTATCGTATTATCATTCTTTTGTGTGTGTGTGTGTGTAGGCAACTTTGGGTCAAATTGCACATAGTAGGAAATGCTTATTTCTCACCATTATACATCGGTTTCCTCCAGGCATGTAGTTCCTTCAAAGCTCACCAGCTGAGCAATCAGACTTGGAAGTGAAATTCAAATTTTCCTCCCAATGGCAAAATGAAACTGTACAAATTTGTAATACGTGAGGTGAGGAATTTTCTTTCAAAAAGCAGTCCTTCAGTTATGAAGGAGAGAGTGCTTCTTCTAATGATACATTAACTGTATTGTCTTGTTTGACCCTTTGAGAGAATGCAGGTCTGAACTAATTATTTTTGATGTTCTAAACCTTCTCTTTCATTATCTATTTACTTATTTATTAAATGTACACAAAACGTTCTGTCAAAAATGGCACTCAGGAAGGATCATTAGTGGCCACCTTTCACATAAAGGTTAGTTGTGCTGAGTGTTTATAGACACCTCTCCCTTTTTACTGTTGAGCAGAATGGACAGATGCTTGATTGCAACCCCCCGAATTTTTCACCATTGGATATCCTGTTAAGAGCTGAGTGGAGTTACAGTCCAACCACATCTGGGGAACCACACTTTGCCCATTCCATGCAACATTGAGGAACTATGAAGATATTTTCAAAGCAAGTAAAAAAGCAGAACGTATTTTTCTCTGAGGCTAGCCCACCCCACCCACCCCAAAGGTCCATCAAAAGAGGTCTTACTTGATCTTGTTCCCCTCCCCCTTCCTCGTTATAGTTGAGGATGTTCTCTCGGATGTCCTCCAAGTCGTCATGGCATGTGGTGACATGGTAGACTCGATTGTTTTTACTTTTGTGGCTCTTCCACCGAGTCCACAAGAAAAGGCCACTGAACAGAACTGGAGAAAAGGTTGGAGAAAAGCAGGGAGTGATATTTAGGAACAGGTTCCAAAAGCCACAACTAAAATGTAGTGCATAACCTAATGGCAGGCCTTCTGTTTTGGAATACTGCCCCATTGTGAAAACAATGCTGAAGTCATGTCACCTCAGAAAGATATGGATGCGATTTATGTGGAGGGCGCAATGAATAGATCATGCCCAAGTAAACAGGTTCTGCCATTTTCCAATAGTACTCTTCCCCTCGTGCTAATAGACTCTCAACTCAGAAGTGTTTCAGTCATTGTACAAGACCCTCTGGGATTCTGCCAGTTCATCTGCATAGAGATTCAGACCTCTAAGCACACAGTCCAATAAGTGTGACTCCTCTTAGCAACAACATGAGCTATTGCTATTAATAAACCAGTTAGACGGTGAGACATATCCAGAGTCCCCACATTTAGGTTGCACTCCTAGTATGCCTTGGATTTCATAGAAACCTGAAAGAGATTTTTGTGAAATCCATAGCGATTAAGTGAAATATATGTAGGTAGCCTATCTAACAGGATAACAACTGTTTTGGATTTAAAGAAAAGTCAGCTAATTGGAGACTTACCAGAGACGCCTGGACCTGTCAACTCATACCCCATCTCTCCTGGGTAAAATGGGGGAAAGCCTCATGTGTATGTCATAAGAGATGGATGGAATGAAGATGACAAAACAGTTTAGCATCTAAAAGTGCTACACAAATGGTAGAACAAAACAAATGGGGAGGGTAGCATCAGAGCCCCTCCATAAAACCCATGTCTTAACACACACTTTGAAAAAAGCAAATAGTACTTGACATATTGGCAACAGCCATCATCCATCATCTTCCTTTACTTTCAAGAACATGAGTCAACTACGCTTCTAAATCACTGTCTGCTGCCACACTAATCTATGGTTTGTATTACCCATGGTCTGGCGTTTAAGCCATCGATTGCCCCACAACCCATCAAACAGAATCTATGGTTTGTATTACCCATGGTCTGGTGTTTAAGCCATCAAACAAAACACAATTGATTTCCCCATTTATGGCCTGTTTCTCAAATATCTCTTTTTGTCAGCTTGTTTCAAGGTTGGCAGGTAGGAGAACAAGCAATAGACTAGAGCCAATACCCTGCTACAGAAATGCAGAGTGGAACAGCAATTGTATGAGTATCTTCCCTATTTCAGCAGTTGTCTTGTTACACGCCTATTCTCACACCGCTTGAGAGAGTGGTTGCACAACCTGGAGCCTGTGGTAGGAGGCTTATGCAATTGCTTGCCTGCTCCACATTTTCTACAATAGGATTCTGGTCAAGCTATTCACCTACAAATAAAAGTAAATATTTGGCACCCTAATTACGGACACTTCTTTAGTTAATTAAGGTCACAATCCTATAACCAAACAACTGATTACTGAAAGGCTGCAAAATATTGTGGAAACCTAAAATATATGATTACTCAATGTAACTATGAGTCTTTGAGTGATGAGCTCAAAAGATCCACAAAAATTGGGTTTGCACCTGCATGAACGCTGGTTCGGAAAGTTCCAGAGCCTCAAAAGTGAAAGTATCTTTGCCTATATCGCACAAGTGTGGCCCCACTCTCCTCAGTCCCAGTTGTCTATCACAAGATAGAGGGAGAAAAGAGAGAGCAGGTGGGCGGTTGTGTGGATACGTATCTCCTCAGTCCCAGTTGTCCACCGCAAGATAGAGGGAGAAAAAAGAGAGGGCAGGTGAGCGGTTGTGTGGATACATGGACCACCACTCAAAGAAACATAGTTATGGTGGGTAACCATATCTTTTTCATGGCGCCCATGTATGCACAAAAATGGGGAGACTGGCAGGCTAAAGCTTGGAGGTGGGAGTTAAGCCAAAACAGGATAAAACAGCCTGGCCAAAGGAAGCAGTTCCTCTGGGTTCTGAGATCTATAATGAGTCACAAAGGTCAAAGGTTGTGACCATGCAGTCGCTCAGCAAATATCCTGTATCTCTCTGCTGCGTTTTATGTAAAACAAAAAAGACAATAAAATAACAGAGTCTAAATCCCATTGTTAGTCTCAGCTAGAGTAGACCAAATGAATCAATGTTGCATGGTAAGTCAACACTTAATGTAAATCTCCTTAGTGCAATGAGCCCACTCTAGTTTTGATTAGCAATTGAATTTAGACTACCTAGATTAAATAATCAGTATATAAGGGTGGATCTCCTTCACATGACTAACTTGGACTTACGAGTTTCAACCACTATAGTCTTCACCCAGCCCTGTGTGGTGGACATGCCGTGGCTGTTAAACTCTTTACACCAAAGAACAACCATCCTGATGAACAAACAAGGAAAAAAACAAACCCAGAAGCGATGACTGTGACATGAAAGAAGAGAAGACAGGTCTTGCATTAAACATTTTATTAGAAAAATAATTCAGGCACAGGGTTTGTTTGTTTTTTCTTAATTACTTCTGTAATATGTTTGAACTGGTATTTCCACAGCTGCAAAAATCCAGCATCTCCCACAGTAAAGAAGACTGATGGAAGTTTATGGGAGTATGCTCTCTCTCTCTCTCTCTCAGGGCCAACCCAGATCACATGTTGTTCGCATAAACAGCATTTACACAAATGTTTTTGTGTAAACCACAGGGACCTTATCTTCACAGGAGGTGTGAGGTATGTTAACAGTCCTACCTCCATCAGTCAGGGGTGAGATGTGCGTCTGCCTTTCTGCTTTGGGAGTCTGGGGGAACAATCCCCACCATACCAATTGAAGCTTTTCTCTCAATACAAATAGGAGGCATGGGACCCAACCTGGGTAGGGACTGGAGCGGAGAAAATTAACATCAAGTAGCTGAGCCGAGGCCCCGAATTAGATCGGGTCTTCCACGCCTGCTGTTTGCTTCAAAATCACTGTTCATGCAACTGCTAATTGAATGACTGCTATCTGATCTAGCTTGTTTCTGAACCCTTTAAAAAAAAAGTTATATATTTCTTTCTGGGAAAGCCTCATCATCATCACTGAAATGAGCAGGAAGTTATCTCTCCAAAATGTTTCCAAAAAACGATTATTCAAAACGAAGGGATGTGTTGCCTTTTCATCGGCTGTGATTCATACGAATGCCTGATACAGCCCCTTGAAGGCTGCAATCGTGTGCTGCAGAATCCTATCCATGTTTACTCAGAAGTAAGTCTGACAGAATTCAGCCGCACTTAGTCCAATGGGCATTTAATCCTGGGTGAGGATTGCACTCTCCTAAACTTAATGCAGCAGGCATAGTTAAAGAAAGGAAGGTTAAATCCGCCCAGAGACCTCTGGGCAGAGTGGGCGGCATATAAATTAAATTAAATAAATAAATAAATAAATAAATCCTATTAACGTCTCCAGTGAAAACTCCAAATGAAATATGTTGAAAGTTGTGACCCTTTGCATATTAATAAGGCCCAGGTGGCAAGACAGAAATGGAAATGCCCAGTATTTTTAAACTACATCCTGCTGGTATGACTATATGGCTCCTCCTTTCCTAAAAATATTTCTGAGGAGCATTCAGTTCTTTGTATACAACCGTGCAAGCAACGTATCTTCCACTGGCAAGACAGAAATGGAAATGCCCAGTATTTTTAAACTACATCCTGCTGGTATGACTATATGGCTCCTCCTTTCCTAAAAATATTTCTGAGGAGTATTCAGTTCTTTGTATACAACCATCCAAGCAACATATCTTCCACAATACTATAAGTCATATTCATTGTTAGTTTGGTATAACCAAATCCAAGAACATCTGGAGGCCCAAGATTGAGGACCACTGCTGTAAGTCGTATTCATTGTTCGTTTGGTAGAACCAATGTGATACATTCTCCCCATTCATAACCGCAATGTCAATGAAAAGTACTAAAATCACAAGTCACAAGTGCCTTTTAGACGGGGCCACATCGCCACCAGTGAGCCTGAGATAGCTTGGAGAACCCTGGGATGAGGACGCTGTGCCCCTGAGGGCTTCCCTTTCCCTATTCTAACACAACAGGAGCTATTTTCAACTGAAACCTCTTTGGAAAAGAGAAAGTGAGTGCTAAATATTTCTCTGTGCCTCTGAAGATGCTTTCCTTTTTAAACTGTGAAGGTCCAGTTCTCCGAGGAGTGGCTCTTCTGCTCCTGCCTGTCAGAAAGCAGCCCAGAATTAGCAGCTAACTTGAATGTGCACTGTACTCTACAAAAACTTACAATAACAAGCTGTCTCAAAGAAAAGAGGCAACCTGCACACAAAACTTTGAGCAGCTGTAAGCACTGCTTTCCGCTGTTCCAAGCACCCCTCTTCTACCCTTACGATAAGCAAAGATAAGCTCAGAGCTCAGAAACTTTATCATCTTGGACTAAGACATGCAGATTTTACAAGCTGTAGGTCCAAAAAAGGACACTTTCCAAGCTGTGGTTGCACTCAGAAATACATGGGGTTTGTTCTTTTTGTATCTGACCACAGAACAATCCAATCTCACACAAACATCAACACCTAATCATTTTGAGCAGAAACCTCTATTGTTTTTCAAACTCTGTTTACTTTAACAGGAAAGGATCCACAATTCTGAAAAGTAATTTTTACCTAATTACAAAAATTCATTATTCCATGTTTGCATGGCAAACATATTCACACAATATAAATTCAAACATGCAGAAGTACAAGCTCTCTTGACACATTCGTACTATTCGTGCAGTGACAAACACTGAGTATCTTCACAGAACCCTTCTGTGACTTGGAGACAGATCTGCAGCAGACAGGCTTCTAAGTTCCTGCTATATCTCTTTGCAATTTAGAATCCCAACTTTCCATGGTCTTAAAATCACAGTCGTCCCCTTTATGGATATTTGCCTCCGACTGATGGAAACTGGGAAAAAGGCTGACAGAGATGGAGCTGACACGCTCTTCCCCATTTTCCTTCATTGCATGAACACCAGAATAGGACTAAACTAAGCCACAGCATACCGAAAGAGGAAGCAATTTATCTTCCAACTTGCTCCAAGATTACATTTAGGGGTGACTTCAAAACAGCCCAGTGAAAGGTGCAGAAAGAATAAAAATGAGTTTTCGTTGCAACAGAAAGATGCTATTATGTAGCACCAACTTGTGACACTACGTGGAATTTCAAGGGTTGGGGGACGAGGAAGGAATGGATGAACCAATCTCTGGTGAAGATCTAACAGTCTACAAGATACAAATTCACTTAATACAACTCGTAACTCCTTCAATTACAGAGTTGCTGTACTCCTTACCCTCGGCTCGGTTTCACCTCTACCATAAATTATGGTTGTCTTTGTTTCTGCGTGTGTAGAACAGGTACAACATAATCGATGTCACAGGTTACAATGAGGACAAACAAGACTGAAATCCACTTTGGAAATTTTAAAAAGTGCGATATAATAATAAATAACAGCAACATTTGAACTCATTATAAATGGTCTCGGAACAGACGGCAAGGATGTCATCTTTCTCCAAAACTATCTGATACGGGCGTAGAAGTCTGATAGATGATGAACTTGCTACTTGCACAACACATTTCACTGAGCCACTTGGTGAAGACAACTTTAAAGAGAGACTGGGCATATTTATGAAGGATAAATCTACCAGTTAACTGTCTTCTGTGGCAGCTGAATGGAATATTAAGGTTCAGAGACAGTTTTACCACTCAATACCAGCTTGTGTTCAGGGGTGGAGGGATTACTGCCTTCATGCCCTAGCGTTGGGGCTTTCCAGTAGCACCTATGTAACCAATACGGGAGCCAGGATTGATCCTTGAACTGGATTGATCCTTGATCTGATAGGTGTCTTTTTGAACTATCATTTCCCTCTTTCTACTACAACCCAGGCCATCCCTTCTGAAATGATTCTTAACGAAGTAACTCAAAATTACAGCAAATGGAAAAAGAAAGTGAAATGAAGGGTTCAAATGCAGATGGGTCAGAATGAGAGGTGAATCAAAATGTCCTGGCTGATGAAATGAAGACCAAAGTACTGAAGGCATAATCCAGTGGCAGTCTTCATAACAGGATGACGTGAGAAATATCCAAAACAAAATGGAGGATAGCCACGGTTCATCACCAAAGATAATACAGTATATAGTTGCCATAGCTACCTAGAAGGGCCAGAAAGCAAATGCAGATGGCAAACATGGAGCTGAAACTCAATCCGGCATCCTTGTGGAAGATTGCTAGTGTGATTTCACAGTTACGGCCAGAGTAGCCATCTGGACAGTGGCATCGGAATTTGCTTGCAGACTGAGAGATGCATGTGCCATAGTTACAAGGTCTCTGAGCACATGCAGTATAAATGCAGTGTCGTCCTGTGGCATTCTCCACCAACATGTGTCCTGGAGGGCAACTGAAAGAGACAAAGGCAGATCACATAACTGGGCATTAACCTCACGGCTGACTCATGCAAAACTCTTGGGGCACAAGTCTGGTTTTATACCTCCATTAGATTAATCAAGAACCATTTTCATTACAATGCAGTTTGCTCACAGATGACCAAAGGCTGAAACATATCAATATTTGTTTGTTTCTCCCTCCATTTCTTTTGCAACTAACATTACATTTCTATCGACCTGCTCTAAGACCCAACAGGCAACAAAAGTATTCCCAAAGTTAAAAGAAAGCCCCATCACAGATACCTTAGGTATGGGATATTAATAAAATCATAGAATAAAGAAGTTGGAAAGGGCTATAATGCCATCAAACCCAACCCCCTGCTCAATGCAGGAATTCAAATCAAAGCAGATCTGACAGATGGTTCTCCAATGTTTTCTTGAATGCCTACAGTTTTGGAGCACTCACCTCCTCCCAAGGTAATTGATTCTGTTGTTGTACTGTTCAAACAGTTAATAAGTTTTTCCTGCTATTCAACTAAAATCTGGCATTCTGTAACTTAAGCCAATTATCAGAGTCTGGCACTCTGGGATGATCAAGAACAGAACCTGCCCCTCCTCTGTTTGACTACCTTTAAAGTATTTGAAAAGTGATATCACATCTCTCCTCCGTCTTCTTTTCTCAAGGCTAAACATGCCCAGTTATTTCAGTCTTTCTTCATAGGGCTTGGTTTCATTGTTTAATGGGGGAACATAAGGTGGAGAGATGTCTAAAATACACCATGGGTTTTCCAACATGTCTCTCTTGTGCAAGAGAACTTTTACACATCTCCTTTCCAAAATAATTCCCTCCACAAGGCAGGATTTCATTGTGGCGAGAACCAGTCAGGTTTCAGGCAAGCTCCTGGTGAAGGTTGCTTCCCCCTCTGAAGTCCCATCTGAGTACATGGACCAAGGAGGAAGCTATCTTGGCAAAGTGCTAGGAACACCCATAGCAGAGAGTGAGAGAGCACAAAAGGATGTTGGAAATACCTCAACCAGAGACTCTGAATAAGTTAAAGTATTTGTTCATGTAAGGAAAATCTCCATGGACCCAAATAAGTACACAGAAAAGAGATACAGTGGTACCTCGCTAGACAACAACCCTGCTAAATGACAAATCCACATAACGACGACTTTTTGTGATCGCTATAGCGATTCGCAAAACAGTCATTCCAATGGGCGATTTTTGCTTGACTATGTTTTGGTCCGTGCTTCGCAGACCGTTTATTTGCAAGACAACGATTTTTACAGCTGATTGGCGGCTTCGCAAAATGGCTTTCCTGTGTTTTCCAGACCCATGCTTCGCAGGACAGACATTCTTGCAGCTGATCAGTGCTTCGCAAAATGGCTGCCCTGTGGGCAATCTTCGGAAAACAACGAGATATTTTCCCCATTGGAACGCATTAAACGGGTTTCAATGCATTCCAGTGGGGAAATGGTTTTTGCATGATGATGATTTCGCTAAACAGCTATTTCAATGGAATGGATTATCATTGTCATGCGGGCCACCACTGTAGATATAAAGAGTCAGTGAAATGGACTTACATTTTAAAAAATCTTACTGTCAGTAGAAGTGACACCACCGTCCTGAGCTTGGATCGGAAGGAGGAGAGAGAAGAAAAAGGGAGAAGGGGGAGAAAACTACCTCATCATGAAAGGAGATCAATCTAAGATAAAAGTCTCGCTCCCGTGACTATTTTAAATAGTTATATCAAATCCTATTTACTTCAAAGCATTGTGGGTCCTTTAAATATTTATTATTGTGACTAGGCGACTGTGAGAACCTTCTATCCTGGAGGAAATGCCACCCCCCTCTTGGATCTGATATGTAAATAAGATTGGGAAAGAAAAGTAAGGTTACAGTGATATCTGCTGACAGAAGACTTAAACAATATTCCTTATTTAATTCAGGAAGAAAGGGGGAGAATCTGTTGACAGAAGACTTAAACAGCATCTTTATTTATTTAATTTAGGAAGAAAGAAAAATCATTATGGCGACAAAAGGTGGAAAAGAGAGAACTTGAAGAGGTTCACCGGCACAAGAACAGAATCTCAGTGGGTTATTGGGGCAAGAGTCATTTAAGGACTGGCAACAGGATATTCAAGAGATGCTATCTATAGGGCTACAGCAATTACAAAGAGGGATGGTTCAGCTATGTGTACAAATGAAAGACTTAAGGATGCAAATAACTGATACTAATAATCAAATTATAGAAAATAAAAAACAAAAAGCCAGAATATCTGGGACATCAAAGGAACAGAAGAAAGACCCAAGACCATGAATACAGAGATGGGAGAACTAAAACGGGAAAGCAAGCAAGATGAAATTACTCTGTTAAATCCACAAATGGAAAGAGACAATACTAAGATTCCAGAATCTACCAGAACAAAAAGGAGAAGATACAGCACAAGTGATTATTACTTATTTAGCATTGCTTATGGAGATGCGACCAGAGGATGTTCAACAAAATAGAGAGGTTACCTACCTGTAACCATGGTTCTTCTAGTAGACCTCTGTGAATTCACACAACTGGGTTTCTGCACCTATGCAGGACGTTTTGGAACTTTCTGGAGCTTAGAAAAAAAGTTTGACAATGAGACATCCCCCCGTGGAGCACAAGCTCAACCCTCCAATCTTTCCCTCAGTTCCTTCCATAGTCCGCTGCTGTCGAAATAGTGTATCTATGATAGGACAACGTGACGGACAGAGGGGAGGAAGGGGGGGATTGTGTGAATTCACAGAGGTCCACTAGAAGGACCATGGTTACAGGTAGGTAACCTCTCTTTCTTCTTCGTGGTCTCTGTGAATGCACACAAGTGGGTGACTGACAAGCTCACTTACTGGATGGTGTGGGATGTCACGGTAGCAGAGATGTCAGTATCACCCTGCCGAATGCAGCATCATTCTTAGCCCTGACATCGAGACGGTAATGCTTCACAAAGGTCGATGGATTGGACCAGGTTGCTGCTCAGCAGATGTTTGGTAACTCTATTCCACGATGTAGAGCAGTTGATGTTGATAATGCTCTAGTGGAATGGGTTTTGAGTTCATCAGGAGGTTTTTTTACCTGATAGTGCATAGGCAATGATATTGTTTGCACAGTGGGAGATGGTTTGTGATGATACTGGAGCACCCTTGTATGGACCAGCATACAAAGCTGTCTGAGATCGCAGCTGCAGGTAAGCGCGCTTGGAGCAGGGCTGCGGAGGACGGCTAGGGCTCCCCCCCCCATGCGGCCCAAACCAAATGTATGTGCGGCCCAAACCAAATTTTCATCTTCTAATGTGACCCAGGGAAGGTGAAAGGTTGGACACCCCTGCTCTAGTGGAATGGGCTTTGAGTTTATCAGGAGGTTTTTTTTTACCTGATAGTTCATACGCCAATGATATTGTTTGCACTATCCAGCAGGAGATGGTTTGTGATGATGCTGGAACACCCTTGTATGGACCTTGAAAGCATACAAACAATCTAGGGGTGTTCCTAAATGTTTTAGTCCTGTTGGTATAAAAGGCCAAAGCCCCTTGGACATCCAGTGTGTGGAGCATGCGCTTGATGGCTGAAGATGGAGATGGAAATAACGTTGGTAGAATAAGTGGTTGGTTTAGATGAAATTTAGAAACCACCTTAAGGAGAAAAGACACATCAAGGTAAATGGTGACCTTGTGGGGAAGGAACTGTAAATGCAGTGGATCTGATCGTAGAGCTGCAAGTTCACTGGCTCATTTGGCAAATGTTATTGCCACTAAAAAGGCTGTTTTTAAAGATAATAGTTTTTCATCACAATTAGCCATTGGTTCAAAAGGTGGTTTAGTGAGGGCGTTAAGAACAAGTTGTAGGGACCACTGAGGTAAATTTTGCTGTTTTGGGGGTTGAATATTCTGAAGACACTTTAGAAATCTTTTGAGAGTTGGGTTTGAAAAAAGTTTTGCTTATTCCGAGTGGGTAGGTTGAAACACTACTATGGCTGATATATAAACCTTTATGGTTGAGTGTGACAGTCCCAGATTAAAGAGATGAAGAATGAAGGTGAGCGTTGTATTGGAGGTAAGTTGTTAGCTTCAGTAAATTTTATAAAGGATTTCCATTTATTTTTGTACAATCTTTGTGTGGACAGTTTTCGGGTTCGGTCTAGAATGTCTTTGAATGCGTGAGTATCCTCCACACCGTCAGTTTCAAGGACTGAATGTCGGAATGGAGAACTCCCCATTGACAGAAGGTTCAATATGGATGGTAGGTGGAGTGTGTCTGTTGATACAGTCAACCCTTGACTTACAAACGGCCCTAGTTACAAACATTTCGACTTACAAACCACTCTGACGGAAAAATATTGACTCGACTTGCAAACTTAGATTTGAGTTACGAACCCAAAAAAACCGCACGGGAGGTGAAGAAAATGCAAAATTTGAACCTTCAGTTAACCGTTGGCCAATGAAGAGGGTGCCTCTCTGCTTCCTCACTCTTCCCAGTGTTTTGAGAGTGGATTTGAAGACAGTCTTCAGATTGCCTGGTACTGCCTAGTACAGCGCTGTACAGACTGGGTTTTTTTGATTTTTTTGATTTTTAAAAGATGTTCCCTCCCTCCTTTGCTGCCCCCTTTCTCCCCAAAAGGTGCTTGTATTGGCTCGTCTTGATTGAAAAGGTGCTTTTCAAGGTGATCTGTTGTCTGAAAGGTGCTTGGTTTTTCCCAGAAGGTGCTTGTCTTGGCTGAAAAGGTGTTTTTCAATGTGTTCTGTTGAAAGGGAGTCTGTTCCCTCCTTCCCTCCCTCTTTCCTTTCCTTTTTTTAACCTAAGTCATCTTGGGATCGCAGCCTGTGCCAAAGTTATTGAATGTTCATCTCTATCAGGTGTAGAAGTTGGTGCCTCTCTCGAAGATTCCTCCAGGATAATTGAGGGAGGAGTCGCTTGCGGTGGGTCGATGGACATAGGTTTCGAATGCTTCTTTGTTTTAGAAGGTTTTTCTTTGTCTTTCTTCTTTTTATTAGATTTATCTGAATGGGCCTGAGATTTGGAGGTGATCGTCAAACTGGATTTCGGTGATGGTTTTGATGATTCCTTTTCTTTCATAGGTGTTGGAGTCGGGCTCAATAGTGAGTGGATCATAGGGTTGGATGTTCATCGAGCTGGCTCTGGACGTGGTGAGGTAAGTGTCTCCATGTGTGGATGAAGAGTTTTCTCATACAAAAAAGATCTTAATCGCTATGTTCTGAGCTTTATGGCAGGTTTTGTTAGCTTCCTACATTCTGGACACAACTGAGTTTGATGTTCTTCACCCAAACAAAAAAGGCATTTGTCGTGTCCATTGCTAAGAGGAGTTTTCCTTTCGCAGATAACGCACTGTTTAAACGGTCCCTGAGGGGGCATAAAAGGCGGGAGGAAGGGATCCGGTAACGGTGGTGGTGGTGGAAACGCAGGAAGGCTGAAAATGTATTGAGGGAAAAGAAATATGTGGTAATCACAAGGAAGTGAAAAATAAAATGGTTCTAACTAATAAGAATGATTAAAGTAATAAAGAACGGATATTATCAATGAGAAATACTCGCTATTCCCTCCGTGTGTTCCTATATGTCTTTCCAATGCGGTGGAAAAAAAGGAACTGAGGGGAAGATTGGAGGGTGGAGCTTCCACTCCAAGGGGGGGTGTCTCATTGTCAAATATTTTTTCTAAGCTCCAGAAAGTTCTGAAATATCCTGCGCAGGCACAGAAACCCACTTGTGTTATTCACAGAGGCCACAAAGAAGAAATAGATGCAGCACGAAGAATTAATACAGAATACACCAGAAATAAAAATCTCCCCACTGCATTCACAGAGGCCACGAAGAAGAAATAGACACAGCATGAAGAATTAATACAGAATACACCAGATATAAAAATCTCCCCACAGAAATTCATGTAACATTTACGAGAAAGATTTTTCAAGATAGTTTAAAGAAATATATAAGGCAAGGAACTCAACAGAAAAGATAAAGAAATCAAGATCTTGAAACATTCCATGGCAAATAAGACAGAAAAGGAATCAATATGCCGAGTTGACATCCCTCTTGAGAACAAACTCAATTGTGTATAAGTGGTTGATGCCAAAGGTGTCTGATTTGAATTCCAAGATCAGAGTTACTATATTAACTCAAAAATGAAGGCAGACGGTTTTATGAAAACAAAGGGGCAGTGGCTGGGCAGAAAAGAAGAGGAAAAAAGCATATGGGAAACAGGAAGAGGAGAAATCAAGTGAATCATCAAGATCAGAGGTAGAAGGAAGCTCGACTAGGGTAGAAGAGCAAGTGAGAAGCTCTAAAGGAAAGCTCACTATAGAAACGAGAGGATCCAGGAGGAGGAAAGAAAATCTCAACAATAAAGAGGGAGTAAATGAATAAAACATGAATATGAAAGATGACGTGATTAAAGACTGTAGGATAAAAATGGATATAAAATGGTAGAAGAATATAAATGTTTAAAACTCAGTAACTATTCAAGAAAATGTAGATAAGGTGTTTTATAGATGGTACTTGATTTACTGATGGTACATAATGCCAACAAAGTTTTTTTAATAAGTACAAAAATGTTTTTAAATAGTGTGGGAAACTTAAAACACAGGAGGGCCCTTTTTCATGTTTGGTTTATCGTTTTATTTATGCAGCATGCCAATAAAGGTTTCTGTACTGTACTGTACTGAAAAATATTCTGTTTCATGCAACAACATTTAAACTGGGTTTGGATTTTTGTTTTTTTTTTATTTATTGAATATTATGCCTGAGATGTTAGACAGAAAAATAAAATATTTGATAATGCATATAATCTCTATAGCTAAGTTATTAGATGGAAAATATTTGAAGAAAACAGATATCCCAGGCTTAGTAGAACTGGCAGAAAAGATATGGGAAGTCACGGAGATAGAGGAAACAGGAGTAACAAACGAAGATTACCTTAAAAATTGCTGTTTTTCTTTTTATCTCGCTTTGTAGTATAATTGTACACGTTGATGCAAGTGTACTATCTAACTCTCTGGAATTTTAAATTTCTCTATCCATACTTACCCCCCCAACCCTAAATTCCCCTCCCCATTGAAAAGAACCCTAACCCATTGAGAATAATGAAAAATTGAAAAACCAAAAGAATTCCCCCATGTATGCCATGTCTTCTTTCCCTTTTAAGAAGCAGGTCCTCAAGAGGCAAGACAGAAATTTGGTCCCTCCATTCTCTTCCCATGCTCCCCCCCCACCCAAAATGGCCACTTGCTGTCTTGTACTGGAAGAATGGGCACAGCTTGGGTGCATTTGGTAGCGCTAACATCTTAATGGCCAAAGACATTAAATTTGTGAAGGGTATAGATAGTTTTTTTTAATGAAACAAATCTGGATGTAGGTTTAGATGGAGTAGACTTTGTCTAAATGGGCGGGATAGAAATCAAATAAATAAATAAATAAATAAATAAACAAACAAACAAACAAACAAACAAACAAACAAACAAACAAACAAACAAAAATGAAGAGGTAGAAGCACAAACCAACATTTGAAATTACAACTGGACACAAATGATGCATTGAGAAAAATGAAACCCACCTTTAAAAATGTCTTTGACATTAAATTGTTAAAATAATGAATTTGGAAACTGTTGCTGGAAATGTTAAGGAATCGCAGGTCAACCTTAACTGTTTCCTACTTCTGTGAGTGGACTGATTGCGCTTGATATTTTACAGCACAACGTAACCTTACCTGCACTCATGCATCATCCACAAGTCAATGCATATAAACTGCTGGCTGCAAGGATTACTCTTGCAAGCTTCAGAGAGGCAGCCTTTTCTCACTCCATGGGTGCTCAGCACTACCTCCTTCGTGGAAGGCTCTAGAGGTAGCCTGTAGTTATTGAATCTGACATCCTTCATGCATCCTGAGGCAAAATACAAAACAGGCTTGATTTGGAAAGACCTTGATCAAGAGCTATTTCGGAAACAGATGTCACAAACACTGTAAAACTGAGTATGTGTTGGATTAAACAATATACTGAAGCATGAGAAGTTCAGAAGCAGGTCAGAACTTCCTCTTCGCCACCATCCGGCTCAAACTCCAGGCCCAGAAACTGATTTGATGGACTTTTGCTGAACCTTCAGAGCAGAAATTTCCCCACCCAGGGCCATCCAAATGAGTCTCCCTCAGGGATGTTGGCAAGTCCTTGGGTCCAAGTCCCAAGTCCTTTGTACCAAGTCCAAGTCCCCACAAAAAAGGGAGGGAGGTGTGGGTTCCACCTCGCAAGTTGACTCCAAGTCAATGAAAAAACAACCCTCAGTTGAGTCCAAACTGAGTCACCACTGTGACAGTGAGTCCTGCAACTCATGCCCGCTAGTATGCGTCCCACTGAACAAGAGCATTGACGTTACAGGCTGAAACCAATAGTAAGTTGCAACTAGCATGGGCCCCCTGAATCAGAGAAGATCTGGTGAGTCAACTGCTCTGTAAGTCTCACTTATTCAATGGGCTTGCTCTAGTTGTGACCTAACGACTGGACTTTAGCCATTGTCTAACACAACTGGAAGCCGAGGCTGGGAGAGAATGTTCATTCACATCTGACAGGCAAGGATACCTGGCTCCTAATTGTTTGACAAATTAACTGAAACAAAATTACTGCTAAATGAAGAAAGCTGGGTTAACTAGGAGTAAAGTTTTGTCCAGAACTTCTTTCAGGTTCTCACCTAATAACAATGGAGCAGGGAGGAAAGTCTTTCAAGTCCTTGCCTTTTCATTCTAAGCATATATTTCTTGCACCGGGCTCCAGTAGGTAAACAACAAGAGTTCAAGTAAAAACCTTAATGAACATTCCAATTACTGCACAACCAAGCACTGATGGGATGCTCATGAGCAAGAGGTAACCCCAACAGCAGCTCCCCACTCAAGTTTCCCAACATCTCTGATACTGGAAGTAAAATACAGCCATCTTGATTAGTAGCTCCAATGGCCTTGTGGGGTGGGGTAGTTGTGAACATCATAGGTATGAACCAACAGCGAACTTCTCAATGCCACCTTTCATAATCCAAGCAGAACAACTCTCAAAATGTGCAGAGTTGCTTCAGGTTTCCTCCAAGACCATGGGGGCCATTTGTGGGGGCTCAGTCCCAAAATACTGGGGTGAGATCTAACACTCTGGCCACAAGCTGCTTATACATTCTGTTTGAGAAAGACAACACACTTCGCATTTACAGAGCAACAGAGACACTAGCCACCCAATTCAGCATTCTCATGTGTTATACCCATCTTTTCCACACAAACCAGTTTATAGGACATCACAACCAAAAGGTCAGAATAGTAAAATGTTAGACTAATCAGAAGGGGAAGGGAAGGGAAGACACTGTGTCTCCTTGGGACTCTTTATTATTATGAAATGGCCAATTCATTAGCTGAGCTTGGAAAGCATGTATTTTTTTGGATGATTAACTCCCAGAATGTATAGTCCAAAAGAGTAATTTTTGCAAGCTCTGCTCCTGAGGGGGACAAAAAATATTAAAGCAGAAGCAAAGGAGACAATGTGCTGATGCACAAAACTTGTGAATGATGCCCAAGTGCCATCTCATAACTCTATTAATAGGTAAGAGTTGGCCACAGACAATTATTTGAAGTACTGGTTAGGCAGAACGTTCTCTTTACCTTGGAAACTGTGGTTTTGATTGACAGGGCGTGTGTTGCCAACCACCAAGCTGTTGGGATCAATGATGATTTCTTTGTAGGCTCCCGCTGCCTTCAGGATTTCCCTCTTCCCGCCTCCTCCATCCAGGCGAAGCGTGAACTCATTTTCATTTCTCTCCAGGGAAACGTGATGCCATTCTCCATTATCAACTTGGTAAGAAGGAAGGCTAACGGCAAATGCTCCATCTCCCAGGTTGTAAGAAACTGCTAACAAACCCTGGATCACCTTGCAGAAAATCAAGGAACCTGCATCAAACATTTCTTTACATGCTACACAAAGAGGCTCCGCATAATGCTGAAGAACAGAGTGAAAATGAGCAATATCCCTGCTGAAGCGGTTGTACACATGAACAATAGGTAAAAGGTCAGAGATGCAGCTCTTTTCACACAATTAGCTAAATGTAGCAATTTTCCCACAGAGATGGCATTGTGTTATTATATACTGGAGTAATGTGAGTTGACCGGTAAATGTATACAAAACCATACATGGTTCATTTATTTATAGTGTAGATTATACTCTGCCTGATAGACCAGCAAGGCTCCATACAACTAAAAACAGTCACAGAAGCAATTGTCATACATGGTTCATTTATTTATAGTGTAGACCAGCAAGGCTGCGTACAACTAAAAACAGTCACAGAAGCAACTGCGGTTGTGCATGGTCACATAGCGGCATGGATAATGTGGAGAATCTGACAACCTCAATGAAGGATTTCACACATTGTCTAGTCAATAGGGATTATCACCAACAGAAATTGGTGTATGTCAAAATTGCCTATTTACATTTACTCCATGTAAATTTTACTAAGTGGCCATTGCATGTAGGTAGCCCAAAACTATATAATGTATACAGTAACTAACTATCAGTGTCTATATGTAAGTATGTTGGTCAACTGGTATCAATATTTTCCAGAGGGGCTAGCCATGTTAATCTGTTTGCAGCAAAAGCAACACAGAATGTTATAGTACTCTGAAGACTAATTTTATTATAGCATAGAAACTTTCAGACTAAAGTCTGTGACAGGTTGCATCATAGTCAATTAATTTCAACACCTAAAATCTCACCATGCTTTGTTCAGCACAAGCTGGTGTTTTCTACATACTGGGTGGCACTTAATTAGAAAGAATTTCACCATCTCAGCTAAATGCTGGCCATGTAACAGATTATGCCTCTTTGAGGCATATGATATGAGCATGTCCAGTGGCGACCCCTTTTAGGACAAATCTATTGCCGTAAATTAACTTTGTATTACAAAAATCTCTTTATTTCTAGATATGTATGTACTTTTAGAAGGGACGTGGTGGCGCTGTGGGCTAAACCGCAGAAGCCTGTGCTGCAGGGTCAGAAGATCCGGCAGTCGTAAGATCGAATCCACGCAACGGAATGAGCACCCGTCGCTTGTCCCAGCTCCCGCCAACCTATTTAGCTACACATGAATATCTATTCCGCCGACACCAATTTTCTCTCGAACGCCTACAGCTTTGGAGCACTCACCGCCTCCCGAGGGAACTGGTTCTGTTGTTTTACTGTTCAAACAGGTAAGAAGTTTTTCCTGATATTCAACTCAAATCTGGCTTTCTGTAACTTGAGCCGGCGCCGCCCCCTAGAGTCGGACACGACTGGACAAAAATTGTCAAGGCGAACCTTTACCTTTACCTTATGTACTTTTAAGCTATGTTTCTGAAGTTTGGAATTTAACTGATGGTCAGCTCTGCAGATTTTACAACCTTTGCCAAAAATGTATATGATAAACATACAACATCCACCATTCAGTGGTCAGAAGATCTCGCTACTTTAGCTACACATGAATATCTATTCCGCCGACACCAATTTTCTCTCGAACGCCTACAGCTTTGGAGCACTCACCGCCTCCCGAGGGAACTGGTTCTGTTGTTTTACTGTTCAAACAGGTAAGAAGTTTTTCCTGATATTCAACTCAAATCTGGCTTTTCAAATCCCAGGTAGCCGGCTCAAGGTTGACTCAGCCTTCTATCCTTCCAAGGTCGGTAAAATGAGTACCCAGCTTGCTGGGGGGGGGGGGCAATGTGTAGCCTGTATAATTAAATTGTAAACCGCCCAGAGAGTGCTTGAAGCGCTACGGGGCGGTATATAAGCAGCACGCTTTGCTTTTTTTGCTTTATCCTGCCCCTCCTCTGTTTGACTACTTTTCAAGTATTTGAAAAGTGCTAATAAACATCAATTCCAAACAAAATATTTTCTGGACATCTGATCAGCTTACAACTGCTAGATAGCTCAGTGGCTTAGGTCTCTGACTGCAGAGCCAGAGGTTAGGAGCTCAATTCTCCACTGGGCCTCCTTGAGAGGGGCTGGATTCAATCATACATAGGGTCCCTTCCAGCGCTGCAGTTCTAAGATTTCTATTACTATTACATTCCTTTAGCTACACATGAATATCTATTCCGCCAACACCAATTTTCTCTCGAACACCTACCGCCTTGGAGCACTCAGCACCTCCCGAGGGAATTGGTTCTGTCATTTTACTGTTCCTTATGTACTTTTAAGCTATGTTTCTGAAGTTTGGAATTTAACTGATGGTCAGCTCTGCAGATTTTACAACCTTTGCCAAAAATGTATATGATAAACATACAACATCCACCATTCAGTGGTCAGAAGATCTCGCTACTTTAGCTACACATGAATATCTATTCCGCCGACACCAATTTTCTCTCGAACGCCTACAGCTTTGGAGCACTCACCGCCTCCCGAGGGAACTGGTTCTGTTGTTTTACTGTTCAAACAGGTAAGAAGTTTTTCCTGATATTCAACTCAAATCTGGCTTTCTGTAACTTGAGCCGATTATCAGAGTCTGGCACTCTGGGATGATCAAGGACAGATCCTGCCCTCTCCTCTGTTTGACTACTTTTCAAGTATTTGAAAAGTGCTAATAGACATCAATTCCAAACAAAATATTTTCTGGACATCTGATCAGCTTACAACTGCTAGATGGCAGTGGCTTAGGTCTCTGACTGCAGAGCCAGAGGTTAGGAGCTCAATTCTCCACTGGGTCTCCTTGAGAGGGGCTGGATTCAATCATACATAGGGTCCCTTCCAGCTCTGCAATTCTAAGATTTTTATTACTATTACATTAATGCATGTGCCTATCTGAAAATCATATTCTACTTTATGTATTCCCCCCGCTCCGTTTTTATTTCCCTTTTGCTTTCTTTCTATTCCTCACCACCTCTTTTTCTGTCTTTTGGCTTGAAATATATATATATATTTAAAATGCATAGTCAATTTGCTAGTTTTCAAAGTACTACAAGACTCTTTCTTGGTTTTACCACTTGACTGTGCATAAGGGGGAAAGGCCAATCTCCAACATTGCTAGGAGATTATGTTTGTTGATCAGGCAATATGTGAAGTGCCTCATTTATGCTATCAAACTATTTATATGGGAACGCATTCTACACCCACTGATGTTTTAGCACATTTTCCATGATAAATATCCTTACATGATGGAGGCCAGATTTATTTATATGTTTGAAACACCTATTAAAGCTTATTTTTCCCCCTTTGAAAGTCATGCTCTGCTTCATCATTCTCTTGCATGACGAGCACATAGGAGATTATCCATATTATGACGGACACGGAAAGAGCTTCCCAAAAGAATGCAGGGACACATTTTGGCATCCTCTAGGCAACAGCAGCTCCTATCAGCTGATTCTCTCACTTTAGAGGCACTACTGGACTGCTTATGACATGAACATCAACAGCAACAACTGTCTTTGTTATTCCATGAACAAGTTGTTCTTATAAACAGGAGCACTCATTACACAAGACCTGCATGTATCAGAGTAGGACGCAAGTGCATCAATTATCAAGAAATATTCTGAAAGCCAGTTCACACTGCTTAGTGGCTTGTCTGGATACCAGATTATGTGAATGAGGACTGGATGTGTTGATAGCCAGCCACTCATCTCTTGGGCCACAGTTGCTGGGGAAATTTGCAGCTCTCATTATAGGAAGGGCTGCTGGGTTCATGTACTACCACTTCCTCTTATGCTTGCAAATCAACACATGCAAACTTCACAGTATGAACCGGCCTTAAGCTTCAGATAACGAGGACTCTGTGGTGCTCCCTGACAATTTCTATAAATTTATGCTCCAAAGACTAGCATGGTTGCTCCCGAATTCACTGCAAGTGATGGAGAATCAAGGGCATAGCCGAGTTCTAAGCAATAAAGATGAACACACTGTGTTGGGAGAGGTCAACTTTGTCCATGCCTCACTGGATCAGAACAGAATTAACTCTGAATTGGCATTTGGCCATCACTCCTCATTCACCTGCAGGGTGATGTGTTCATCCTTGTTCCGGGAAGACATGCTTAAGATGATACCGTTGGGCTCGCGCATCCTGATCATGGCCTCTACCAGTGTTCGGCGGGAGGGTATGGCGAAAGGAAGCTGATAATGAACGTGGCTCCCTGGCTCAAAAGAGTATTCTTCAGCAACTAGGAACGTTAAGAGGGGGGGGGGAGAACATTTTTTTAAAAAAATACAAAATACAGGCATTCATGTGTGTTTCCGTGAGTGCGTATGTCCATTATGCAGGTACACATACACATAATCTCCCAGGAGAGATGAGGCACTGAAGTATTTATCTAGAAGACTTTGTCAACCTTATATACAGCAAAGGTGGAGGACTAAATTGCTACAGCTGTCCAGGTGACCCTTGGAGCCACACACCCCTGCCATCATCTGCTTCCTGGCCAAAGCAACAGGTGGAGCTTTTCTTCCGAAGGCTTTGTGCAGAGTCTTTTGTTGCCCTCATCCTTCTTCATAACATTGTTGTTGCTGGTCCATGACCGTAATAAAACATTTATTATTATTATAACAGTGTTGTCTTAAGGAAGCCGGAACTTCCTTGCCTCTTTCTGCAAGAACTGCCCCTGCGCTACTCCATCACTGAGACAGCCAGGTCTGGTGGCTAGAAGAGGGGGATTCTGAAGGTCTGAGCCTCACAGTGCAAGTTTTCATCACTCCTCACTTTTTGTAAAGTAACTTGCTTTGACTGGTGACTGGTCTTCAAGACTTAAGCACGAGATTACTTCAAACTATTATTTCATAAATACAGAAAGAGTGCCTCAGTCACCTTTTCAGGGCATTAACGTGCTTTTACTCTAAACTACCTGTAGTGTCTACTTTTGGTTTCCATTACTATATAAAAAGGGAAGGGCTTATGATGCACAAAACCCTCATGTGTTGCTCCCGGTCTTTTGACCTTAATTAGCCACCAAAACTACAAAAAGCCCAGCACAGGTTCTGTATAACAAAATGTAAAACATGCAGGACACTGTTCCAAGAATGCATGATGATGACTTCACCTTTGTCACATTTAGAGCCATAGTAACCGGGCAAGCAGTGGCAGGCAAAGGAGTCCCACTGGCCAAGACATCTCCCATGAGCACCGCAGGGGGAGGGGGCTGCCTTCTCACAGCCGCCATCTGTCAAGCTGCAGCCAGAAGAGCTATTCAGAGACTCTGCTGGAGACTCAAGGTCGTATACCTTTAAAAGGAAAATCAGAAAGAAGAGCGAATCAAGACTGGATTTTCTTGCATGGCTCACAGCCTTTCAATCTCAGCATTGCAATTCTAGAAGGAAATGCAGTCAGTCCCCAAGTTCTGCAAAGATGGGTGGAAAACATTTTTTCCCCAACCTGGCCTTTTAATCCTATTGTTGTGATTTGTTTAAAAACAGGCTGAGCGGTACAACATTTAGTTATGCCTGTTGCCACCTTGAACATTATTTTTTTTTTCTAATTGAAAAGGCAGAATCAAAGTCTAATTAAAAAAAGAAACTAAAACTTATAAGCAAAAAGGACCTCTACACTGCCTGAAAAATACTCATAAATCTGATTCCCTTTCAGTATATCACAAATTCCAAACACAGAATAATGGAATAATTGAGTTGGAAGGAGCCTGTAAGGCCATCAAGCCAACCCCCTTCTCAGTGCAGGAATCCAAATCAAAGCAGATCTGACAGATAGTTGTCCAATTTTCTCTTGAATGCCTCCAACACTGGAATGCACACCTCCTCTGGAGGTCATTGGTTCCTTTGTCACAGTGCTCTAACAGTTATTTTTCCTGATAAATCTTAAGCCTAAATCTCACTTCCTGTAGCCTATGCCCAAAGTCACTCAAAGTTTTATAGTGCAAGATTTGTTCTTCTGGAAACTTCTGGGATGTCATTTTCATACTGAGGGCCTAGTGGGATCCTCCAATCAGAAAATGAAACTGGAAAACTTCCTATTTACATAAAAAAGACAAAAATGTTATTTCCAGTCCCATCATGAAATAATGGTAGGTGGAAAGGAGCAAAACTCTGACCCCCAAGATCATCTACCCCTGCGGCTTAGCCCATGGTGGACTATATGTGCCTTCTCTATAAAAAGCATACATAACAAAACAAAAAGTCCATACCGCCTTTTTCCATCTTTGGCGGATTGCCCGGCTGTGACCTTACCTTGACACGGGGGCGCTCACCACCTTAGTACATGCGCTCGTAATCTCTAGATTAGACCACTGTAACGCGCTCTATGTGGGGCTTCCTTCAGGTGGTGCAGAATGCAGCGGCCAGACTCCTTACTGGAGTGAGAAAATACCAACATATTTCTCCTACTCTGGCCATGCTGCACTGGCTGCCCATCTGTTTCCGCACTGAAAGTTCTAGCCCTCCCCCCTGTCAAGATGACATGTCAGAGGCACCATTTGTCTTATCACCACAGCCCTGTCTGAAGGAAGCAGGGTCATCTCAACCATTAGCTGGGGTGAGACAGTCAGTTCAAGTCTGGAGGCAGTGGCGGCAAACCCCCCCAGTACCACACACTCACTGCCAGTTGTGTTGGAACCCTTGGACTTTGAGTAGCCATTTCAGTGGCACAGTCACTTCTGTTTCAGCTATTTTAATAATGTCAGGCCCTGAGGTTCCTTGGGGCTAAGGTGGTATGGGAAGGGCGGCTGCTCCTCCCGCACTGCCTTGGTCCTGAGGACCCTTTGAACTATGCATTATTAAAACAGCCAAGAGAAAAGTGCCTGGGCCATCGAACTGACCATTCAAAGATCCAAAAATGCCAACATTTTAAGACACTTTAAAAATAGCGAAAACGGAACATCGCTAAGCGAAACAGGGGACCTAAACTGTCATCGCTAAGCGAGGCAAGGTTCCGAACATCAATATGCGAAATTTCCCATAGGGAACATCGCTAAACAGAGTGCAAAATCACTCCAAAAACCTCATCGCTAAGTGAATACATCGTTAAACGAGGCAATTGCTAAGCGAGGCACCACTGTATATGTATATCACCATGCCAAAATTCCCCACCTTCCTAAATTCTGTGAAATTAGTGCTCTTCTTAATTTTGACTGCAACATGTTTGTCTCCCAAAGTGGAAGGTGAATTCTGTCTCAGTGGCAGGTTGTCAGTTTTCCATGTCATAAGCTCCAGATTCAATCACTGTCATCTCCCATTAATCAGATCAAATAATAATTGAGGGGAAACACTTCAGGCTGAGAACATGGAAAGCAGCTGCCAGTCAGATGTTATGGATCTACATGCATAACCAGCCTGACCAGGTACATGGAAGCTCCCTCTGTTCTCACAGGATTCCAGATGTTTTCAAAACATCTGAAGCTGTAGCATGAAAAGATATAAGACAAGCGACAAGGACACAGGCTCCTGGAGAAGGACGGCAAGCCATACAAAGTACTGGCAGCTCATTCTTTGACTCCCAAGATGTCTAGCAGACTATAAAATCATCCTTTTAATACATCTTTTTACTCACTGAAGACTAGAAACATGTTCCTGAAGTCCAAAAAGGCTAATGACACACCTGGTTCCCCAATATGCAGTTCACATGTAAACAGGAAGAAAAAGCATAATTTCACTGCCACAAATTTTCAGAAACCTGATGCCCATGCACCATGGAGGCGTAACAAAGAACAGGAGTTGATACAACCAAAGGCGGCTAGACAAGAAGGTGGACCCTAAGCATTCCTGATTCAACTTTGGGGTTTGGTTGAACTGAACTAAAACAAGCTTGGCATTTCTAGAGGAGGTGCAATTCACAGACTGGGACAAAAGGCCCTCATTCATATACATGTTGTTAAACAAAGAGCAAACACAGTGAAAGCTCACAGATTAGATGGTGTCAGACTCTGAAGGAAACTCAAGTATCTTTACCCTTTTCAAAAATAAATAAATCTGCCTAAAGCCTTCATTGCCATGACTCTGAACATTGTTCCAACCACTTTTCACCTACCTGAGTGTCCACAACAAGGTTGCGAATGCAACCAGTGAAGTGCTTCTGTTGTAAGTGTGGGTAAGAGTAAGGAATTGATTCTTTTACTCCTCCAAGCTGAAGAACCTGATTCATATTCAAGTACCTTTAAAACACAAGAGGTACTAAATAAGACATGGGCTTGAGGGTAGGAGCAGGTAAACTGTAAATCTCCAAAAATGATCCCTAAGGAAACCATTATTTTATCTCCCCTATGTCAAAGGTATCATTTAATCAGGATCACTTCAGTGGGGGTGACAACTATTACTGGCATGGCATTCCAAAACACTTGATAATGAGCTATTAAGGTAGAGGTAGGAGAAAAAAAATGGTCTGTACTTATTTACTTGACACCAGTGATGAGGGAGCATTCCTCAGTACTCCCGGAAAGGGAAAACAGCTTTACACTCTGTTATAAGAGTTCACACACAGTACCATCCCAATACGCCACATAAGAAAGACACTGAGCACCATTATTTATTTTAGTTTTGGTTTTTTGGACTCCATCTCCCACCTTCCCACGATGCCCTCAAAGTAGGACATACTTAGCTTCAACATTTTTGCGTCCAGAGACAGTTTGGGCTTGATTTGATCTAGGACCCACTTGTCTCCCTTTCTGGCAATCCAGGGTATCCACAAAGTTATCCTCCAGCACTCTATTTCAAAAGAATCAAGTTTTTTCCTGTCAGCTTTCTTAACTGACCTGCTTTCACATCCATACATGGTGATTGGGAATACAAAAGTGTGGATGATCTTGGTCTTGGTCTCCTTATTATCTTTTCTAGTTCCTTACTTGCCTGCATTCCTAGTCCTAATCTTCTTCTGATTTCTCGGGTGCAGTCTGGGTAGGAGCAGGTAAACTGTAAATCTCCAAAAATGATCCCTAAGGAAACCATTATTTTATCTCCCGTATGTCAAAGGTATCATTTAATCAGGATCACTTCAGTGGGGTTGTCAACTATTACTGGCATGGCATTCCAAAACACTTGATAATGAACTATTAAGGTAGAGGTAGGAGAAAAAAAAAAACATGGTCTGATTCTGTACTTATTTACTTGACACCAGTGATGAGGGAGCATTCCTCAGTACTCCCGGAAAGGGAAAACAGCTTTACACTCTGTTATACTAAGAGTTCACACACAGTACCATCCCAAGAGGCCACATAAGAAAGACACTGAGCACCATTGTTTATTTTAGTTTTGGTTTTTTTGGACTCCATCTCCCACCTTCCCACAATGCCCTCAAAGTAGGACATACTTAGCTTCAACATTTTTGCGTCCCTGTATTTGCAAAGCTCTCCTCTAGTACCATGTATCAAGTGTGTGTGTGTGTGTTTCTGTCTGCTTTCTTTACTGTTCAGTTTTCACACCCATTCATAGTGATTGGGAGTACAAAAGTGTGGATGATCTTAGCCTTGGTCTCCAGTGACATTTCCTTACACTTGATCTTCTTTTCATTGTTTCATTGATGCCCTTTTGAGTCTTAGTCTTCTTCTGATTTCTCGGCTGCAGTCTACATTTGAATTGATTATTGAACCAATCTCTTAACTATTTCAGTTTCTTCATTGTCAATATTAAAATTGGGTAGTTCTTCTGCAGTCATGATATTTGTCTTAACATTCAGCTACAGTCCTGCTTTGGCACATTCTTCTTTCACTTTCCTAATTTCATGAATAGTTACTTTTATTATGATGACAGTTATTTATGCTGTAATATCGGTCTCCTTATTATCTTTTCTAGTTCCTTAATTGCCTGCGTTCCGAGTCCTAATCTTCTGATTTCTCGGCTGCAGTCTACATTTGAATTGATTATTGAACCAATCTCTTAACTATTTCAGTTTCTTCATTGTCAATATTAAAATTGGGTAGTTCTTCTGCAGTCATGATATTTGTCTTAACATTCAGGTACAGTCCTGCTTTGGCACATTCTTCTTTCACTTTCCTAATTTCATGAATAGTTACTTTTATTATGATGACAGTTATTTATGCTGTAATATAATTATAGATCTGCAGAGCAATCCGGCCCCTGTCAAGGACGCCCAGCGGGGTATTGAACTCTCAACCTCTGGCTCCACAGCCAGATACCTAACCACAGAGCTATTCAGCAGTTTTTTAACTATTTCAGTTTCTTCATTGTCAATATTAAAATTGGGTAGTTCTTCTGCAGTCATGATATTTGTCTTAACATTCAGGTACAGTCCTGCTTTGGCACATTCTTCTTTCACTTTCCTAATTTCATGAATAGTTACTTTTATTATGATGACACTTATTTATGCTGTAATATAATTATAGATCTGCAGAGCAATCCGGCCCCTGTCAAGGACGCCCAGCGGGGAATTGAACTCTCAACCTCTGGCTCCACAGCCAGATACCTAACCACAGAGCTATTCAGCAGTTCAACTTTTAAGACAGGCTTTTAAACAGTAAGTAGGGGTCTCAGGATTGCGATAATTTTAAGGTAAGAGATTTTAAAATGCTTTTAAAATGTTTTTAATTTTTGTTTTATATTGACAAATGATTAGGCATGCTTCAGTCTCAAGAGACTATGGTACAGTGTTCCTCGCATTACGATGTTAATTCGTTCCAGCGAAATCGATGTAGAACGAAAACGTCGTAAAGCGAATCTAAAAAAGCCACTGAAACGCATTAAAACCTGGTTGATGCATTCCAATCGGCTAAGAACTCACCGTCCAGAGAAGATCCTCCATGGGGGGGGCATTTTGGGGTGCCTTCACCGTCCAGAGAAGATCCTCCATGGGGGGGGGCACTTTTTGGTGCCTGCGCAGCGAAAAATGGCTCCTAAACACAGCGGGGAGCCATTTTGAGCACCCAGTGGCCATTTTGAAAACCCGACGATCAGCTGTTTTGATCGTCGGGAAGCGAAAATCAGTTCCCAAAACAGGGAACCAATCATCGCGCAGTGAAATTCCCCCATTCAAAACATCGTTTTGTGATCGCAAAAACCTCGCCGTAATGCGGATTCGTCGTTAAACGGAGCGCCTGTCTTGTGAGGCACCACTGTAACGTGCTCTGTATGGAGGACTTGGAACAGCATCGAGTGTGGCTGAGAAGGCCAATTCAAGAGGGAGCATCCCTTCCACATTGACAAATATTTGTTTTTTAAAATATACCTTTTAACCTTATTTTTAAAAGTCTAATCATTGTGTAGTTTTAATTGGGGAAAAATGATATATGATAGCAATAAATGAATGAATAAAAGTTACCTTTTTGTCTGTGGAACAAAAGCTACAGCCTCACAGTTTGTTCGGTCTTCGGTAGACAGCCATTTTCCTACTCCTTCTATTTCCGACACCATGGCAGCTCTACAATAATCCAAAGTGAAGCGAATGTCCTATTCCAAAACAAAGAAAGCCATTAACGTACTGTGATGCCAGGAACAACTTTGTGCAACATCAAACAGGCAGGCAGTCACAACCGGAGGGATGGGGGCATGGAGGCCAAACTAACAGTAGATGACCATCTAGTAATAAGTACTAATGTATCTTGTTCTGGCTTTCCTATCCACTGTGGAGGGTGGCCGCATAAATCCCGGCCACTCCCAAGCACTCCAAGGCCATGGCATCCAGATGGTGGAAAAATCAGGATTCCCATGAATTCATTCATGCCTCCACGGGGGTACCTCAATACAAGTTTTATTCCCTTCTGTTGGGATAACAGCTAAGAATACTGGGTTACTTGCTGGACCTCCTGCACCTGGCATCAAGGTTAGCCCCAAAGGCCCTGTACATAGGGTACAGTGGTAACACACATCAGGCCGACAGTCCCCTGACCAGCAATGACCCCTTATAGAATGGCCTCCCAGAAGAAGTGCCTTGATTCCTTCATCCACCACTTAAAAATGGGTCTGAAGGATCCGACTGCTGATCTATAGTTGTAAAGCTGTAATGTTGACAGCTGTTACTAATTCAGTTTTGCTACAGAGTGAAATATCCTTATGTTTTTATTGCAGTTTAGATATTTTAAGACATTTAACTTTTTAAAATGTACAGTGGTGTCCCGCAAGACAATGTTAATTCATTCCTTTGAAATTGCTGTCTTGTGAAAACATTGTCTTGCGAAAATCGTTTCCCCACTGGAATGCATTTAAATCCGTTTAATGTGTTCCAATGGGGAAAAATAGTCGTCGTTCTGCGAAAATTGCCCATAGGGAAGCCATTTTGCGAAGCGCCAATTAGCTGTTAAAATCGCTGTCTTGTGCAGCATCGGTCCAGAAAACACCCGATTGGAGAAGCGCGAATCAGCTGTTAAAATTGTCATCTTGCGGAAAACAATCTGCAAAGCACAGACCCAAACATCGTCCAGCGAAAATCGCCCATAGGAATCACTGTTTTGCAAATCGCTATAGCAATCAGAAAAAACCATCATCATTTTGCGAGGTCATCGTCTAGCGGGGCACCACTGTATGATTTAATAGTCAGCCATGTCTGTGACCTCTGCCCTATCACAGATGTCACAGAATTATGGGTGTGAGGTGTAACTCACCTGCCTGTTGCTCCTCACTTCCAACTTGTGCCATCTTTTGTCTGTAATGTTCACATGGCTCGGGAGACGTAATTCCACGGTGCCCAAACCATGATTTACTTTCAGCACAGGAATACCACTGGAAAGTTCTAAGATTTATGAGAAAGAAATGCATATGTTTAGCTTTGTTTCCATGACAGTCCTGAGGCAGAAATGTGGGGGCACCATGCTACCTTCTAGCATCCTAAGCTGAGCCAAAAAATGGCAAGTTACTTTTTTGGAACAGAATTCTCAGAATCCCAATCCACTGAGATTCTGGAACTGAAATCCAAACAATAAGCTCTTTTTATCTGTAATGTACGTCAAACTACACATTAAGTTAAATGCACATAGTGTTGCATGGGGAAACCAATCAGGCACAGGGGTTAGGGTGCTAGGGTGAGATTTGCGAGATCCTGGTCCCCACTTAGCCATGCAAGTGGGGTCCAAATGACTTTGGACCATTCACTGTCTCTCCATCAGATCTACCTCACAGACTGTTGTGAGGATAAACTGGGGAAGAGGAAAGCCATGATGCCATCTTGAGCTCACTTGAAGAAAGGCATGATGTCGAATAGCTAATTACTGTTAAGTAAACATAAACAGTGCCTGAAATCTTGTTCTACAGCTATGCCTGCATAACTCATAGTTACATAAGTGGTATAGAAAATTGCGGAGGGGGGGTATGATATTCACAAAAGCATGTTGCACAACAGTTGCATCATGAATTATGTGAGCAATTACACTGCACAATGCAGACTGGCTTGGTGTACCCCCCCCCACCCACCTCTGCAGGCATAACTTTACATTACGTCAACTTCAATATGCATTTCAGCCAATATTTTGTAAGCAGCTCCTCAGGACCACAGAGCACGGATGGGAATCCCTCTCCCGTCTCGTGTTGGGAGAGGATGAAAGATCCCTCTCCACCAAGCAGCTGTTTGCCACAGCTCATGTGCCTCTTGTGGCTTCTCTCTCCTTCCTGTACCAGCAATGGGGACCGGTTTCTGCTTCTACCTCTGTGTAGGGAGGAAAGCGATTCAGACCAACATTAAAAGGCATCCATTGGGCCCTATGTTGTTTTACCATGCACTGAAGATGACAGAAAGCATCTCTGCCACAGGAAAGGGACTATATTGTTGTCCAACTCCTTCCCTCTAAAAATAGGATAATACAATGGAATTACGCTTCATTCAACAAACCACAAGTCTTTTAAAAACAAGCCGTGATAGGGAGGGTAGGCAGGAAGCCTTGAGAAAGAAAAGCTCTTCAAAAGCAGGTTTGGTATTTCCACCAAGCCACATAAAAACAACATCCATGGGTAGATGTTCATTAATCATGTAATAGCTGCCTGAAAAATATTTGAAATGCTTGAAGCAATAGGTGCTCCCCAGTGGGACTTTTTTGATAGTGCTGTCTGCTTTGTTTTCTCTTTGATAACTTCAATTCAAAAGAGGGACTAGAAGTCACAATCTGAGGGTACTAACATCGCTCACTGCATAGCGTGCAGGGAGCATTCACTGTTGTTTTCTTCTTCTTTTCTTTTCTTTTTGTAAGGATTGGCAGCCCATGGGGAACTACAAGAAGCCCTAAAGAAGCACATGTGCTAACTGAGCCCAAGAAAACCCAAATCTTATTCCAAGGAAACAATGCCACTAAATCTCATTATGCAAAATCCAAGGCTAACGAATGCAAATTTTAGACAATTTTGTCCATCTATACTTTGAACGTGGTACAGCTCTTAAAAAATAACCTAAGGGAAATGAAGGAAACAACTGCATTGAAACAAGAAAACATGGGTTTTGCAAGATGAGCCCTAACAAACAGGGGAAGAGGGAAAGTAACACAGCAAAGAGGGTAAACATATAAAAACTGCCATATTGCATTTTTTGGCTCAACTGTAAGTTCTTGTAGGTTGATTTCATTTTTGGCCACAAATAATAATACTAATAATCTTAGAACTGCAGGGCTGGAAGGAATCGAACTCCCAACCTCTAGCTCCACAGCCAGAGATTGAAACCACTGAGCTATCCAGCAGTTCTGAGATAAAATAACACTGAGGTCGGAGCACAGGTGGCTCACACACCAGGACAGGGGCACCTCCCTCCAAAATCTCAAGGCAGCGAGTTCCCTTTCATCTCATCCTCAAACCATAATTGGGTAGCAGTAAGACAAAGAATTGCTGGGACTTGGTTTCTGGCAGGGGTAGGTAAGCTGCTTGCCTCAACTGTAGCTCTGTTTATGAAAAGCCAAATATTTTTAAAGCACTGTCTCCCTACCAGTATAGCGCAAACTGAACTTCTTGTAAGAAGTGTGTTTGTGTGTGCAGAAGAGAATGGGTTTTAATAATATGGACTGTCCATTTAAATAACGCAACTTCAATGGAACTTCAAGCCAGTATCACCCCCAGGATTCAATGTAGATCATAAATCACAAGGCTTATTATCCATAACAAACATGCATGAACTGGCTTAGAACGAAGCAGGGGAGGACCCTTAAAAGCAACATTTTCTGCTATTTAAGAGAGCTTTTAGCAGTTTGCTGCTGAAATCTAGTGGTGTGATTTGCCACCAAATTTCATCCCTGTGCTTGAAGGGCGCATAATGGATGGCAAGCCACCCTAAAATCCACCCTGCTTTGAACCCTGGATGTCCTTAGCACATATGCCTGCTGTATATAAAAGGATCTGGCACATTATGGGTCGGACTGCCTGTTTCAATGAGCTGGAATGAAGACGTGAGCAACACCACCTGGGCTGAGCAGAGTGATCCTCATCCCTGATGTCCTTTGTGCTTCAGGAGGTAATGCACTGTTCACTTTATCAAATATGAATACCTATTGCAATGAAGTTTTCTGAGATCCCTGAAACCGAATCTGACAAAAGACCGTTGTACAACAGAAGGCCATCTGGAACATCAGTAATAAACTCGAGAGAGAGGGAACTCTCGAAGCAAGGCCTGATGGGACGGAACCAGGCATAGCCATTTCCATGGAAACTGCGCTTTGTCTGCTGGCAATCTGGTCCATGAAACGAAGCAAAACACTTGCACCTGCAACGAACACAAATGAGGAGAAAACACAGCGGGAGGGAAGGACGAGAAAAACAGTGTCAACATTAAATGCTTGCTTATTAATTGACCGCTAGATACGGAGCTATGTAGTGTTTTAAACTTGGCACGATGGCCCCAGGTTGAAATAAAAATGCCAGAATTCGTTAGAAATCAGGCTGATCAGGAAAAGCTGATTCGTGGTGCTCGGCCACTCCCACCCGACAGCAAGAGCACCAAAAGAATTAGCCTCCACTTGTGGTTTGTTTGATATTGGCATCCAAGCCAGAATCCTCATCTTGCTGCTCTCCAAATAAGCCAGCATCCTAAGCAAAGAGTCAAGAGTAGCTTCTGGTTCTGGTTGGTGCCGAAAGAAGTAAGCCCAAGACTGTCATTCGGGGATATCATTCAAGCAAACAGACACAGAGGCTTCATGATTTGTGGAGCCTATTCCACTTATTTTGTTGTTTAGTCGTTAAGTTGTGCCAGACTCTTCGTGACCCCATGGACGAGAGCATGCCAGGCCCTCCTGTCTTCCACTGCCTCCCGGAGTTTGACTAGATTCATGTTGGCAGCTTCAATGACACCATCCAACCATCTGATCCTCTGTCGTCACCTTCTCCTCTTGCCTTCACACTTTCCCAACATCAGGGTCTTTTCCAGGGAGTCTTCTCTTCTCATAAGGTGGCCAAAGTAGTTGTTGTTAAACAGAAGTGATGAAGAAGAACACTGTGGGGTGTTGGCCGTATCCTGATAAGCCTTGATTTCAACACATTTTGGCTTGTGAAAATGTTTGAACCATGTCTACATTGTATCATCTCTAAATGTTTTATGGCCTCACCCTTCAGATCATGAACCAGCCAGAAAGCTTCAGCTACTGGGTGGTCCAAAAATGTGGTTGGAAAAACAGATATGTACAAAAAACAGATATGTACAAAAGAGAGAGAGAGAGAGAGAGAGAGAGAGAGAGAGGACAAGTTGCTGCCTCCAGGGGAGAAAGTAGAGAAAAAATCATAACACTGAAACAAAGGGGAGCAAGAACTCTCAAAAAGTTTATTCCCTTAACTACAGGGCTATAAAACATGACTTTTTGTAGAGTTAGGGGTGGGGGAATAGGAGAGGAAACTCTTGAAACAAGGCCTCTCTCACCTGTAACCATTCAGCATGTCGATGCATGTCCCTCCATTGAAACACGGATTGTGAGAGTAGGAACTACACGACCGATGAATTCTCTCCCGAGCTGCACAGGTGCAAACAGCACTGATGCTTGTGGTTATTGAGACCAGCGATACACTTCCTGTGTCCATTACTGTGGGGGTGTCACTCACGGTGATGTAGTTTGTGCAGCCACTGCTACCACTACAGTCTGTCCTCTGGCATTCGTCCACATCAGTCTGAGAAACGTTGACCCCTAAAGCCAGCTGGATCTAGAGGGGAAAACATTTGGCAAATTGTCCCTGTGTTCCTGAGCAAGAGAATGTGCAGCTTTCTAATGCTGAACATCTATACGCTCATATGTGCACTCATTAAGCATTTCTCATCCTGACTGCAACTGTTTTGTCTCCCAAAGTGTTAGAGGGAACACCGAGGTGGTAAAGGACAGGGTTTGTGTGCAGATGCTCCCAAACACAACGTTTTGTATCTCAGAGGAGGAGAACCCAGGAAATATGAGTAGGAAGAGGTCCTGGAGAGTTTGTGCAAATCTGTGCACTGTGCAATAGACTAAACCTAGAATGACACAGCTTCCTAACAGGTATTGTAGATAAGGACCTGCTGTTCTACGAGTATGATTTCAGATTCTAAACCAAAAGTAAATAGTTCTTTTTACTTTTCTAAAAGGATATCCAGTTCAGTTCAATTCTAGCATGCAAAACAAATTCCTGGATAGATCAGAGTATGGAAATGTTTGTTTGTTTGTGCAACATACACCGAAGGACTCTAGGACAATGAGTCCAAAAAGCTAACTTGTCCAAGTTCTGGGACACATCATTTTTTAAATTTAAAACAGGCAGAATCCTATTGAGACAATGTAAAAACTCTGCAAATACATTGCCTCATGCAATCTCCAGCACACAGTTGTGCCAGTCAGAGATTCCCTCACTGAAAGCAATGAGCTTCCGTATGCATAGGGGGGAAGGGAGTATCCTCCCCCTTGCAAAAATGCCAGCAAAGGACAACCCCACTCTCAACAGACCATTGTGCACGCAGTGAAAACTAAGATGATCCTACTTAATCTTTGCCTCTGTTTCAGGTAAGTAGGTCTTAGGCAAACAAAGCAGATCCTAGAAGCCTGCACCCTACCCACGGCTGCTCTAAGGCAGTGTTTGTTCCATCCATAATCTTCTTTCTCTGTAGGAATCTGCTGGTCCTAATACAATTTCTCTGCACAACAGTTGTGTGTTTTGCATCCTGTAAGTACTTCCTCCGGAGCCAATGTCACATTTGCCCAATATGGTGGCAGAGTAGCCTACTGCCTCACCTTGTTTTTAAAGGCAGCCACTTGCCCGTGCAGTTTTTCTGGTCTATAATAGGAAGAGCCATTCTGCACTGCAAATCTCACATCTGTCTGCCTCCCATTGACATTCAACACACTGAAAATAATGACATCCTCAGGGTAGACTGAGAGGATTCTTGCAAGCAGGTCTTTGAATTTGTCATGCCTGCTTTCCTCTGGCTCATCTTTCTTCATGAACTCTTCTGCGGTCACATCTGATATGAACAGAAATTATTTTTTTAAAAAGTTAGCAATGTCATGGTCCAACTAGATTATCTATTTAGCATGTTGCTGGAAGAGGTTCTCTCTCACACATTTAAAATTTCTGATACATACGCCTAAAAATATAATGAATGGAGTATCTCTGACGGCCCATCACTCAGAGCATCATCCACTGCCATTCTGATAGTGAGGGTCAACCTATGTGACATACTTACGACCTTTCCAGAAGGGGTGCTCCTCCTAATGATGAAAGGCATCTATTTAACAGAGCAAGTTATTTCATCTATTTATTCTACATATTGTCTCTTTTGTTTTATGACCAGTGGAAGATAAACTGATTGGAAGAAAATCTGTTTGGAAGAAAACCTGATTGCTGAGGATTCTTTGAGAAAACTGCTGTAAGAAGAGATGTTGTAGGAAATACATGGTCCCTTTAACATTTAGATTCACCCTCAGTGTCATAGAACATGTCCTTAACTACTGTGCAAACTTGGGACCTTCTCTGCTATGGCATTCTGGTTGTATAATGTCTTCCCTTAGAGAGATCACCTGTTGCTAACATTGCTCTAATTTTGGTGCCAAATTAAAACTTTAATTCTTTACCTAAGTTTTTAGGATGCAGTAACCATCTCAATTCTAATCTATGTGTTTATGGATTTCTGCATATTGTTTTATCTTTTTAAAGTTTTTGTCTTGTTTTGTTTTGTTGACTTGTCTGAAGTTGTTTAGTACAGTACTGTGATAGCCTGTACTGTGCCCTGGGATCTATGGAGATATAGCAGGGCCTGAATGAATGAATGAATGAATGAATGAATGAATGAATGAATCAATCAATCAATCAATCAATCAATCAATCAATCAATCAATCAATCAATCAATCTCTGGGAAGTTCAAGCAGAGTACATAATCTCCATCCCATCCACATTATGATCTGTACAGGGCTGTGAAGCAGGTTGGGCTAAGAAACTGTGATTCTGCCATCCTTACCCAGCTGCATGATGACATGGGGAGACTGAACCTTGCCTTCCCTAAGTCACAGGCTTTGCTAACCACTAGAAAACACTGACTTCCATTCCAACCTGCGTAAACATCTGTTTCAGATGTTGTACCGCAGCAAACCCAGCATTGCCACCGTGTGTGCATTCAATAAGGAATCAGACTCAGTCCTACGCCCAGTGTTGGCAGACCTGGAAACTGTACTATAAGCTTGACGTTGCTCTCATTCACATGGCACTGTCTGCACGTGAAGATAGCTTTGAATAATATTAGATGGACAGCTAAACAGGCCATATGTGAATTGGCCCAACGATAGAACAACCAAGATCCTACGACTGATTTAAACTTGTGTTAAAAAAATTGCATAACTGAGCCTGCCAGGTTGGCATTTGTTAACGAGGTACATGGTCAAGTTCCTGGGCACATGCCCTATCATGCAAATTGTTATCTATCTAGGAATGCAACCACCACCTTAATCATGACCGGCAATTTGCCACTTCATAATGAGTGGCAATTTGCTGCAAACACAGCCTTTTTTCATAATAAGCCATACAGTGGACCCTTGACTTACAGACGGCTTGACTTACAGACTTTTTGACTTGAGAACCGCCTTCCAATATGGATTAAGTTCTCAAGTCAAGCCCCCACTGTATTTACTGCTCTATTTCAGCTGCTGATCACAAAAGCAACCACAAACTTAAACATTATATATTGTTTAAAAAATAATCAGCAAACATTTGAATTTCTCAGTTGCAAAGGCAGGGAAGAAATACAGGACTGCAGATAAATTTTCCAACAGAAAGAGCCTGAATCTCTCTCTCATTCTCTCTCTCCCTCTCTCTCTCTCTCTCTCTCTCTCTCACACACACACACACACACACACACACACACACACACACATTTCCCCCTTAACAATATTGGTTCCTATTAGTACTCTGGGGCTCTACTCATAAACAACTTTTATTTAAAAATCATCAACCGGTCTTCCCCAACTGGTGCTGACCAGCCACTGTGAGACCACAGCGCCCATGACCACCTGGGTGTTTAGGGCTGAAGAAAGTTGTAGCCCAAAAAAACATGAAGAGTTTATTTTAAATCTTCAGTTGCTAAAAATTCACCAAAAAGGAAGAGAGGAAGCAACAAGGGAAGGAAGGAAGAAAAGATCTATAACTAATGTCATATTCCACTAAAACCACTGTCAAGTTATAGTGTTTGGTGTCCTGTTACAAGTAGGATATATGAGTTTTCACAAAGAGCAGGCAGTCATGCTCCTCTGATGAATTAGACTAACCTGCCAAGCGCAGAGTGGCTGAATTCCGGATGGCTTCATTTTCTATTTCTCTGACATGAATCTCCACAGTTGCAATAACATCAGGCCAAACTCCATCTGACACTCTGACTTTTAACTCATATGTTCCCTGAGGAGCATTATCCACCATGATCAGAGAGCCAGTCCTTTGATTCAGCCTGAAAGACCTAGAAACAGAACACACACACATACACACACACACGCACACACACAAAAACAAATCCTCTTGAACCTGCTTTACCTCAAAGAACATTCTGATAGCACAAGCTAAGTTGGTTCATATAAACATCCTAGAACACTTCTGAGCTGAAATGTGCCACTCTCATTAACACAAAAAGGAAGATCAGATCACAAAGCGATTCTTTCTCCACAGCATTTTTGCCTTATTATCCTCTATAGCTGATTTTGATGGAATTGTCTTCTCAACAAGGATTACTCCCACCAGAGATAATCCTATGAGAACTTCACATCTTAAATACAAATCCACACAGATTTTACACGGGCGATCCATGAAGATCCAATACCCTGCTTTTCTGATTACTGTACCTCTAGGTAATCTACACTTCTTCTGCACTCCCATCTCCCAATATTACATAATTACCTTCAAGACAGGTTACCCAGACACAGACGAGCCCTACTCCAATGCTCTTAAACTGTGTTCATTTGGCATGGGGGCTGGGAAGGGCAGTGTATTAGTGCCCTCCTCCGCCCTCATTGTTTTGCTAACCTGAAAAGAAAAGCTCGAAGAGGAATACTTCCTTTACCTTTAACGGCTCTTCATGCAGTCAAAATCATCTTTCCCCCACATTCTCCAATATTCCAAGGGATGTGTGACTACATGGTACTAATATACTGCCATCCTTACATGTTGAATACACACTTAAGAATATCTGAAAAGAGCTTTAGGTTCCCCCCCCCTTTCAGTAATACTGGGGCAAAGTAGGCCAGGTGTGGCCTTCCAGATGTTGTTGAACTACAACTTCCATTTTCCTCTCCCACCAATCCACAACCTGCATCATCCCTCTCAACCATCAAGTCCACCATACTGATGGATTGAGTGATCTGGAAAGGCACAGATTGTCCTGTTCTACACTTTTAAGATGCTATCATGACTTCTAGGTGCAAAGTTATACCAGTGTCAAACTGCTATTAATGCTGTGGTGAGCCTGCATTTACTACAGCAAAAGTGTTTATTACAAACAGAACGTTTCTGAGCAATTCAGGAGGGCTCACCTCTCTCACTGGCCTCACCCTCTTCGGCCACCACTGCTGTTTCTCAGTCATTTTCCAGTCACTCTGCAACCAAGCCGCATCAGTGGCCAAACTAGCAAAGAGAAGCTATGGCAGTTTCTCCTTGTTCTGAATGGGAAAGTGAAGTGGGAGCAAGGGCACAGAAGACGTATAGCAAAGCTATGGCCTCCAGGACTTAGAAGGAGACCTCCTCCTTCTAAGGAGGGAACATGGGCCTCAGCACATGTCTAACAACAGCGCATGTCCAACAAGGCCAACCTGATGCCAGAGAAGCTTCTTTTAATACCCAAGTACATGCACAGGGATCATGCAGAGAGTCATGCACCAATAACGCATGAGGAGAAACAAGTTTGAGGATGCACATTTGCCATTCAAACGCTATCAGTCCTCTTTGGGAAAGTGCAAAGATTGCCATGTAAAATGTAGAATAGGACTGGCGTTTTTCTTGCTTCCTACCCCTGCTAACAAGAGGACCCGATACTCATCTTCCTTGGCAACAGCAGTATTGGAACCGCAAAGGCACTATCACCACAATGTCAAACACCCACTGACTTTCTTACCAACCAACCAACCAACCAACCATGATGTCTGTATTTGATGTCTATATTTTGATGCCACGTGTTTGCCATGTGAAATCTCTACTCTTATGTCTGATGAAACGGACTTGTCCATGAAATATGACATTTAAAAAAAATATAAAAGTTAGTCTTTCAGGTCCCACCACCTTTTTAACTTTTTATTTCCATTTTGGTTTCACTTATAATGCTCGCACAGACTGACACGGCTACCCCTTCTACAACTTCTTATGGTTGCAGCCTCCAAAGGAGAAAAAGGCAAAATGCATGTTTTAAAGGCACCGTCATCTCTGATCTGAACAACGATCTTGCCTTTAGACATATCAAATACATAAGAAAGCATAAGAAAATAATTACAGAAGCATAAATACTAAATATTACTCCACTTGACACAACTACAGTCCTCACTTGTGCATTTTTCCTTCAGAGACAAACGTTTTATTGTCCCAGTCATCCTGATCTGGTGCAAACACTTCCCCAAGCATGGTTGTTGACCATTTTCCTGTTGAGACAAATTACAATAAATCTACATTAATTCCCCTCCTTTTCCCAGCGAGTTTTATATCTGCGAACATTTATTGCAGCATTCATCATTTTTATTATGGCTTGGCTTTCACAAAGGTTATGATCCAAGAAATTTCCAAGTAATGCAGCAGCAGGCACGTTTCATGGTCTTGCCACTGAGAAGTTAGACATACACATATTACAGGTAGGAGGGCCCATGGTTCTGTTGCACACAAAAAATGGATTACCAAGCTAAGTCAAATTTGTGCTTCAGGTAAAGCTGACTTTTCGCAGCTTGAATATGCTGTTGAAGCTAAGAACAGCCACATTTATTTTCTAGTTGTGTAGAATTTATTCTGCTGCTCATCAGCCACCAGAACTAAAGAACAGGATGGCTAAACCCACAATCCTCTCCACTCAGTTCAGTCTCTCATTAGAGTTCGGAACTTGTTTCCTCTTTAAAAAGTGAAAGCTGCAATTTTCAAGGCACTAACGGACACATTTTCAAAGTTAGGTAATTAGGGAGGCAGTTACTTTTGGGGTAATGAGAACTACATTAGGGTTCAAAAGTAATGTAACCAGTGCTTGCAATTCCTGGCTAAACCCTCCTAATGATTTATGCACGTGTAAGTTAAATTGTTTAGCTTATTATGTTCAATTGCCACTACCTAATGCAGCACTGACTATGCAACACCTACCAATGTAACCAGTGCTTGCAATTCCTGGCTATAATAAGCAATAGCCTAAACTCTCCTAATGATTTATGCAAGTGTAAGTTAAATTGTGTAGCTTATTATGTTCAATTGCCACTTACCTAATTCAGCACTGGTTGTGTTACAAGGTATGTGCCTGACTATGCAACAGCTACACCTAGGAAAGTCAGTGGCAATTTACTACAGTGGCAATATAACTTATGTATGTGTGAATCATCAATAGGTTCTGGACAAAATTTTCTAGCAGCTTTCAATTGTTACTTGTAAGAGTATTTTTAAAGCCATTTTAGAGGCATATTGACAGGAATTTTTCCATGTGTTGGGTCATTTTCTTATCAAGCCTAGATGTCAAGTGAAATACTGTTTTGTTTCATCTTTGTTTTACCATTTTTGTAAGCATTTTCAAGGCGCAATATCAGAATGAAAGAGTGAAAGGGAACTGGACAGAATTTCCATGTAATTTTTTGTCTGTATTGGTAACAACAATGCATGTTAACAACACAGAACACAATAAATTTCCTGCCAGGCAACAATAACAAAAACAGTCACTTTACTGTCCCAAAGTAATGAGTAACACAATGAGTTACTTTTGCAAAAAAAAAGTTTTAATTTGATACTGGTTTAATTCTTTTAAAAAAATTACTTGGATTCTTTTTTAATTTATTGTTTATAGTTCCTAAGATTCTCTGTATTAATGTCACAAGATGCTTTGGATCCTCTTGAGGAGAAATGCAGAGTATAAATATTTTAAACACTACCGCAAGCTCTGTGTGCTTCATAGTATGTTTTGAATTAATGCTTTCAGATCACAAATCTCAAACCACACATAATTTTGGTTAGACAAAACAATAAGAATGCCATGACATAAATAACAGTAGTATATTTATGGCATAAATATATTGTCAATATAATTCTGACTTTTAGTGACCTTTTCAAGGGTCATCCTTATCTCCTGGCATTGTGGCAACCACAAATTAGGTTAGCTACATTCAAAGGTAGCTCCCATCTCCTACTGGGACAACAGGAGATGATTACTGGAAGCAACTAGGAAATGTGCATCAAATCATCTTCTGGAGGGGGGCTATGCATAGGTGAGGCCCTACTTGCAGCAAGGAAGTGGGGGAGGGAGTACTCCGTAAGTTGTTTTAGGCAAGAAGGAGTCTTGATCATAGGCAGGATAAGGAATGAGACAAAGCGCCTTCCATGGCAAGGGACTAGACTGGGCACCAGTTTGCCCAGCTATGTAGTGATAATCTCAGAAGTGTCAGGGAAAGAGATCTAATAAAAATACACGGGGCAATTTATGGAGCCCTGCCTACAGAACAGCAGAAGGCATCAACATATTCCAAGAGCATCCCCCATAAAAGAAGGGAGAAAAGAGGAGCCACTATTAGCACTATATGCCAGTTATAACTCATAAATGATCTGAATTCACCATAAAAGCCAGAAGCCTGTTTCCCCACCCCACCCCCTATTATAAAGTGAACGCTGAGATTCTGGGTGCTTAATTATACAGAGAGGAAAGGAGACACTTGGAGAATTGCTTATAAAAGGGGAGGGAAGAAAGAAAGGAGGATCTTGTGAACTGTTCTCAGAGAATACCCAGAGATAAGGAGGGCAAGAGAGTGTGGTTCATCTATATTCCCTTACTTTTCTTAAGAAGCAAGAGGCAGCTTTGCACACACCGTAATAGTTTCATAGAAGTTCCATCTTCTACAGATCAGACATACAATATAGATCAAGTATAAAATTTTGCATCATGTTTTATAATGGTCTATAATGTTCCATCATGGGCTTCTGTGATAATAATCAGTATTAGGGGATTCTCACAAAATTACTGCTTTCCTCAGTACCTTGGATCACTGGGGGGCAGTTGTGACAACAAAACCAATATAAACAGGTTAGAGATGCCTACTTTGTCTCAACAAAGAACAATTTCTAGGGACATTTAAGATCATTATGAAATGTTCCCACAATCTACTCAACACCTACCTCGGTGTGTGTAAACATAGACCGTTTTATGGCCAGGTTCATGAATGTTGTCATTTTCATCCCCAATAGTTACTGACAAGATGTTTGTAGAGCTCATGGGTGGGTTCCCACTATCTGTTATAATAATGGGGAGACGGAACAGCTTCTGCTTCTCTCTGTCAAAAGACCTCAAGGCAGTAAGAGTTGCCGTATTATTTCCATTATCAGTAAGAGAGAAATCCAAAATGTTCTCATAATCTGGGGGTAATGAAAACATAAAAGGTGGCCCATTCTCATCACTATCTGGATCAAAAGCTTGAAGCAGATTAGAGGTAGAATTCATATAAACCAGTTGAGGTCCTGGAGTATTTTCCCACACCACAGGCATGTAGGACGCCTCAAATTGTGGACCGTTGTCATTAACATCCAGCAAGTCAATCAGTATTGTAATACTTCCTGTGCGGGGTGGATTCCCTTGATCGGAAGCCTGGATAACTAAGACATACTCCTGAGTCATCTCCCAATCCAATGTTTTTGACACAGTCACGTGACCATCTTGATCTACTGCAAATTGCCCAGCAGGATCTGAATCCACCTTGATTGAGTACTCAATGTCCCCATTCAAACCAGAATCCTCATCTGTGGCTGTTACTGTGACGATGGTGGTGCCTACGGGTGTAGTTTCCAAAATAGGGCTTATCTGGACAAAAGGAGAACTGAAAACAGGGCTGTGGTCATTTTGGTCTTCAACTTCAATCAAGCAGAAAGCAATGCTAGAAAAATCCAAGTCTTCCACTTTTATGGTAAGGTTAAACAACCTTTCGTGGGTTTGCTCATAATCCAGGGCCTTTTTAAGCCTAATAGTAGCACGCTGGTCTTCATAGTTTTCAATATAAAACTTCTCTTCTGGATCTCCCCCAATAATGGTGAATGTTAAGTGTGCATTTTCCCCACTGTCTTCGTCAGCTGCTGATATTTCTAGAATTTCAGAATTAACAGGGATAGTTTCTGGAATTACAACATGCCAAACATCCTGTGCGAAAGTAGGGATGTGATCATTTATGTCTGCGATCCAGATGGTGGCAGTACCAGTTCCTGTCAATCCACCCCCATCTTTTGCTTCGATTACAAGGAAACATTTCTCCCTCGTCTCTCTGTCCAGCATCCCTCCTGCTACATAGATGTTGCCAGAACTGGGACTGATTTTAAATAAGTCCATATCAAAGTCATTTTTCACATTCTCAATTATTCGATAGGTCAAAATTGCATTGAGACCTACATTTGCATCATCCAGGTCTACCGCTGTCATTTCCATGACAAATGTATCATCGGGAGAATTTTCAAAGACACTTCCATTGCAGTTGCTGGGCATACAGGTGAACACTGGTGCATTATCATTTATATCCCAGATGTTTATAATCACATCTGCAAATCCTGTAAGCCCCTCCCCTCCTTCATCAGTCGCCAACACAACGAATCTCCAAAGGGCATGCTCTTCCCGATCTAACACCTTCTGGGAATAAATGCTACCTGTGTTTTCATCTATAGCAAAGACATCATCTGCACCATGACCATGCAAGGAGTATCTTACATCACCTCCATCCAGGCCACTATCAGGATCACTTGCTACCACCTAGAGAGATTGAAGTTAAAAAGGAGTACATTAGCAAACGCCACTTTATCAGGAACAGCAAATATAAATGATACATTGGTTAAAACCCAGTAGTAATATGTAGCGTTAGACCCACTGAATCAGTGGAGATCTGGCGAGTCAACACTTATATACATTCCATTGATTCAATGGGCCTTCTCTAGTTGTGACTTACGACTGGATTTCAACTATTATGTATAGCTGAAAACAGACACTATCCCTGTCAAATGGAGCAGCCGCACCTTTCAAACAGAAACAAGCAGCATGAGTGCATAAAGGACCTATTTGGTGTCCAACAAGTGGACCATATTAGGTCTGCTTCATTTACGGGAGAGGCACCAAACGATGGAAGAGGTGTACAGCGGGCTCAGCCACAGTCACGAATCAATTACATTGCACTGGCGCTTCCAGCACAACCTGTATGTCTCCTCTGTTACCCAAACAAATGGTTCTCCTCTGGACCCCATCTTACAACTCAGTGATTGAGGCCTGGCAAGGCTCTTTGCCAGCACAGACCTGAGCCCCATTTCTGCAGAATTCCTGTGGATTTCGGGGATGAGCAACAACAGCCATAAGGTGCAAGCCAGTCTACCGAATACTTTGAACATTTGGAGTCCTTGGCAACTGCATCTGAAACCCCAGAAACTGAGTGGGGCTGTATCAAATTTGCCCTCCCTGTGCTGAACTGTGCTGACTATTATTTAAATGAGCATACCGCAATGTACCTGAAGAACAAAGACTGGAAGCCCATCAAGTTCTTCAATCACACTTCCATAATACTCATTGAGAGCAAAAACAGGAGCTTCATCGTTTTTATTCACAACATTGATGATTACAATGGCCGAATCCTCCCATTTCCCATCAGAAGCCAAGAGGTGAAGTTCATACAATTCTGTTTCTTCGTAATCCAATGGCCAGGCAATGAAGATCACTCCCATTTCTGGCTCGACATCAAACCCTCCTCTAGTGTTTCCAGCCATTATTTGATATCTTAACTTTGCATTGGTTCCTAAAAACAAGCGGGGGGGGGGGAGATGCTTTATACAAGACCATAATTTATCATTATAAATAGGCCCTCCTGTCTCCATGGCATTCTTTAGGAACATTCAGAGGCAAATCACTTATCCTGGAAAAGCAAGTTTAATAATTATGAATCATGCCAATTGTGATTAGCAGCAACGACTATAATTATCTGCATTAATCCTACCAATGAATTGCTATCCTAATTAAGCACTTGCCTAATTTATTCCTGTTTCACTGTCACTGGTTTCTGATGACTAAACAAAACTAGATAATATTCAATTTTTCTAACATTCAATTGTCCCTTTTAAACCTATACAGTATCCTTTAATGTTTAGGTCATACTCACATCTAACTGGGTTGCAGTAGCAGTAGCAGCATTATTTTAGCCGCATAGCTTCACACCATTTTCCCACTGAAAATCCATCCCCATCCTCTTAGCCACGTACAAGAAAACCTGCAGGCTTCAATCCTAAAGCCATAGTTCCCTTCCCCCACCCCTTTAACAGCAAGCAGAAGCTAGGGTTGGGTGGATCTGAATCAAGGACACAAACAGGACTGGATCACACCGTGCTCCATCCATAGCCCTGATCTCTGAACCTATCCTTCCTGTCCATGCACATGTACTTGGTGTTTGCATTTTATAAAGCAAAGAGATGTACGACATTCCAATCCACTGCCACGTGTAGTCCAAACTCAAATCTGTGCCTCAATTCATAAGTAAACAGACTTGCTACTCTCACAGGCTCATCTGATGAAGATCCTAAGAGCTCTTATCAGTGTTTGTTCTCAAGGTGCAGAATCTACTTGGAGGGAAACCAGGCTGCCTTCTTTAAACCCCCACCCCTCCCAATCACCACCACCAACCCTGCTTTCTTGTCTTTCTGTTAGCAGGCAAAGACCTTCATTGAGGTAGGATTGGGGCAGGCTGACTGGTTACCGAGCAGGTGCCTCTTCTGGATCAAGGAGGGGAGGGCACAGCAAAAGTTTGGAGATGCAGGGTACCCCTCTGCTTCAGTCATGGGCAGCCTCTATTGCTAATGAGCGAAGGATTTTTGATTAGGATGGAGAGAGAGACTCGACCTTTCAGGGAAAAAAAGTGCTTTAAAATTGCCTTTAATTTGGCTGTTATTTAATGTGATAATTTGTTTAACTGTAGTTCTTTCCATATTTTAATGGATTATTTTTAAAAACTAATAGTTTTTTTGGCTAGTTTTTCTGAATTTTTTTGTTTAATCATGTTGTGAGATGCCTTTAATCCTTTAGAGAAAGAGAGGATACAAATAAAATAATACAATAATAAATATGTACGAAAATAATTAAATACATTATTCATTATGCAGCTTCTCAATGATCTAATCATTGAGTATTATTGGGTATTATTATCGGGTATTATTGTGTCAATTCATGCCACATGCTCTTTGTGTCATTGTTCCCATCCTGATGGGGAAGCCCCAACTGAAGTGGGTTGATTCAGTGCACGGGAAAACACTGCTTTCTCAATTACCTTAAACAGACCCACACTCTGATTGACCCATGCGTCTGTCCTGTCCCTGTGTGCATTCTGTCCTTCTCTACAATTATCTTATCTGGAATTTATGTTTTAATGAACATTTGTAGTGGGACTTTCTTTCTTTCTTTCTTTCTTTCTTTCTTTCTTTCTTTCTTTCTTTCTTTCTTTCTTTCTTTCTTTCTTTCTGCTATTTTAAATGTGTGAGCTATTTTTTCCTCTTTTTTATTCTAAGTGGCATAGCACTACATCAGTGTTGCAAACAGTGTATTTTTCTGCAATTGAAACATCGCTCTCGCCTCCTTTGTCAATCTATTATGAATTGTAGACTGTCCTGTGCAATAGGCTGGCAAAACTTGCAAATGCAATAATAAACAGAGAGGGGAAAACAGTGTATTTTTCTGCAATTGAAACATTGCTCTCGCCTCCTTTGTCAATCTATTATTAATTGTAGACTGTCCTGTGCAACAGGCTGGCAAAACTTGCAAATGTAATAATAAAGAGAGAGGGGGAAAGAGCCTCAAAAGAATGGAAATGTAAAAAAAGTAGAAAAAAGAATGAAAAAAGGAGCTGATATAGTGTTTGTATAGAGCAACTTCCAGATGGAAGGCAAACCACAGCCCAATAACAAGTCTGCAAGATTCCAGTGCCTATATGATGCAGTGCTAAAGCAGAACAGTTTATAGCAAGCTGTAGGATTCATATCCACAGTTTCAGTTATTTGTGGTTTACCACAACCCTATATGCAACATACAAGGGATGGGCCTTGTGGCCTTTGTCCTGCCTCCATGTTTTGTATCTATGGTTTGCTATTATCCATAGTTTCAAGTGTCCATCTTGTGACCAAGATGTCAGCACAGAGAATACACACAGAACATCATGGCACGACTGTTAACACAACCAAACACAGTTGTTGTTGTTTTAAAAAAACACAATGTAGAGCAATTAAAAATAAACAGCCTCCTGACAGGTACTCAAAAAGAACCAATTCCTTAAAGAAAAGTGTGGGTTTCTCCCGTGTTTGCAGTAACACGTAACTGGGAAGCTTTGAATCATGCTGAATTACCCAGAGTAATTGGAGGATATATTGCAAAGTGGTCACACCCTCAGTTGCGCTTCCATACCATTCTACGTCACCAAGTGCTCATTTTGTTATTTCCAGAACTCCTCTGTGTCTAACCTTGAGAATCTCATTAGGCACAGTGAGGTTACTGCCTCAGACAGCAGAGGGGGGACAGAGAGGGGAACCATGGCAGACACAGTCAACCGGCCATTCCTACCAACGTCTCACCAGTTCTTCCCCTGAAGGACAGAGGTACATGTCCCTCAAAACACGTTTTGAAGTTTCTCAGCTGGCCTGCTTCCGTAAGGTATCTATGAGCAGTCTAGCCCATGGCCAGCATTGAAGTCAAATACAGCTTACAGTCCAGTTAGCTTCTGTACATACAACAAAAGGGGGCACAGTTTTAACCTTTACTTCAATCAGCAAAATATCTTGAGCTGCTGCTTAAAAGAGATGGGTGCTATATTTTGTACTTGTCGTTATGATTATTTTGCTGGGATCCTCTTGTCTTCACTTTTGCTGCATAAGGCTGTGTGGTGTTTTCGAAATTAAAAATGTCCTATTCCTCCGTTCCCAAAGTTCTGAGGCTCTACTGGGATCCCTTTTATCAAAAGGGTGCCTCTGGGAGTCACAGGAGTGGAAAATCCTTAATTTCCAAAAACTGCTTTCAATAGGATGAGTTTACAGACAGGTGTTGTTTTGGGAAATGGAAGATTACCCCACAACCCCCAAAGGCTTCCCTGTGACAACAAGAGAGGCTTCAGAGTTCTGCGGGGAGGAAACTGGAGAATTTTAATTTCCAAAAACCTGTTACAGATGATGACATCATCTGCCTTATGTGAGGCATCTTATGCTACTGGATTACAGCTTTTGAATCTAACTATACTAACAGAACGGTCTGCCGTAAATGAAGAATTATTTTCCATCAAGTCCTCTGGGACCCCTTAATGAAACAAACACACACAACCTGTCAGATTCAAGACAAGAGAAGAGAACTGTTTAAGACAGCAAGAAGCCTTTAAATAAACAGAGGGAAATGGAAAGAGACATTTCCCCTTCTTAGTGCTGCTAAAATATAGCCTCTGAGGTATTGAAAAATTAACTCATTAATATTTCAGGTGCTGCTATCAGGAATTCTTAAGTTTTACCTTCGTCTTCATCATTAGCGCTGACGGTAATGACAGTTGATCCCACATCTTGGTCTTCATCCACATTGACTTCATAGACGCTCTTGGTAAAGACAGGCTTGTTGTCATTCACATCACTGATAAAAATGCGCACGTAGGCTGTGTCTAGAGAGACGGGGAACAAGAGATTAAAATACTTGGCTGTGCCACTTCTGTCAGCTGCAATTCCTTAAACTGTCTTGCTGCACATTAAATGAGGAAGAATAATGCAGACAATACAGAAACGAACCCTTAGGGTTGTGGGACAATTTATAATACCAACATTACTCAAAAAAGCACTTGGATATCAAATGAATGTCACATCCAATTTGTTTAAGCAGATAACATGTGAAAAGCTGATGCCTAATATGGCAAATGTACAGTTTTGTCATAACTTTCCTGTCCTGAAGCCTAAAGATCCCAATTTTAACTTCCTTTAAAGCAACACTAAGTTCTTTGAAATCAAATTCTGTTGCTCGCTGTAACTGCAAGTAAGTACAGTATGGTGTGCAGAACTTTGAGCAGCTGCTCCATAACTAGGCTATTATTCTAGAATTACAGTCTTAAATATGCCCCTATGGATGCCCACCTTAATGTGGTCGTGGGTGTGCCCGTAGGTGCTCTATTGTAGTAGCTCCCTTCAGCTGAGTAACTGTTGCCTCCATTTCTTCATTTTTTTTCTTTCTCTTTCCAAAGGTGTCAGACTAATGCTATGTCACTAATGAATGAATGAGTGAGTGAGTGAGTGGGTGGGTGGTTGAATGAATGAATGGGAAGGGATGGTCCCAGTGAAATTAAGAAGTGATAATTTAGTACAGCTTTGAATCTCCCCAAAGATCACTTTTCTAGTTTGGATTTCTTTTCCCTAAGAAAAAAATACTACAAAATGCCAAAAGTCAGAAATGCAGACAAACACAGTCGTCGTCCCCACCCACCCCCCGGGTGAACCTCCTGCACCCTAGTCCATGCCTACACAGAAGTAAGTCCCAGTGAGTTGCATGAGGTTTCCTCCTAGGAAAATGCCAATTTACAAAAATGCCTTTTTCCTTTCATTACAGCTTTCTATCTCTGCCTCTGTGGACTCCTGTAACATGTGGACGCCTGCAGTGATTCCGCCCGCAGAAACCAGCAGGGGCTGTTTGGAAAACTTCAAAGCAAACCAGGCTTTCCCCAAACCCTAAATGAAGAGTTCTCTTTTAAGGAGAACAAAGTGCTCTTTTAAGAATTGATGGCATGGCCAATGTCCCTCTTTCCTTACCAGAATTAGGCTGCCCATGTTTTCCAGGTCGAGCTGATTCTGACCCATCTGTTGACTTGACTTCCAAAAGGTATGATGCTTTCTTTTCTCGATCAAACACAGAGGCAGTATAGATTGAACCTGTTTTTGAGTCCAAATGAAAAAATGCATAGTCCCCACTGCGATCAGGTAGCAGAGAATACGTGATCTGAAAGATTAAGAGGGAGGCAAGGACCATTATTTATGTCTTTCTCTTGGACAGGTCTCACAGAGTCAAGATCACACAGATAGAACACCCCTCCCAGCCCCAGTTGCAGGCTTTTCTGTAGGCTTAACAACAAACAAACAAACAAACAAACAAACAAACAAACAAAAAGCAATGAAGCCAGACATAATGCCTCATGCTCCTAGGAGTAATAACACAGAAGTAGACATGGCAAATCTTGAACCAAAGTTCATGTTCACTATTACCATAATAAGCACAAGGGGAAGAATCCTACTGGGGTTTCATGTACATGCAAGAGGAAGCACAGAAGCTGTAGCCATCAATGGACCAAACAAACAAACAAACAAAAAGCAATGAAGCCAGACATAATGCCTCATGCTCCTAGGAGTAATAACACAGAAGTAGACATGGCAAATCTTGAACCAAAGTTCATGTTCACTATTACCATAATAAGCACAAGGGGAAGAATCCTACTGGGGTTTCATGTACATGCAAGAGGAAGCACAGAAGCTGTAGCCATCAATGGACAAGGTGCTGGTCTCGTGCCTGTCACATGCTGAGCACTTCAACTATTAGACACAACAACATCAGCAATTCTTCTTGCATGCATGTAAGGTTTTTGCGCAAGCTGTTAAGGTGCTGAAGGTGAAGCGCACAGACCATTGATGGGCAAACAGTACCCCTTCATTGGTGGGCAAACTACGGCCAGTGGTGGGACGTGAAGCGCACAGACCATTGATGGGCAAACGGTAGCCCTTCATTGGTGGGCAAACTATGGCCCTTCAGAAGTTGTTGGATTAGAGCTCCCAGGATTCTTCATCAATGGCTTGGCTGGCTAAAGCTAACAGGAGTTGCAGTCCAACAACTTCTGGAGGGGTGTGCTCAGGATGAGGGAACAAACCAGAAGGTATTGTCTGTGATTAAGCCATTCCCCCTACGGCGAACCTGCTGAATCCCACCTCTGACTACGGCCCTTCAGAAGTTGTTGGAATACAGCTCCCAGCATTCTTCATCAATGGCTAGGCTGGCTAAAGCTAACAGGAGTCGCAGTCCAACAACCTCTGGAGGGGTCTACTCAGGTTGAAGGAACAAACCAGAATGTGTTGTCTGTGATTAAGCCATTCCCCCTACAACAGTGGCGTTTTCTCAAAGACACAAGCTTAAGCAAAGAAGACTTGCCAATTAAGTCTGTGGTTATTTATCAGTGACCAATCACAAAACAAGCCATGGTAAATGTAAGGAACCATCAGAAGCAAGAAAAGACACCTACTATGATAAACAGAGTGTCTTTGACCAACTGAAGGAACACCTCTTCTAGAAAGTGCCAAACAGTTCATTTAATTTGATCATCAGTCTTCTGGGCATTGCTAAGTGAAGCTCAGCATGATCAGCCCTCAAAGGGACTTCACACATTATATTATTAGGCATACAAATGAGAAAGTTAAAACACATGAATAAATCCATGAAACACAAGTACAACAAATAAGTGCAATTATTGCAGATCTGCAGTTAGCCGTAGAGATGGTCATGAATGAAAAAAACAACTGTGGTTCGTTGGCTACCCACAAATTTATCATGAACCCCCCAAAACAAACTGATATGAATTGGTAGATGGTTGTTTTTTTGGGTTTGTGATGGAGGGAACCGCTCACCTTATCATGAACCCCCCAAAACAAACTGATACGAATTGGTAGATGGTTGTGTTTTTTGGGGGGGTTGTGCTGGAGGGAACCGCTCACTTTCCACTGTCCCCGTTTCCTCCCTACCTTGTCTTGAAGCCGCCACTGCCGCCGCCGCCACCACCGGCATCCTCAACCCTTCTTCCATGCAGGAAGCCAGGCCTGCTGCCTCTCGGGATGGTAGTGGCAGCAGTAGCAGTGGCAGCTTCGAGGACAAGGTAGGGAGGCAGTGGGGGAAGTGGAAGGAGGAAGGGTGGGCATCCTGTTTTGCCAGAGCAAAACAAAGTGCCGAGGGGGGAAAAGTTTGGTGCTTCGTTTTGATTTCAGGAAAACAGGATCCCTGAAATGAACCATAAACTAGCTCAGTTCATGGTTGTTGTTGTTGTTCTGGTTTGGGGTTCAATCTATGCCCAGCTCTGAAATTCTTTATTTGTATAAACTACAGCACGTGAGCACGTGGGACGTGGTGGCGCTGCGGGCTAAACCGCAGAAGCCTGTGTTGCAGGGTCAGAAGACCAAGCAGGCGTAAGATCGAATCCATGCGACGGAGGGAGCTCCCGCCGCTTGTCCCAGCTCCCGCCAACCTAGCGGTTCGAAAGCATGCAAATGTGAGTAGATTAATAGGGACCCCCTCGGTGGGAAGGTAACAGTGTTCCGTGTCTAAGTCGCACTGGCCATGTGACCACGGAAGATTGTCTTCGGACAAAATGCTGGCTCTGTGGCTTGGAAACGGGGATGAGCACTGCCCCCTAGAGTCGAACACGACTGGACAAAAATTGTCAAGGGGAACCTTTACCTTTACAGCACGTGAGAAAAACTATGCAAAGCCTTGTTCAAGATTTACTCTGTTGCCGAATGAAATAAAAGGGATCAATGTAGTTAATACAAAATATAAATGTAAGAATAGGCAATACCTTTATAAACCACTAAAAATAATAATCATAAAGTCTGCAAACTTTTGTGAATCAGGATCATCCACTTCATCAAGTATGTACTAGTGTGAAGAACTTAAAAGTCCAAGCGTTCACGGTGTTCAAGATTTACTCTGTTGCCGAATGAAATAAAAGGGATCAATGTAGTTAATACAAAATATAAATGTAAGAATAGGCAATACCTTTATAAACCACTAAAAATAATAATCATAAAGTCTGCAAACTTTTGTGAATCAGGATCATCCACTTCATCAAGTATGTACTAGTGTGAAGAACTTAAAAGTCCAAACGTTCACGGCAAGATGGATTTTGCCAGAAAAGTTACGCTTAGATGTAAAGTCCAACAGCTGATGTGACATCAAGATTTAATTTACCTCACCATTCTGGCCAAGGTCTAGGTCAGTGGCAGAAACTTGAAAAACCAGTGTTCCAACCTCTGCTCCTTCTGTTATAGAAGCTTCATAAATTGATGAGGTGAAGAAAGGGACGTTGTCATTCACATCTAAGAATGCATAGAAAATTCAGAGTTAACCGGTGCCCGTGCATTTAGTGTGTTTCAGCGTTTTTTTTAATAACCATTCTACCTTCTTATCCAGAGGCCTCAAGGACAGTTCATAACATCTGGAAAATATATCAACAGGCATGCCTTTACAAAACTTTTCCAAATCTTGATTGTTCTAAATGTGCTGGCCATAGTGGCTGGAGTAGATTGGAAGTGTAATTCAAAACATCTTTGAGACTTAAGGAAGGTTGCAGTAAAACACTAGATCTTAATGCACTTTCCCCCATATTGCATTACATGTAAGCAGCCCAAGTTTTTTGTGTGTATATGATCTATGCTTGCAATCGAAAATTGGAAATCATGGTTTGATCATAGTCTCCTATTCTGTCTTGCACTAATCATAGTTTACCCTTTTCAAGTGTTATGGTAAACTAAGGTTTGCTAAGGAACACAAACGGGACAGATGAGATGTGAGCTGTTTGTTTTCATAATTCTGGTATACAAATAGTTACTAAAACTAAGTTACAAAATATAGTTAGTCATTTCGACAACTCTGCAATATTCATTAAAAAAGAATATATATATATACACAAAGAAAATATACTGTTGAACATGAAGAGTTTCTGTTCAATACAGATGGAAATACACTGGAAATACAGACAAGAAGGTTTTAACTAAGTAAGCAGTGTGCTACTAGTTGTTGCACATTTTATTCCAAAATTAAAATTACTTTACCTACCTGTCACATTAATATAGACAGTGGCAAATGCAGCAAGCGGCACTGCAGCTACATTCTGGGCTCGAATCCTTAGCAAAAAACTCTTAGTGGTTTCATAATCCAAAGGCTCGGCTACAAGGATAGATGCAGAACCATCATCTCTGTTTGGAGTCAAGTAGAATCGGATTGGCATGTTGGTCTCTGGAACTAGCCCCTCTTCTAGATTATATGTTATACGTGGGTCACCAAGGGGTGATGTTGCTTTAATAGTCTGTGGAGTTGAAAATGTTCAGAGAATCAGAGGTAGGTCTTTATGCACACACATGCACACGTACACACACAATTCCTATTTTTAAAAAAATCATGTTCAAAAGATCTAAGAAGACGGCACTGTGCCTTTTAATTTATGAACTGACATGTCTTTGTAAGATAAATCAGATCAACATAAATGTAACACTGGGTGCAAACTTTGAGTTTCATACTGCACTACTGCCCTAGAGTGTTTTCCAGTGTGGCACCCTTCAGATTTATTAGAGTCAACTCCCCAAATTCCTAAACTACTGGCTGAAAATTGGGGGTGGGGTGGGGAAATAGTTCAATACTAAAGCTAAAAACTGACACAATGGGGAAGAACAAATTAGTATCTTGTTAAGCTACCACTGGAGCTGTAGATCTGTTATTCTGTTCCGTCAAACTACAACCAACTTATAAGGAACCTAATAGGGTTTTCAAAATAAGTACGATATTTAAGGAATACCTTAATATGTTCCATGGCTCAGTAGATTTGAACTCAGGCCTCCTGAGTTCTAACGTATTACTCTATACACTACACGACTCTAGGTTTCCCCAGAGCTATAGGCAGGCATGACTAAATCACATGGCTGTCAGAAACGAGTCAAGGATCATATATTTCACTTTCCCCAATGGAGGCTAGTAAGCGGTACAATGGTATTCAACCATGGAGAGACAGATTCAAATAAAGTAATGGGTTCCTTCCTAAACAGAGTAATGGGGGAAACCCACTCACAAGTTTGGAAGTTGGCTTGTGCAACTCAAGTATTTTTCTGCAAATGCAGAAAACAACTCAAGTTTATTTCAACTGGAAAAAAGCATTTTTATGCCCCTGAAACATCAGTAAGTACCCACAACAGGATACAATCAGTTCCTCAATTTCCCCAGGAAGGCCAAAATCCTTTCTTCCCATCAATTGCTTCCATCTGAACTCTTTACTCCCAGTCCACCCTCATACCTAGCTTGTTGTTCTGGGGTCAGAAGGCTGATAAAAGCCCCTTCCCCCAATCTTCCTGCCCTGATACCTAGCATACTGTTACAGGTGCCATGTCAGGCACACTGAGAAAGACTTGGTTAATTAGGTAACTATAGCTCTTTGAGTGGTGATCCATGTACTGTATCCACACAAAATGGCCATGTGCACCTGTGCAACGCCACTTCGGAAAGTTCCAGAGCCTCAAAAATGAAAATGGAGCAAGAGGGAAGGTGGGTGAGACTGTGTGGATACATGGATTACCACCAGTCAAAGAACCACAGTTACGTAAGTAATCAAGTCTTCTTTTTCGTGTTGTCCATGTACACAGAGAAAATGAGTGAATAGCAAGCTATACACTGGAGGTGGGAGTTACGCCAGAGCAGAAGACAAGACAGCCTTTCCAAATGCAGCATCTTTTTGAGCTTTGGAATTTAATGTACCGTGTGTGACAAATGTCACTGGATGGGACTAAGTTGCTGCTCAGGAGATCTCTTGGATGTCCACGCCTTGGATAAAGGCCACAGATGAGGAGATTGCTCTTGTGGAGTGACTGCAGAAGCGCAAAGGTACGGGCTTGTTTGCTAGTTCATAAGTCAGGGCAATAGCCTGAGAGATTCATTGTGAGACGATACCGAGTGTTCCTTCTTGGGACCTTGGCAGGATATGAAGAGATTAGTGGTTTGTCTGAAATTCTTTGTTCTGTTTAGGTAAAAGGCCAAGGCTCGTTTGATATCCAAGGAATGAAGGAACCGTCCTAAGTCATTCTCCAAATAAGGATAAAAGATAGGTAAGATGATGGGTTGAGAAATGTGGATGCCATCTTGCATAGGAAGGTAATGTTCATGTGGAGAGTAACCTTGTTATGGGAGAAGATAAGGCATGGCAAGCCACAGTGAAGGGCTGTGAGCTCTGTGGCCTGAGGGCCACAAGAAGTGCTAGACTCTCAGACTGATAACTGCAGATCTGAGACCGCCATGCCCATGATAATATCTACAGGTTGCTGTTTCTTCTTCTTCTTTGATGCCTCAAAGGGGCTGCTGTACATTTATGGCTGCCATGCTCTGATTTCTTTGTTGATTTTGACTGTGGTTTGAGGATGATCCACTCAGATGGATCAAGCAGTCCTGCCGGGAACAGCCCTTGATCCATCTGAGTGGTCAAAAACACTGGTTCTTAACCTTTGTTACTCAGATGTTTTTGGACTGCAACTCCCAGAAGCCTTCACCATCAGCTCTCTCTCTCTCTCTCTCTCAAAATTTAGTAACACCACTCTGAGCAATCCACCACTGGAGAAAGGTGTCTTACTATAATTACACAATTCTTGTCTTTTCTTAGCATCTGGGGAATATAAACAGTACATAACAGCTGAATCTTAAGCATTCACACAAGCAATTCCTTGATTACAAGGAAATGCACAACTCTATTTTTACAAAAGTCCCCAAACCCACCCATCTTAGCCCCAACTCACCACGACGGAGGCATCCCTTGTTGTATTCTCTGGGATGGTGACTTCATAACTGTCTTTTTCCCACTGAGGGGGCTGGTTTTTTGCACTAGTGATGGTGACTCGAAGTTCAACTTTAGTGCTCCTGTTCCCACCATCCATTGCTGTGATTTCCTGAATTATAAAGGATTTCTACTTGGGGAAAGAGAAGGATTGCTTCAGCTGAAAATGTAATGAGTTGAAAACAGTAAAAAGAACAGACTGCTTACCTGTCACTGCGGGTCTGAAAGTGGTCCTCTGTGAGTTCACACCTGCTGTAAGGGTTAGTCCTGCCTATGTGCAGAGTGTCTCAGAGTGGGACTGTTTTGGCACTCACTAGTAGGAGTAAATGCACAGGACTCCCACCTCTCCCTCAGTTCCAAGAATGCACTGAGAAAGAGCACCACCCATGCAGATGGACGTGCCAGGGGCATAATGGGCTGGTGGTGGGGAACGAGGTGGGCCATGCACAGGCACCGATGACCACTTGAAGAACCACAGATAAGCAACCCGCTCTTCTTTGTGGCGGCCTCTGTGCATCATACCTGAGCTTCAGACTCTAGGAGCAGCTGCTAAGGAAGCAGTTATTGCCTCCATTATGAACAAAACACCTTCCCTGAAAAATGCTGGCTGAAGGAAGACATCAATGACAAAATACCTTGCAGATGAATCCTGCTCCATAAGTGTGCAAAACTGTGTACAACGGAAACTGTGTTGTTAACATGCATAGTGCCTTTATCTCTATTGAGACCCTTACAGATACACTGGAACTTTTTTCAATAGCCACTGGGAGGGGTATGCATGTGTCTACACATATGGAGGGGGGAGGAGATTTGTCTCTGCAGCCCAGTCCTGGCAAGGCCACAGGACTGGCCTGCAGTCTGGGGGTTGGGGACCCCTGATCTAGTTGACTCCAATTTATGGTCTCCTATATAGTGAGTGTAGGGATGTAATGGTGCTGCAGGTTAAACTGCAAAGCCTCTGGGCTGCAAGGTCAAAAGATCAGCAGTTCTAATCCACGCGACGGAGGGAACTCCCGTCGCTTGTCCCAGCTCCTGCCAACCTCGTAGTTCAAAAGCATGTAAAATGCGAGTAGATAAATAGGTGCCACCACGGTGGGAAGGTAATGGTGTTCCATGTCTAGTGGCACTGGCCACGTGACCACAGAACCTGTCTACGGACAAATGCTGTCTCTATGGCTTGGAAATGGGGATGAGCACCGCCCCTTAGAGTCAGACACGACAGGACAATCTGTCAAGGGGACCCGTTACTTTTACCTTTACCTAGTGAGTATTCAGAAGTTGTTTATTAATCTCTTCTTCGGGGGGTGCAGTGGGACTGTGCAGCTTGCCCAAGGCTCCTGGGAGACACAGTACAGAATCAAACTCCCAGCCTCTGGCTCTGCCACCTAACTCATAGGGCTATCCAGCCAGCCTACACACCCTTAAATAAATGACATAGCTTTCCTTGACACAGAAAAACAGCTCCTGTTATGAAAGCAGAGAAATATTATTGGGAGACCAACAGCCCAAGATGATTGTCTAGCTAAAGCCACCCGACTCTTTTGCAGCTTCTTATGATCAGGTTTAGAGCCTGGAATTCTGTTTGCCATTCTTGAAAAACCAAATTAATTTGTTACTGTTAATACTGCTTAACAATATTGCCAATGTTAATACTGAAAATGTTCTATTTGTTATCTTAATAAAATAACAGATGGTTTAAGCAGAGAGCTTATTCCATGGAAAAGCTTTTAAGTCTGCAAACCAGAACTCACTGCACTGCAAAACTTTCCCAGCTCTTTAATAGATTCTTATTTCCAGTCACAAATTCCTGACTGCTGATCATGACAGAAGAAGACATATAAAAGGCAAATGAACTTCCTATTTTTAATGCCCAAACTTTAGCAAACATGGACCTCATTAAGTCATAAGCAAAATGTTAAATTATTTCCCCTCAGGATTCAAAGAACCCTCAATGAATTAACATAAAAATTATTTTAAATGCATTATTTACAAGCTGTGGTCAGAATCTTATCTTTCTAACCCTTGGTTAGCAACTATCAGTTCCCTCCATGAATTTTTTCCCCAAAAAGCCTGTGCTTCGTACGTGCCATTCTGTAAGCAATTTCTTAGCAGGGCAAATAGAAGAAGCCTCCCCAAAAACCCAGAACAACCATCCTCCCCGAAAAGTTGAAAAGCACCGTGAGTACACTCAGCTGTTCTCTGGGCAATGGTATGCAGCCAGCCAATCCTTCACTTCCAGAAGCATTGCGCTGGACACTTGCTTAAATTGTGCAGTGCTCTGATATGGATAAAGAAAGAAAGCAGGGCGAATCATTTTTGCATGGTTTTTCTATTCACAGAATGTTTCCGAGATTTCTACTGGATCTCTAAAACTTGAGTTTTCTTCAAAGCTTTAAGTTAAAAAAAAATTAAAGGAACTCTGTCCCCTCTCTCATGGATAGAACCTGCCAACAGTGCTTCTCATCTCTTTACTCTTCAGCCTATACAGAAATCAGTATGACATGACTGTTCTGTATGACTTTATCCTTGTGGGAATAATTCATTGAGAAGAAGCAGGCCCGCAGGCAGTAAAGAACAATTAGAGTGACAATAATGTGTACAAGAAGAGAATTTGAGCCATCAAACCACATGCTTCTGAAACCTGGAATCTTGCTACATCTGCTTTCATTTGACATCTGGCTAAAGGCAGAAGGCAAGCTGCAACATACCTGCAATAGGGGTTGGCTGACATAAACCCAGCCTGTGGTAGGATTGACCTGGAAATATTTCATTTTTCCATTCACGATTGAATATGTAACAGAAGCATTTGAACCATAGTCATCATCATTGGCTGCAACACGAAGAAAGCTCGTTCCCACGTCTGTGTCTTCCCTTAGGAAATCTAGGAAAACAGAATTGACACTAGCCATTATTAATTCAATGGCACAATAAAATGTAACTAAATGTTCTCAGAATTGGTGCAACTTATGGCTAATACTGTGTATGCCCTTTACTTCCTATACTTCTTCCACTGTTGGTTTAAAATATAAGAAGGGAAGCAAAAACCTGTCCCTCGTGCTGAGGAAGCGTGTTCCACTGTCAAGCAGCTTGCACCATGAACACATCTTCCTAGCAGTCACTTGAAAACGTTTGTCATCCAATTTGAATCCAATGGTTAGGGAGCAGCAGACCACAAATGTGCTTTATAACCTGTGTGGGCAACTTCAAATGTTTGTACGTCCTAGATCTGAGAAAGCATGGAAAGCTGAAATGAGTTCCGGCAGCACAATGCTGGATTTAGGCCATTATACTCTAGATGTTCAATAAGCCACAAAATCCAACTTGTCTTTATCTCCTCCTCTTTTTTTGACTACTATCCCAACTACTGAAGATGTCTGAGAGCCAGCTGAGGCTCTGACGCATCCTGACCTTTCCTAACCAAGGGATGCTGGAAATTATTTAGGACAAATCTCGCCTCATCCTAACGTTCTGCCTTTGTTCCAGGTTTGGAGTTGATTTGTATCTGATGTTAATTTGGTTCTTCCCTTTTTCTACCTCTTTTTTTGATTTTCTTGTTAAGCGATCTTAACTTGCAGAGTTGCTCAGCTGGCAGATCCCTCTATTGACACATCTATGAGATCAAGGCATCTCAAGGCATTTCTGCTACCCTAAGGGCTTTCTGCAAATCCAACAGCCAGTATAATTTGGGTCAGGATTACTCTGCTTCCCCACCCCTCTTTAGGCACTATTTGAGCACTGTTTTGTTTATCTAGTTGTAGTATTTTTATTACATGTTTTCCAAGAAGGCCAACATAAGAAAACAACATACAAAGAAGTTTTAAAAGAGCAAAAGCACTTTTTAAACCCCTGAAAGAAGCTACTGTATTTTTCGCTCTATAAGACACCGTTTCCCCCTTTAAAAAGTGGGGGGGGGAATTCTGTGGGTCTTATGGATAGGTTTGGGAATTTGGCTTGTTCATCAGTACTAACTTCTATAAGAGAACTTCAGATACCAATATTTCAGAATATTTGTTATGGTTTCAAGCTTTGTATATATGTAGTGAGCATATTTGGAGAAGAAAGAAAGGAGGCGTTATGGAAGTTCCAGTTAATTTGCTATAGAAATAACTACCGTATTTTTTGCTCCATAAGACACACTTTTTCCCCCCAAAAAAAGTCGGGGGGAAAAGTGTATGCGTCTTATGGAGTGAAATCGCCACCTTCAGGGACTCTTTTAAGGCTTGGGAAGCTTCAGAAGAGTCCCTGAAGGTGGCAATTTCGCCCCCTCTGGCCCCCGGGGGCGGGCAGGGTGAGCCTCCAAAGGGTCCTAGGATGTGTTCCATAAGATGGACCTCTCATTAAGGCTCACCAAATTTTTAGGAGAAGAAAACAGATTATTATTTTCCTGTTTTCTTCTCCTAAAATTTGGTGCGTCTTATGGAGAGGTGCGTCTTATGGCGCGAAAAATACAGTAATATAAGTGAAGTTATAAAAAGAAAGTGCTTAAAAGTTCCAAACTCAAAAAATCTCTGCAAATCTTAGAAGTCTGAAAAAGAAGAATATTTCTACCTGGCATTCCAGATTGACAGTTTGAAGGAGAGCCTGAACTGGGATAACATCTAGTTTTCACATTAAAGATTTTATCTTTATTTACCTTGTGTCAGTTACCACTCGCCATGGCCAAAGTGAGGCCAGACAGCAAGTAGTGTCCTCATTCTTTCAAATCACTGCATAATACCCAAAGCCAGACAAACTTTTATTTCAAACTCTGAGGCAGAAAAATCCCACAAAAGTGCCTCTCTCCATCCCTGTCAGTAAAAATATAAGAAGTAACCATTTGCTGTGTTTTCATACTGTCAATCTGCACTAATCAACGTAACAAACCAGTCCTTCATTACATGACTTCGTTTCCCCCCAATTTAAAGAAAGAAAGATTCCTCAATGAAGAAAAATAAATACAAAAACCAGAAGTACAAACAAAAAACTTAGACCTCAGGTAAGCTCACACTCAAGCAACTGAAACGCTATCCAATGAGTCGGAATTACATTCATAGTGAGTGTTTTCAAATCGGGGGCTGTTATCGTTCACATCCAAGATGACAACGTTGATCTGGCAGATTCCAATGAGAGGCTCTGCTGCCTGGTCTGTTGCGGTCACTGTAATAGGATGCTCTTTCTGCTTTTCTCGGTCAAATATCTGAAGTGTTGTCAAGACACCTGGAAACAAGATCACAAACAGAAATAATTTAATTCAGCACATTTCGCCAAGGACTGAGATGTACAAAAATAAAAACTGGTTCTCTGCTGCTTTTGTTTTACATCTGGTGAAAAGTGAAAACAGAACAAACATCCAGCCAATCAATTAGGCACAAAGATGCTGTCTACTCACCAGGAACTGAGCAGTAGCTCCTTCAGGAAAAGAAAAGATTGCCAAGACAAACATGAAACGACTTGAACACACAGAAAGCAAAGGACGTAAGAACATTCATTACAAAATAAGAAATAAATACATCCAGAATTCCAAAATCACAAAATACTTTTATTAGGACCATCCACCAACCTTATGAGATACTAAATACTAACTTCAGTATTCACAGAAAAGCTCTCCTTGGGAAACTTACAATGAAAGCATAACAATACAATAAAGCTAGAATGAAAGGCAAAAGCTTAATGAATAAAACAGCAGCATAGTTTTAAATTTTAAAGAGTCAATTTAAAAGCCAGTGAAGATGAGGCCCAAAGTATTTTCCCAAGGAGTGAATTTCACAGCTATGGAGCCATTACCAAAAAGGCTTCATCTTTCAAATCAACCAGTGTAACAGATTACAACAGCAGATGTGTGTGCAGCATATCCACAGATGATTTCAAGGCATGAGGCAGGCAGTGCAAGTGGCCTGTAACATCCAGTTTAGCAGAGAAATTCTGGAGAGTTCAGAAGCTTATTTATTATTTTGTGATTTTCAGACTAGTTCTACTAACGGTTATCACTTGACTTAGACTTGATCATTATTAACAAACAGTGTGCATACCGTATACGCTGGTGCTAATCATAAAGCCACAAGTCAAACGTTCCTTTTACCTGTGTCAGGGTGAATGTTAAATGCAGGGAGGGTACCATCTCTGTGCATCAGGCCATATTTCACTCTGCCATTTGATCCTTCATCTGCATCTGTAGCCTCCACTTGTAATACGAATGTTCCCACTGGCTGATTCTCCAAGACAGATGCTTGTTCGCGATAATCCTGGCACTAGCAAATCAATGAATTAAATTAATAAATTACACAAACTATTTTTAAATACAACATAAAATACTTGATGTCTGATGGCTCCCACTGAAACCCAAAGTGCAGAAGAAGAAGTGGGAATTCACTCAACAAATGAGATAGTAGCTAAAATAACATGCTCTTCTAAAAACCATAATTCAACCCGAAAAGGAAAACTGTGTGTCAATCAGCCAACAACAACAACCAAAAAAAAAACACACACACACAAAAGGATGAAAGGGACCTTTGCAGAAACAAAAGGAAGGAGAACCTCGGGGTGCCTGAAGTACTGTTTATTTCATCTTTCATTGATTCCTCGCTTGTCAAAAAAGTATTTGAAGAGTACAGAACATGTTACTGTGTTTTACAAGTGACCCTGAAAATTTTGTTTAAAATGCCTTAGGACCAAATAAATACTGTTTTGTGCATACTGTGATGTCCCCTCCCCACTTCTGTCTCTCAAAAGAACTACCAGGCATATAACACAGCAGGTGGAATGCAGGTGTCTCAGAAGAGAAGTCATAATAAGATTCCTACAACAAGTCAAGCACTGCAGTCGTATCCTGCAGCTGTTCGAGCCACAATGAACGTCTCATGTCCTTTTTGGGGGGAAACGCACAGTATAAATAATTAAATTAAAATGTAAATGAATGAAGAAGTGATTTTTCTAAGTTTATTGGAAGGGAACTCATGTTACAAAATCCTCTTCGCTTTTTGCTAATCATAAATAATTATGCGCTGCTACGTCAGTTCTGACAATTATCAGTTCTTTCCAGGGTTTTCTAGGAATACTCAGAAGTGATTCACCATTTCCTTCTTCTTCCAAATTAGTTAGAAGTGAGACACACGGAGAGGAATTGAGCCAGACACCCAACACATGCTAAAACCTTTCTTGCCAATGCACTTCCAATTCCTTCAAAACTCCACACCTCTGCCTGAAGGCTCCTGCTGTCTCCAATCCCCAAAACAAAACAAATGAGGGTTGGGAACGATTGTACCTCAAACTATAAGGAGGTTTTAAGACAGGGAGGGAAGGGAAGGGACTCTCTCCATTTCATAGCATTCCATGGCACCTCTAGGAATTTGAGCATATACTAAATATTTCTATCTGTGTGTGCCATTCAAAACTTGATAAAGGACCAGGTTGTGGCTCATAAGAGCCTCCCCCTTTTCCTCTTGGAGGCCCCTAATTTTAAAAATAGGATTAGGAGAAATGTTCTCTGTTTTCAAGACTGCAAGATAGGTACATTGAGGAAATTATCTGCCCTTTTCCTACCAACGTAACTCAGGCTTTCTTGCTTATAAAATCGCTCTGATACATGGTTTGGAAAGAAAGATGTTAGCTTTCCTGATGAGTGAATTCTAGTTAATTTCATGACTCTTCATTAACAGCCTCTCATTACTGAACTTGTCTCTCTCTTCGCCCCTTGAGCCGTAACTAAAGCTCTAAAGGAGGTTAATTTAAAAAACAACACACCTCTGTTATATTTTTAAAAATCTTACTCTTAATTTTATTTATTCTGCATTCAGCTTGGTTTTATATACTTTGGTCACTTAGAATACATTAAACAGACCTAAAGGTCCACCTCGTGTGAGGGAGAAGGTGCGTCTGCTCACTGTTACTTGGTCCTTCACATCAGATGTTTCCTAAGATTTTTTTTAAGGCACTGGCAGTAGCAATAAATATGAAGCAAAATTAAATTTTAAAAAAGAGATAAATAAAACTGGAACATCTTTTTAAAAAACCCAGATACAGTGCGCTGCTGGAACAGTACAAAATCTTTGGCAGGAAAAGGGTTTAATGAATAAATTGTGTTCCTATTGCGGCACTCTTGTGCTCCTGACAAATTACTGAAAATCGAACTTTCTTGGCCAAATAACTAGGAAGGCAAAGAGCAACAGAGAACAGAAATGAATTTTTTTTTCCTCCAGATATTGTTGGGGTACAACTGCCATCAGCCCTAGCCACTACAGCCAGAAGTGAGGGATCTTGGGAAATGCAGTGCAACCACATCTGGAAGGACATCTGGCCCCTATCCCTACGCAGAAGATAAGGAGGAAGTCAGAGATGACTACGAAATGGATCAGATCTCTGTGTGCCAACTGGACTCGGGGTCAGACAGGGTTCTGCAGTACTCAGTGCTCTAAAAAGAACGACAACAGCACTAAAGAATACAACCATCCCTTCGAGGATGCTCCAAAGTCATATCAGCTATTTCTAACCATAGATTACTATTTTTAAAAAGGTTAATTTTTTTGCAGTAAGTTATTTGCTAGGAAGTCAAGCAATAATGTACTCATGCCCTTTGAAAACATGGATGCAATTCTGTACAGCAACCACATAACATTCACAAGTGGCTTTTGAATTGTCTCTCAACTCACTTCACATGTGCACTCTATAATAAAATGGAGGATCATCTGCAGAGGTTTGAGGTTCTGAAAGGCAGATTATTTACCTTCTGAAAGACAGGCTTGTTGTTATTGACATCATCTACATGCACCAGAAGCAGAACAGTGCTCATGAGAGAGTGGGGCCCTTCAGAGGCATTGTCATCTGTAGCTGTAATATTTAGCACATATTCTGTCCCTTGCAGTTTAGGAGGTGGGCTTGAACGAAGGCGAATTAACCCTGTAAAAACATTTAAAAGAGAGGTCAGTAATGGTGTGTTACTGTATTATTAGGCACCCTTGCCCTCCCCCTGCAAGAAGTGGAAAGTTCCCAGGGTGTAGGTAGGGGTTGGCCAGGTTGGGTTCTCAAAGAAGGTCAGTGAACTGATTACGGTTTTGTAAGAGCCCGTGTGAGTTAACTGTTTAAGCACTGAACAAGGACTCGAGATATGGGTTCAGATCCTCACTCAGTCAAGAAGCTCATTGAGTACCCTCAAACTAGTCATGCTCTCTCAGCAGACCACAGGACTGCATGAGGAGAAAGCAAGGAGAAAGCAGCAATCCTTGAAGAAAAGATGCAAGATAAAAATGTTAACTAAATAAAATAACTGTTATTATGGATTAAATAAAATAAAAAATAAATAAACAAGACACACTTTTATTGACAAATAGACAAGTGAAGCATAGAAGAACAAATAAACCAAAGCCCATCGCTCTCATTTCATTTCCTGAAGGAAGGGGTTCCCAGATATCACTGGACTTTCCCTCACAGAAACCTAACCAGTAGAGCCTATGGTCCATAATCTTATCAATCATCATTGGAAATCCAAGAGTGGAAGCCACTGCTCTAGGGATACAGCCAACACCTCAAAACCCTATCAGTTTATTAAGCTGAAACATTCAGCTGTCTGCTGTGTCGCAATCCCCGACTGATGAAAACAATTCCTCCATCACATAGAGGCAAAGAAAGTTGTTTGTAGTTGTACCTGTGACTGACCGATTATATGTAACTCAATGGAGTCTTGTGCAGGGCTATGTACAGAATAGTCTAGAGTTGAGTAGCTAATCACACCTCCACTGCGCATGTCCAAGCGCATCTCAGCAAAGGATTCTTGGTTCCAAGCCTGCTGTCCAAAAAAAATCAAAAAAATCCTAGGAACAAAGTATCAAAGGAAGTAGACAACGGAAGGGTTGCCAGTTTGTATACGCTTATATGTAACTCAATGGAGTCTTGTGCAGAGCTATGTACAGAATATTCTAGAATTGAGTAGCTAACCACACCACCACTGCGCATGTCCAAGTGCATCTCAGCAAAGGTTCCTTGGTTCCAAGCCTGCTGTCCAAAAAAATTAAAAATAAAATCCTAGGAACAAAGCATCAAAGGAAGTAGACAGTGGGAGGGTTGCCAATTTGTATACGTCCAACCCAAGAACCACAGTTAGGAGAGGAGCAAGCTACTCTTATTTTTTGTGGTCTTTGATTCATATACATGGGTAAAAAGCAAATTTACATACCAGAACAGAGCCAGCATCAAGCAAAAACTGTTCAAAGGCATGTGCTGAACAGGTAAACCAAACAGCACTAAAAACAACTTAATCAATCACATTACTGCAGAGCCATAACCGATCAGGCAGGCAAGGAGGACTCAGAATATAGGAATTGTCTAGTTACCTCCCAGAGAGGGTTTACTTAAAAATTAAACAAATAGCAAGCTTTCATGGATGAAATCTACTTCCCCAGGATCTAAACACATCCCCTTCATAGATGGTGCAAAAAAAATTGCCCAGAATTTGATGTTACATTTCTGGGTGAGATGATCAGTTCTTCTTGTGAGGCTAAGATCTACTGTCTCTATAGCAAGATTTGGCATCGTTTACAACCTGGCTCTTTGTTTCAAGTAAGCAATGTGAATGGGTGGGGGTGGTAATCCTAGTGTAATTTGCAGACTTTTCATCTCAAGAGCCACTTCCTTTGAGATCAAGGACTCCAATATAACATGGTTCCCTTTCCCCCAGAGTTCCCCTTTCTGCCACCCGCCCACCCAGTCATCTCTACTCAGGTGAATCAAGTCAAGGATAACTAATCCTCTAATCTCTTCCTTCAGTTTTTGTAGGGGAAAATTATCACCAACACAAGCTAGAAATTTCTTAGAAGGGCTACGTTTGGCAGTATTTGCCTCCCATCAGATATCACGGGAACTGAAGTCTTCCATTTACTTTGTGTCTCTTTGAAATTCTTGCAATTGATTTTTCAAAGATTTAATCCACATCTTCTCCAAAATAAAATTCTGTTCCAGTTCTGGAATCTGCTTCCATTTTCATTTGTATTTGGGTCAGGGGAGAAGTAGTTTGAAGAAACCCCATACAGATTAAATGCCATCAACTTAAGCTTTATACTACCAATATTTTAAGGGAAAACAAAGAGACCTATTGATGCCATTATCTTAGGTTCCCATTTTAAATAAAATGAAAGATTTGCCACTATCATCTAAAATCCACCACCAAAAAAACAGGCAAACCATTTTGCTCCAGCGCATTGCATCTGTGATGGAGGGGTGTTTTTTTTGATGGGGAAGAGCTTAAGTTAAGACTCTGAGTGGGACAGAACTCATCCAAGGCTTACTTCAATAGCAGCACACTATATTTACTCTTTATTTAAAGCTTATTGCATTTTGACATCCTCCCATTAATAAAGGAAGAAAGCTGACAGAAGCCTTGAAGAGTCTCTGCTCCACAGAGCCTTGCAGAAAGTTGGAGGCCATATAACGGCTGGCAAATGAAAAAGTGTACGGATAAGAAAAAAGGGTTATTTTAGAAAGCAAATCAGACATCAAGCCTTTGAAAAGCTGTAGTGAGCAGATGTCACCCTTGCATGCAGTAACACCATCCCATCATGTCTATTATTTATCCGCAGTAATAAAATGTGTCATTTGTAAATGGACCATTGTAGAGATGACAAGTGCCACTCACTTCACTTGTAAATGTCTGTGCTGCTTTTCTTTTGACATGTGTTTTAGCCTCACCTTGACATTCTGGGATTTCGGGCACTTTTACTGACAGCGCCATTTTAATATAAAACTGCCCAAGGATACAGCACAGATTGGTGGAGCTGCAGTAATGATTGAATCAAATCCACAGCTCTTAAAGAAGAAAGAGGAAAAACTGTGCTGTCGTCATCTGCATAAAAGCTGAAGAAACCAAGAACAACAAGCGCAACCCTAAACTGACAACCAAGAATTCCTTTCAGTAAAAGAACTAGGTTAATCTTTTTCCAGCTACAACTCCAAAGCAAGCATATGGTACCTTGATTTATCATGGCATGAGCTTCCACAGTTTTGAACCTATTTCTACAGAATGCATTTCTTCACCAAATCAGATAATTTCGTTTTTCTTTAAATCCAAGTTTATTAATTTTTAAAAAACACAATGATAAGGAACGACACCTTTCCTCCATCTCTTTTGTGGGGAAAACATTTGCTAGATGTTCAAAACAGAATCTGAACATTCAGCTGTATCTGTAACAATTAAACCACCAAGCAAATTGTATGTTATATTTAGCAACAAGCCATCAAGTTCTTTCACAGTGGTCTTCTTTAAATTAAAAAGGCTCTCTTTAGCTATTTAGTTTCATAGTGAATGCTAATCCAGATAATAAAACCATAACAGAAGCTCCAAAGTTATGAGGAGAAGTAATAAACACAAGGAATTCTGGTTTACATATGCTGCAACTACAGGGCAGATAGAAAATTCCTAGCTAGAAATTTCAAAAATACATCTTTAACTATATATTTATATATTACACTTGGAAAGAGCTGGAACAGATGCATATTATGGGGAGAGCACATTTATGGCAATCCTGCAGCATCTGGAGGACTAAAAGCTACCCAACTGCCCCTTATGGAGGTCTCCACAGTGGAAAGAGCTGGTAATATTTTCATAGTTAATTGTTTATATTTTGTGTAAACTGCCCAGAGTAGACATGTTCTAGATGGGCAGTATATAAGTTTAATGAAATAAATAATAAAAACAGCTAGGGCTTGGGAGACTGGATGTTGCTGCTGCACACGGACACAGGAGCCCAGAGGAACACGGGGAATGACCAAAGAGCAGTTCCCAGCTTTCCCTAGACGGCAGCAGCCACTGATCCTGGACACCCTTTCCATGATCCTTTCCCATGGTTCCTGGCACCTAGGCATGTGATGGTGAATCCAAACTCTGTGGTTTCCATGATACTTTCTTCTTTCCCTGCCCCAAATGCCATCAGGTTTGCTCAGGAAAGAGGAATGACAAGGGTTTTTTTAAAGGAAGCCCCCAAACCACCACTATTTCCAAGCAGATATCGATTCTCAAAGAGTGAGAATTTAATCTGACGTGGTTTCAGGTCTCTTGCTAGAGAAACAGGGATAGACCAAATCACTCATCACTAAAGCAATTTCTACTTGGTGGAACTGCAGCAGCTAAATGGCTTAACGCTACTGGTACAGTTTATATCACTGGCAATTCTATCTTAACACCTGTGGTATTATGAAGACAATTAAGGATCTATAACACAATGAAAGCCATAAAGTGGTATGGAAGTTGCCATTTACTAAGGATACTTAATGCCAACCCCTTGCATAATCTTTTGATGGTATCTCTTTCTGGCTTTCAAAATACATTTAGATCTGAAGCATTAATATTGCAAAAGCACAATTTACATGGACATTAATTTTTCATCATAAGTGAACCCCTAAGACAGATCAAATGAGAGGAGGAAGACAGATCTATGGCATCTTATTTACTTGTGATTAGCTTCCTGACTCGGGAGAGCACACATGAAACCAGGGTGCTTTAAAAAGAAAGTGACTGGAGTTAAATTAGGTGAAGTCATCAGAGTGAGTTCAAATAAAAACTACTGCATACTTATTTCTAGATTAACATTTTCTCTTTGTTTTTCCCCCAATCGAAAAGGGTTGTGCTCTGTTTAAAATTAGTATTTTATATGGGATAAAGAAATAGATGAAATAAACTAAATAATGGTATTGCACTGGTGGGCTGGCTTCAACACCTAGGCACCCATTACATCGTCATTTAAATAGTAAGATCTTTAACCGGCCAAACATCATGGGAATCTGTGCTGGATACCAGCAAGACAGCATCATATATATGTAATCGAACGGAACAAGGTTTGGGAAGTTGGAAAGTTCTTCTAACTTTATTCCTGAAAACACGGGGCATGGAAATGATATGGGCATAGGAGTAGATCCAAAAATCCACTTTCAGTGGTGGAAAGGCCATTTTCATACCATGCACTATAATGCAGCTGAGAATAAGCAATTCCCAGCTAAGACTGTACCATTTCCTTCCCCCTCAGCATGACAAGCACCGTTCTAGACTTGAAGAACACTGACTTCGAAATTAACGGCCAAACAGCTCGAGAAACCTACAACAACCATCGGATCCCAGCCGTGAAAGCCTTTGACAATACAAATCCACAACACTTTCAAGTACATTTTCCCAGGGCTATTTCCATTATATTTTGCACTCCCAGTGTTCTTCAAGTCTAGAACAGGGCTTGTTTTTACTCAGCATTTCCTTAAGAGCTGGAAGAGGGGCAAAGATGACAGAACAGCTTAACTGTGAAATATATGATAGATGTCGCGGATCTGACGACTTGTTGAAAGGGCAACATAACATAACCTTAAGCATTGCCACAGAAGACTGACCTCCTCAATAAGGAAAACACTCCTGAAAAATAAAGGCTGTAGAACATTATCAAGTGCCTAAGATACCAAGGGCTGGAGACACAAAACGTAGCTTTGAGCTCTTTAAGGACTGGCAAAGTATGAATCAGATTAATTTTAATAATGACAAGCAACCACAGCAACAGCTGTCTCACCAAGGACAGTGTTGTTACAATTGTCTAACTTCTTCCAGTGACCGGCAGTTGCAGGGGACTTGCAAAGCCGATGGAAGCAAAGAAAATGCCCCCCCACTCTAGCAGATTTCTGGGTAAACAGAAAATGACAGCTGTTTGCTACCAGGAGGAGTGACACCATGAAACAGGCAAGGTTGGAAAGGGAAGTACATGAAGGACCTTTCATTACATATGCCAACTTCAAGCTGAAAAATCTTCCTAAAGAACCTTCACCTCAACCTCATAAGAAAAACAACATGTTGTCAAAACTACATGCTTGTAATATCAAACTCTCTCAGCGTCAGAATTGGCCAGGAAAAAAAGAATTTTCTCCAAGTGATTAAACTGCATGCACATCCAACCATTCCTCAGTGGAGTTTACAACAACCCTCATAGTTCTCATCCCACTCATTTCCACAATAATTCTGTCATGCAGGTAAGATCGAAAGAAGAACTGATTGACTGTGTGAGGTTGGTGGCTAAGTTAGGAATCAGAATTTGGTTCTCTCTGATTTTGTTCTTATAAAATCTCTATACCACACGGGCTCTAGTTTTATCCCATTTGCACTGTCAAGTCTGCCATCTTCCTGCTTTCTTTCCAGGGAATTGCAAGCAAAATGGAACCAACAGCAATAGAAAAACTCTTCAAATTCAATCATAGAATACTTGAGTCGAAAGGGGCCTATAAGGCCATCGAGTCCAACCCCCTGCTTAATGCAGGACTCCAAGTCAAAAGCAAAAGCAAAAAAAAAAAAAAAAAAAAAAACAACCCAGCAACAACAACCACTACCACCACCAAATTGTGCTGCTTATATATCGCCCCATAGTGGTTCAAGCACTCTCTGGGTGGTTTGCAAGTTAATTATGCAGGATACACATTGCCCCCCTCCCCCTGTGAGCTGGGTACTCCTTTTACCAATCTCAGAAAGATAGAAGGCTCAGTCAATCTTGAGCCAGCTCCCTAGGATTGAACTCTGGGTCGTGAGCACATTTTTGGCTGCAGTACAGCACTTTAACCACTGTGCCACGAGGCGCTTCGAAGCAGATCTGACAGATGGTTGTCCAGTTTTCTCTTGAATGCCTCCAATACACCATTACACAGATGAGCAACTTCCAACATGAAAGAACTCAAATACCAGGACAAAGTGAACACTTACAAACTCATTTATTTAAAGGCATGGAAAATCAAGAGGTGTGTTGGACATATATGCCAACCTACCACTAGTCATACCCAATAAGTTAAGACTTTGGATTTAAAATAGACATGTCATTACCTTTCTGAGAATCGATAATAAAATTCCCCTTTTGATTCCCTCCAGTAATACAATAAGAAACACCATCTCCATCGGGATCAATAGCGTGTACTGCTGCTATCAATGTGTTGGGACCTGCATCTTCAGAAACGAAACTCCTGTAGCTGCCAAACATATAAGGTGAGATGAGGTTACCGGTACAGATTAAAGGGAATTCAAATATGAGTGCTAGACGTAATTGAAAGAAATCTCTGAGACAATGACTATCTTTCTGCCCAGCAGCAACAAAAGACCACTAAGCCCATCACTAGAGATAGGCACAAATTACCAAACTGGCAGTTTGTGCTGATTCGTTTTTTTGGCCAAACAGGTGTTCAGCATTTCCCAGCTCTGCCTCCTCTGGCAGGCACCCACTCAGAGGCAGTGCCTGGAGGAGGCAGGGCAGGGAAACCAGGGCACTGCCTCTAAGTGGGCACCTGCCAGAGGAGGCAGGTTTGGGAAGCACCAAACGCCTGTTTGGCCAAAAAACAAACCAAAGCAAAACACTAGTTCAACAGTTCATGCCCATCTCTACAAGCACCAAACACCTGTTTGGCCAAAAAAAAAAAACAACCCAAAGCAAAACACTAGTTCAGCAGTTCATGCCCATCTCTATCCATCATAGAAACAAGAGAGCCTGCTAAAAAGGGAGCATAGCTTGATGGCCATTTGTCATCTCCTTGTCTCCATTTGTGCCTGAAAATAAAGGCTTGATGCACAGGAGTGCAGTCCTACAAGGAATCAGAATAAACTGATTTTACCTTCATGGTAAAAGACCATTATCTTCTGGTTTCAATATGGGTTTGCTCTGAGTACTACTGAGGTCGTATATGGAAACTATTTACATGTGCAAAAAAAAATTAAGACATATCTTGTGTGTTGAAATAAAACTAACATGTAAAATGAATAGCTACAGAAACATCATGCTATTTCATAGCATAAAATGCTTTCTCTGTAAGTATTATGCTGCGTTTGAAGAAACTATAAAGAATGCACAGCAAGAGAGCCAACACCTTTTAACTGACTAATTAAAAATTGAAAATGCTACAAAATGCTACCAAAACATTTGACCTCTTCAGTTCTGCAACTCTGGCCTTAGGGAAACAACCCGGGTCTTAAGAGATACGGTAATTTATCACTTCCACATGGTGGTCATCATAAAGCTTGGATACAAAAAAGAAGGACTGGAACTAAGTGAGGAGAAGAAGACTGGAAAGATTTCGGAGTAGCAATTATACAACCATGACAGCAATAAAGTACTCTCAATTCCAATCACACTACAAGTTATACAAATGAAATGAAGGAATCTTTGTTTGGAAAGAATGTGAGCCCAGCTGAGTTCTGGTATTCAGAATATATTCTTTGGCTCAATTTTTTTTAATTCTAAGCATATGTCTATTTACACTGGGTGGTGTTTGGTGGATGTTAGGGTTCTGGTTAAAAAAAAACCCCAAAAAACAGCCAAGAATATTTCACAAAAATAAACTCTGTCATCCCTGGTGGATAGAACTTTTGCATTACAGCACAGGGCTAAACCTCTCTCAATTTTAAGTCCAGTAGCTTATAACATAATATAAAACTAGACAATACATTTATCATGTCCCCCCCCCCGAAGTGCTCCCTAAGTGGTAGAAAACATCTGTTCGTCATAAGATGTGATTTTCTTCACCTATATATCTTGCATTTAGCATGTTTTGTTTTGTGATTGATCTCAGAGAAGCCAAAAGTGCTCAGTTTTGAAGTCTGGTTGCTGAAGAAATCCTGTTGTGAGGGGTGAAAGGGGATAATCATTGGGAATATGCCTTCTTGCAGTATTTAATTTCACCCTCACACCCTTCTTGAAGTTGCAATCAGTTCCCACCCACCCTGCCTTCAGGAAGATAAATGTGATCTTTTAAATAGTTTTTATTTTTTACAATGTGTTAACAGCAGAGATGGGGGTATTTGTAAGCTAGTTCAATTCGTAGGCTAGTTCAATTAACCCCAAGAATGACTGAGCATGCTCAGCATATTGTATGAGATGCTGACAGTTACTGGGAGGGAGTCAGAAAACTGGGTGGGGAAATAGAACGGAATATTCTGGAAAAATGCAGGGCTGGCTGACTGGAATTTTAAACAGGCACTAAAATACTTCATTTTTGCAAATAAGCCTTTACTTTAAAGTGCTTTATAATGTTCAAAACACTTTGCCTGCATTCCGGGAAGGATTTTATCCTCAGAGACAGCTCAGATTGTAGAATCCACTCCCTGAGGAACTACAACTGATCTCCATTCTCTGAGCTTTTAGAAAAGGTGTCAAAACACATGTTCTAACTTGGGCTTTAAAAAACTGCTTTCAGTGGCAGTAATTTTGTTTTCATGATTTGAAGGATGTTTTGTTGTTCCTTTACATGTTTTATGATGTTGCTGTCTTTCTTATTTCCATTTTTTTGCACACTGCTTTGGAAAGGATGTAAATATCATAAATAAATAAAATGAGATTTTAAATTAATAACAAATAAATCTTTAAAAACTTTACAATACTTATGTAAGATTCTATACTGCTATATTTGTTTTACTATTAGGAAACTCAGGGTGAGGACAAGCAGCTTTGCATGAAAAAAATCATTTAAAAGAATTTAAACAAGATATTTACAAGTCTACTTAATGACAATAGGTAAAGGTTCCCCTTGACATTTAGTCCAGTCATGTCTGACTCTAAGGCATGGTACTCCCCCTCGTCTCCAAGCCATAGAGCCAGTGTTTGTCTGAAGAAAGTTTCCGTGGTAACGTGGCCAATGCGACTAGACACGGAACGCCATTACCTTCCCACCAAGGTGGTCCCTATTTATCTACTCGCATTTACATGCTTTCGAACCACTAGGGTGGCAGGAGCTGGGACAAGCGACGGGAGCTCACTCCGTTGCGTGGATTCGATCTTACAACTGCTTGTCTTCTGACCTTGCAGCACAGAGGCTTCTGTGGTGTAACCCACAGTGCCACCACGTCCCTCTTAATGACAATAGCTCTTTCTTATTATTTTGACTTCACTGCTAGCACCACTAGGAATACTGGACAAAAAGCCACCCACAACATTAATATCTGCAGCTCTAATATATACTTACACCGGTTGTGAAAACCTGGGTGGTTCATCATTGACATTTGAAATACGGATCCTGGCCATTGCAGTTCCAGTCCTTGGTGGTTCTCCTTTATCAACAGCCATTATTACAAACTCATAAAGGTGATTAGGACGTTCATAGTCCAGCTCTGCTGTTGGGAAGATAGTGCCTTGGGCAGAAATTCTGAAATCAGGGCTCAGAGTGTAATATTGTATTTCTGCATTTTCTTCAGAATCGCAATCACTGGCTGACACTGTTAAGACAAAGTAGGATGGAGAGCTTTGACTGTCCAAATGGCAATTGCAAGACAGTTTATTTCTTATTTTATCTGTTACATATATATCGCACTTCCCTCCAATGTGCCCAAGGTATCATAGATGGTTCTCTTCCTCCTCCCCCCCACTTTACTCCTGCAACAAACCCAATGAGTTTGCTCAGTCTGTAGTATGGCCTGGATTTTGGCTGGACTGTCTTCCATCTTAAGTCTTAAGATCAAGCTAGAGAGAGCAAATAAAACTTTGCTTTGACTCAAGCTTACTTGTTGCCTGCAAACCGCTGCCTCCCACTGTTGATTCATTCCCCCACTGCCTCTCCCCATTCTACCCTGCCATACATGGAAGGTTTAAAAAAGCCAGAACTTCCTTTTGCCACAATACACACCATCACAAGAGAAACACCATCACAAGCAGAGCGAGCCACAGTCTCTAGATGAGGTCGGTTCCCAACCTTGGGCAAGCCAGGTGTGCTTGGACTTCAACTCCCAGAAACCCCAGCCAGCAGAGCTGGTGGTGAAGGCTTCTGGGAACTGCAGTCCAAGAACACCTGGGGGAACCCAAGGTAGGGAACCACTGCTCTGGATCAAGGGGCTGGCTCTCTGCAGCAGTGGCTCCTTTTCTTGATATGTTTCAAGGGAAGGTCCTTGAAATCAAAGCATGACAGGGTCACCTGCAACACCTTTTCACTTACTATACCACTTACAGCTCTGTCCCATAACCAGCGACATCTTTGCCTTGACTACTTTTACATCTTCCCTGTGACCATGGAACAACATTCAGAAGATCTTTGCTCAGGTGGACCACATATGAGAGAAAGATATAGACTCTCCCCCCCCTCTGAAAACAAGAAGGCTAACCTTGCAGAAGTGCAGTTGCTGGAGTTACCGATTCAGGAACATTGTCTTTGGTGTAGATGGACTGCTGGAATTCTGGGGCACAGTCATTGACATCTGTGATTACAACCCAAATCTGAAAGGACAAGGTGGCAAAGCATTTAATAGGAACAAAGTGGGTCACCAAAGTGTTTCCAATGTTTAGCACGTTTGATGCTAAGAAATGCCTCAGGAATTGTTGAAAAAAAGTAGTAGGGGTTCAAAAAAAATTATAAAGGCTTGAAATAAAAACAGATATTTCGCCTAAAATAAGTAAAGTATCTCCTTTTCACCAGAACCACATCTCAAAACACTGAGATACTGAAACTCCATGAGCATCTAAAACAGTGTTTCCCAGCCTGTTTTCCAAAGGGGTCATGGGTCACTTTATATGTGTTTTCAAATAATTTCTTCCATGACCTTTCATAGCCAGATATTAAAGTGAGTGTGCATATGTATGTATGAGAAATACACCCTTTGGGAGAGAAAGATATCTCTACTTTCTGAGAAGGGATGACTTTACCCCATCAAAAATGCCTTTTCACACAAAAGTGGTGGTGGTGGGTGTCACAAGTTAATAGGCTGTTATGAAAGGGGGTTGCAAGTCGAAAAAGTTTGAGAACCACTGATCTAGCTCATGCATGCTATCCCAGGAAGATTTTTACAGTACTCTTGGGAGCCCCCACACAAATGTTTTTATCCTTTTTAAAAATGGTCATTTTTTAAGTGACCTTTGCCTTCTGAGGAACTTGGAACTGAGGAATTTTGCCCTGTTTCAACCTAGTGACCCAGAAGAGTCCCCACAACCGGATTACATTAATCCAGCACCCCATCGCCTTCCAGACTTAGGCCCTGGTCACATGAGGGGTAAGTTCTTTAGTCATTTCCCCAGATAGCTTGTTGCTTTTTTTCATAGTCACATGACGCAGAGACAGGATTGAGACATTTTCTCAGCCAGCAGTATAATTGCAGAACATTTCCACATTGCCAGGAGAGTTGTGTGATTTTGCACCTTTGTTGTACTGGGACATTTCGTACCGGGATTGCCTGTGTGCACAACCTGCCCTTGTTCTTTCCAGAATTGAAGCCAAGAAGGTGGCCGCCACTACTGTGGCACACACATTATTTTTTAAAAAGGTTTCGTGCCCACTACGTACATCAAGATGTTGGTAAAAGTATGTCACCGGGCGAGAGGGCTCAGTCATTACACTGCTGGTGAGTAATAATTTCTTTTTATTCTATGGGAAGATACACTGAAATGTTGGAATGCTAATTTCACTGAGGGGGTGATCGCCAGTACTGCTGCGTGGATGTCCCATGTCTATTGTGTGCAATGCATTTTTGCAGGCACAGCCAGTGTTTCCGTTTCAGGAGCAGCCAGTGCAACAGAGGAATGGTCTATTGTGTGCAATGCATTTTTGCAGGCGCAGCCAGTGTTTCAGTTTCAGGAGCAGCCAGTGCAACAGAACCCCCTTCCCGATCAACGTTCCCTTGAATTTCTAGCCCCTGCATGCAAGTCCACTCCAGAACCCCCTTCCCAATCAACGTTCCCTCGAATTTCCAGCCCCTGTATGTGAGTCCGCTGCCCCCCCATGAGGGATTCTGTTGCTACCAGAATGAAAGGGGCTGGAAACGATCGCTTGTGCACTGTGGGTGCACAAGCAAAGAGGAAAGCTATCTGGAGGGGGAGCCAAGCCAAGCACACTTGCACAGTCACAGACCTTAGAAAGAGCCTTGTTTCTGATTGGTATATGTATCGATAAATATTGTTTTTCAAATATACAGCGGTACCTTGACTTACAAACGTCTCCACCTGCGAACGTTTCGAGTTATGAACAGCTCCGTTCGCAAAATGTTGCTTCAACTTGCGAATGGAGCCTCAACTTGCGAACGAAAAAAAACTTTCCTGCCCTTTTTTGACCTAAGTTCATCTTAGGTCAAAAGAAGAAAAAATTTAAAACAAATTCCTGGCCTCGACTTGTGAATGAAAAAAACCTTTCTTGCCCTTAAAAAAATTTCCTGCTAGTGGTAGAGTACGGATTACCGGCTTTGCATTAGTTCCTATGGGAAGTAATGCCTCTACTTACGAACAGCTCCTTGACATACAAATGAAAAACAGCTTGAATGGATTAAATGGTTTTCAGTACATTCCTATGGGAAATCTTGCCTTGACTTAGGAACTTTTCAACGTACGAACACCATTCCAATACGGATTAAGTTCTTAAGTTGAGGTACCACTGTATATATATAAATATTAAGGGGCTAAATTGCCCCTTGAAGCAAGAGAGAAAATAAACCGGTACCATGGTGTAGCCGGCCATCATGATTCAAATAGGAGGAAACAAATCGGTACAGCTAAATGTTCTAGGGACGTTCGTCCTGGGATATAAACCACGTTACCACGATTCAGTGCAGCAAAGGTATAGAAAGGATCAGAAGAACTAGAAAACACTTCCCTCATGTGACCAGAGAGCCTCATTCGATCCCCGGTTCATATCATTTCTATCCAGCAGGTGGAATGTTGCCGCCCAACACATCTGGAGGGAAACAAGCTAGGGGAAGCTGAACTGAATAGCAGAATACAACAACATTGGGGCAGCTTCTTTCCTTTCCAGTAATTTGCACTGTACTGGAGTAGGCGTAATTCTGGGGTGGTGGGGATGGTGAGGGAGCTGGAATCCTGGGGAAAAGAGAAGAAGGTCCTCTCCAGTAGCCTCTCCTTCCCTTCAAGATGACACTTTTTTTTCCTCTGCAAGGGAAGATCCAGGTGCAGCTGCATCTCGGGAGAGGCCCAAAGGTGTGCGGTCAGTAAGGAGCGCTCACCTCCACCGTACTGCTGAGCTGCCCTGGGTCTTCCCTCGCCTGGGCCACAAGGAGATACTGGTGTTGTTCATTCTCGTAATCCACATTTCGGCTGAGGTAGATGTCGCCTGTTGCCTGGTTAATGGCAAACAACCCGTTTGGATTCATGACAAGGCTGTAGCTCAGCGACTTGTTTTGATGTGAGAAAGCAGACACCGTCAAGAACCTGGAGAAAGAAAAAAGGAAAGTTTCCATCACACCCCAGTTAGACCAAGAGACCCGGGACGAAGGCATGAAGCTGTGGAGACACTTTACAACATTGAACATTTTATGTAATATATTTAAAATATATGAAACATTTAAAAATATTCAGTGATATTCAAACCACAGTTAAGATATACGTGTGTTTCTGTGTCTGTGTTTCTTAAAAAATTTTTTTAAAAAGACAGAGATAGAAATATGTAGATAAGAGCTTTGCTAAATTTCATTATTTTGTTATTTATTCATTACTTACATTTACATCCTGCAATTCCTTTAATAATAATAATAATAATAACAACAACAACAACAACAGCAGCAGCAGCAGCAGCAGCAGCAGTCATGTACCACCAAATCCACCTCATGAGAGAAGACTCCATGGAAAGACCCTGATGTTGGGAAAGTGTGACGGCAAGAGGAGAAGAGGATGACAGAGGATGAGATGGTTGGACAGTGTCATTGAAGTGACAAACATGAATTTGACCCAACTCCGGGAGGCCGTGGAAGACAGGAGGGCCTGGCGTGCTCTCGTCCATGGGGCCACAAAGAGTTGGACACGACTTAATGACTAAACAACAACCGCCACCAAATCAATTATGACTTACGGTGACCATTTTCAATGTCTTCTCGGTACAGAACACTCAGAAATGGTTCACCATTCTTTTCTTCTGGGGGCTGTGCAGCTTGCCCAATGAAGGGGAGAGCTATTTATATCCCCTTAAGCTCATTTAAGCTGGCTGGCTAGCTCAATAATTTAGGTCTCTGGCTGCAGAGCCAGAGGTTGGGAGTCTGATTCCCCACTGTGCCTTGTGCCATTTGCAAAAGGAGAAAAAGTCACTGGGGCACTGCTTCCCAGAAAAAGCACTGTGGTAAGAGAGAGAGGGAGAAAGCAGCTTCACCTCATTCTATTTATCTACTATAAGCTGCAACTCTATAGGTGTCCAATGTGACCTTAGGCAGCCTGGTTCTCACTAAGAGAGAAGTCAGAGGTGTGTGCCTTTAGGACTACACTTGCAGTCATGCCTGTTGCCTTTGAAAGATGGGCATGAACTGAAAAACTGACGGATCTGGCTGAGTTAATGGTTTGTGGCTAGCCACAAGCCACAAACCACCATGTACTCCCAGAAAAATGGATCGGTTCACGTCTCATTTTTCCAGTATGTGCCGGGGGGGGGGACACACCTGCTCCTGCCCCCTTCCCACTGCCCCATCACTTCCTTATCTGATCCTGCCGCCACCACCTCTGCCGCCCTCCTCAGAGGCAGCAGGCCTGGTCTCCCTTCACAGAGCCCGCCTGCAGAAGGTGGGCTTACTCTTTTGCCAAATAGAACCAAGTGCTAAGAGGGAAAAAGTTCGTTGCTTCATTTCACGTCGGTAAATCAGGTTCCCTGAACTGGTTCGCAAAACGAACCACAAACCAGCCCAATTTATCAGTTTTTCTGGTTCACGATTCGGTTCATGCCCATCTCTACACAGGATTAATTGTTTTAAAAAGTAGTGTGTTATGATTTGTTCAAACTGCAGACTTCAATAGTTTTTCCATTATTTCTTTCACCTATCTCTCTCTCTCTTTTTTAACACACAGTATCCTGTCAGGGACCTCCAATATGCAGATGATACCACTCTGATGGCAGAAAGTGAGGAGGAATTAAGGAACCTTGTAATGAGGATGAAAGAGGAGAGTGCAAAAATGGTCTGAGAGGATCAAAGAGGAGAGTGCAAAAACGGTCTGAAGCTCAACATCAAAAAAACTAACGTCAGGGCCACTGGTCCCATCACCTCCTAGCAAATAAAAGGGGAAGAGATGGAGGCAGTGACAGATTTTACTTTCTTGGGCTCCCTCGCCACTGCAGATGGAGACAGCAGCCATGAAATTAAAAGACACCTGCTTCTTGGGAGGAAAGCGATGACAAACCTTGACAGCATCTTAAAAAGCAGAGACATCACCTTGCCGACAAAGGTCCGCATAGTCAAAGCTATGGTTTTTCCAGTAGCGATGTATGGAAGTGAGAGCTGGACCATAAAGAAGAGTGACCGCTGAAGAATTGGTGCCTTTGAATTGTGGTGCTTGAGGAGGCTCTTGAGAGCCCCCTGGACTGCAAGGAGAATGTAGCTATCACTGGAAGGCCAGATCCTGAAGCTGAGGCTCCAATACTTTGGCCATCTCATGAGATGAGAAGACTCCCTGGAAAAGACCCTGATGTTGGGAAAATGTGAGGGCAAGAGGAGAAGGGTATGACAGAGGACGAGGTGGATGGACAGGGTCATCGAAGTGACCAACATGAATTCGACCCAACTCCGGGAGGTAGTGGAAGACAGGAGGGCCTGGCAAGCTAAGCGACTAAACGCGACTAAACGACTAAACAACAACAACAACATCCTGTCAGGGAAAAGGACAGCAAAGGTGCACAGCACCATTGAATTGGGTATTCTGGAGGGAATTACTACTGCCGCTAGGAAGGGAATGACGTTGCTGACTAACCACGCCAAACAGGCATGATAAAACATCCAAAGCCCATAAAAATTTGGGGTGCCTGAATATGGTCAAAATGTCAGAAATAAGAAATAAAAAGTAATACCATATTTTCCCCCAGTGTGACAATGTTACAAGAGTAAGCTAATCAACAGAAACAATGGCACCGTATCACAAGCACTGTATTCTCATAACTTTCAAAAAGTACAGGGAGATCCTCATATCCACAAGGAACAGGTTCCAAGTGCACTCAGCCCTACAGACACATGAAACTGTGGATAGCAGCAAAACCTGCCTTCTAAATTCACATGACAAGCAAGCGGGCAGAAGACAAGGAACTTCAAAACAGCTGCCGGGGGGGGGGGGCTGCTGCTCCCTGGCCTGAAGAGGCAGATGGGGAAGACAAGGAAGGGGCTGCCCTTCATTTCAGACTGTGGTCAATCAACTGCGTAACTGGAACTCTGGATATGGGGGTCCTACAATATTTTTAAGAGTATTTAAGTATTTTTACAGGAATTTTTCAAGCCGTGCCTTTCTCTTATCCTAAGGACTATGGTCCAAAAGAAAAAGATAAGAAAACATATTGACTTTTTTCAACATCTAGAGCAACAGCAACAACAGGTCACTTTCCAAATATGGTAAGTTAATAGAATGATTTTTAAAAAATAACCTTTCAAAAGCCATGTTAAAAGGCCACAAATACATCAATGATCTTCTTGCACAAGATTTCCACTATCTTTTTTAGTGGTTGTGACCCTGTGTACTAAACATAAGACTGGCCACCATGGGTCTGGTGCATACAGTCACACAAGACTGCATTTCTGGCTGGCGAGAGGCTGCAAAAAACATGTTTTATTGATTTCAAAACAGCAGCTCCAAAACCTACTGTTCTTAGATCACAGGCCAAGTAAATCAGATAGTAAACCGTTTACGTTTAATCCGATTACACAGGCACTAAATGATGACAGATTGTCAGATCAGCTTCAAAGTTCAACAAAGTCTCATAGACTGTAATGGGTCAAGCCCTACATCTAGTACGATTATAATATTCGATAGCCTGAAAAACAGGGTAAGTGGCTACATAATGTATATCACATGACATAAACAATAGCTAGAATTTTACTAGTTAGATTGCACAGTGCAAGTGCAATGTGTAAACAAAGACTCATTAATTGCTAATGGTTAAAGAGTTGCTAGTTGTACCCCTCATTACAACCAACTCTACAAGTGTCAACCTGATAACTAGCAGCAATTTCTCACTTATGCCAGCATAATTAACCAATGAGAGTATGGTCAACAACTATCATCCATCCCTCTCTCTTAATGGTTACGAACATCACCAATCTAATTTCCAACTAAAAGATGTCACTCATCTGAAGGATTGTTCCTGGGCAAACTTTAGCAAAATTAGCACATATTAGGAAGCAGTGTGACAGAAACGATTATTTGTTTTAATTCAGTGAAATAAGGGCATCCAGGAATGTACAGCTGCAACCTGATTTTATCAAGCAGATTGCAAGGTCAAAGACAGGGACAATTTCAGCAAAAAGCAATTCAATTAGTAGGGTACAAGAGGCAGTTTCAGCATGAGGGGGAAGTGTAACTTCCCTTAGAATTTGGCACTCTTTTCAGCAACTCCAAAACTAACAGTTCCTTCCCCATGATTAGTTCCTTCAGTAAAGTGTTTTCTAGGGAGGCTTGTCCTAAGTCAGCGAAGCATCACAGCAATGAGATAGCAACAGTACTTTGGTGAGTGCAGAGTCTTGACCACTGCTCCTCATATATGGTGTCACTCTGTCGCCACTCTCAGACTCGGCCTCCAAACATTTCATTTGAGAGAAAAACACAGACCTCAGCATGAGTGAGGGTTTTCAGCGCTTTAGGGGGGACCTGACTTGATGGCAAATGTCTACTACTATTAGGGCCCAAAAACATCCCCGAAGTGCAAAATACCAGCTGGGGCTATCTGTCTATATGTTCTCTCTTTATGAACAACCCCCCCCCCATGTGTCTCCTTAGGCCAATCTTTGCTACAATTGCCCGAGAACACCTGAATTTGTAATTGAACTAGCCTACTTCAAACATGGGAAAGAGTGATAGCAGGAGGAGAAGGGGACGACAGAGGACGAGATGGTTGGACAGTGTCACCAAAGCAACCAACATGAATCTGACCCAACTCCGGGAGGCAGTAGAAGATAGGAGGGCCTGGCGTGCTCTGGTCCATGGGGTCACGAAGAGTTGGACACAACTTAACGACTAAACAACAACAACTTCAAACATACACTCTTAGAGCTTCTGGTCTTGGAATTTTACTTTTAATTAAACAACTAAACTCCCTGTAGATACTCACGGTTCATCCACTGGCATATTTTCAGGAACATAAACAGAGTATGATGTGTTAGCAAACTGTGGCACTCGGCGGCCAGCCAACACAAAAACAGAGGCAGGGGACCCTTGGCGACCAGGTTTGTCAGCAGCTAGCACAGTTAGTAAATACTCCCTCTCCTTCACCAAAGGTAGGCCTGTTGTTTTAATCCATCCAGTGTCCTTTTCCACCTCAAATCTATCTTCTCCACCTAAAAAAAATGAAATTTAAAAATGGAAACTGGGATTAATGAAACAACATGCCTATTAGGCAATAGATCGTATGGTTTCCCCCTAAGGGGATGCCCCACACTCCTGAAGGGACATCTCTGGAGAGAAGCCTGTTGTAAATCTGTATGGTCCTACTGTGATTTATTTATTTTTTATTTATTTTTTATTTAGATTTATTTAGATTTAGAATCCAAGTTACATGGGTGGAGCAAGTTCTGCACTACAGTCATGCCCCCAAAGGATGATTGACAAGAAAAATAGCAGAGGTGAGACCTGCAGGCAGAGCCTCACCCTTCCACAGTTCTTCATCACTTTAGGGGTGACATCTGAAAATGTTGCTCAGAAACTGGGCTGTAATTCCCATAAATTCCCACTACAGTGGTGCCTCGCTTAACGAGCGCACCATTTAACGATGAATCCGCATAGCGACCCGTTTTTTGGGGTCACTAATGCGATCGCATTGCAATGTTTAGATAGGCTAAACATCGCATTGCGATCATTTCTGCACCCGGCGGCCATTTTGGAAACAGCTGATCGGCGGTTCCAAAATGGCCGCCGGGTGCAGAAAATGGCCGCCCACACCATTTTCGCGCCCTGCCCTCGCTTACCAGGCAGCGAAAATGGCGGCCGGATCCAGGATTCTTCGCTTACCGGTGAGTTTTTCCCTAATAGGAACACATTAAACGGAGTTTAATGCGTTCCTATGGGTTTTCCCCGCCCGGATAGCGAAGAATCCGGATAGCAATGTTAATCCTGGAACGGATTAACGTCGCTGTGCGGGGCACCACTGTATTGGCCATGCTGGGTGAGAATGGTGAGATCCGTAGGGCAAAATATCAAGATGCCCCAAGGTTCTCCTAGCTCTCTTCAAGACCAATATTGTCTCGGACAGAGTTGTCTTCTTAATCACCTGTATACGGGATCCCTTTCACCCAGGACGCCAGGGCTTTTACCTGCTGCACGAAAAACAGGCACCCTATTCACAGTTCTGTGGCCCTTCTACTCAGTGAATTTGACTGAATTTTATTCAGAATGGTATTTTAGAAATAATTGCAGAAAGCCAAGCACAGAGTAAGGCACAAGAACTACAACCAATACAGGGTATAGATACATATACATAATCCATCATAGTTGTGCTAATCTGTGCAAGTATATCAGAGAGAGAGAGAGACTAACTACTATACTTTAGTGTGAGCTTTCATGGATCAAGTCTACTTCCTCAGAGGGAAACTATATGACTGTCATGTTTCTACTTATTTACACATAGTCATGGGGCCATATAGTTTAATGTCTGAGGAAGTGGACTTGACCCACAGAAGTTCACATTAAAATACAGCAGTTCATCTCCCACAAGGTTTCTCTCTCTCCTTTGGTCAAATGCACCATCTGTGTTTTCAAGAGCTCTCCTTACCATCCATAAGAAAATATTCAATGGCTCCATTTTCTGCTTCATCTTGATCTTCAGCCATCAGTTTGTACACTCTGGTGCCTGCCACAGCTTTTGGTGAAACTGTGGTTAAGTAGGGGAACGGTTTCATGGCCCATTCCGGAACATTGTCATTTACATCCGTCACAGTAAGTTCTAAATGCACCAGGTACCAATTCTTTCCTGTTGGATAACAAGAGGGAAAAGAAAAGGATCTTTTAGCAGGAATAAACAGCTTTTCTGGGGCAACAAAAATAACTCGGCTATTACGAAATTAAAATGTAGAGATTACTGTTTCATTTCAGTTGTTTTGATATAATGTCATTGTTACATACTGTCAAGTTGGAACTGACTCATAGAGATTCTAATAGGGTTTGCAAGGAAAGTGAGATATTTAAGGAGTGGCTTTACTAATTCCACTCACCCACTCAGTTTCCATGGCTGGGACAGGATTCAAATCTCCAGTCTATCATTTTACCCACTACACCACACTGGGAACTGATGTGATCTATTAAGTGTCTTTAATTATACAAGTAAGCATTTTTTAAAAAAAAATGGTTATTATTATTATTTTGTAAAACCAATGTTTTAAAAACATTCACTATTTTATTTGACTGATTAGTCACTGAAACCTGATGCTCAGTGAAATGTAAACTACCAATCAGCATTGTCTTTGGACAAAGGTACAAACATGGATTTAATCAGGGATACTTCCGCAATTCCAGAGTGACCATGGAGCACAACAAGGAGATGTTTTTCACCCCAGAATTGAGCAACACCAGAAAAAAGCATTTGCGTTCCATTCAATGACCACAAGATTAAAAACAAGGCCAGCAACTGGAATGGAAGAAAAAGGAAACGGTCAGTAATACGGTAAATGGAGCTGCTAGTGCCAGAAGAAGCAGCAAGAGATGGTTGAACCTCCCATTAAAGCCCTTGGCCCCTACAACCACTGAGACACCAGGGAAGGCTCAAGACTGAGGTTACCACACAGAAGGATATATATATATATATACCCTGGGACTATCCATTTAGTGGAGCATCAGGGCAAAAAGAACGTCTTAGGTCACTGATTGAACAGCCCTTACGCAATCTGGAGGACACTGAAAAATTACACCATTAGGAGTGAATGTGAATGTAGAACAAGGAGGGATGTACTGTAGGACCCCCATGGGTTCCAAGCCCCTACAGATACAGAAAACCATGGAGAGAAAAATATTTTCACATGCATTTCTAGAACTGGCCACTAATAGGCACCATGGACAACGCTATGTATTCTTCACTAACAAGTAATCCTAGAATGGTCTCTGACTCCATCCATTGGCCTCTTCTGGAAATACACGTGAAAACAATTTTTTCTGGATTTTTCTTTCTTTTAGTATTTTTTAATATTTTCAGACCATGAAAAAGTGAAACCATGGATACTGATCCCATAGATATAGGTGTTGAGTGAACAGGTCACACGATCTGGCCACTATGTAGGCCACATGGCCACAGATTTTTGTATCATCTGCCCCCCCTCCCCATTTGCAGTCCCCCCCTTTCTAAACTGAGTTCTGAAAGCACACAAATGTCATAGGCCTGGGGATGGGACAAAGCAGAAAGTAGCCTAAAGTATACAGGGCAGGGAAGTCCCGATCGGTGTGCCTTTAATCTGGGGACAGAGTGACTCCAGGGCTGAGGCACTGCCTGCCCATGTCTGAGAGCCGTCCCACGTCATATTGGGCCACAAAGCGAGTGCCCTTGGTAGGCCTTCTTTGATGTGTATAAGAGTCTCTAGACGGCTACGCTATACGAGAGTCATTCCACCCTCCTCAGAGTCTTCTACATGCTGTCTGGGACACGACAGGAACAACCGAACAGTCACTTACAGTGCTCTGAGAAAAATGAAATATTAACCACCACCATCTTTAGAGCTCAGGCTTCCTAAAATGTGAGAGAACGGGCAGACCTACAGCACAGTACGTAGGTCCCACTGGGGCTGCAGCAGGAACCTGAGAACGCTGCATGTGGTGCTGGAATACTCTCACGTACATTTTCTTTAATTCCTGCATGTCAGAGAGGCTAGGCTAGAATTCTTCCTCCTGACACACTGCCTTCCTATGTAGAATTATTATTTTTTTACGGTTCAGAAATTCAGACACACGAACCCCTATGTTTCAGCGGGCAGCACATCAGCCGCTGAGTTGAGTCCAAGCCTCTGAACCTGAGCAACCCAGGTCAGGTTCTCTGGCATTCCGCCTTCTCTGATACAAGGAATAACCCTTGCAATTGCTGAGGGAATCAGAGGTGGCCTAGTGTACAGGTTACAAACGTGAAGGTGCTCTCCTCCTTTTTTCAGTGTGTTGGCATCTGGGATGCACTAGTTGTACCATATATTTTTTTCTTGTTGTTATGTGTCATCAAGTCAGAACCAGCTTATTGGTGCTCTCCTCCTTTTTTCAGTGTGTTGGTATCTGGGATGCACTAGTTGTACCATATTTTTTTCTTGTTGTTATTTGTTATCAAGTCAGAACCAGCTTATTGCAACCGTAATATGGCTTTCAAGGTAAGTGAGAGATTTAAAGAGTGGTTTTACCAGTTCCATACCCCCCCGTAAGCTTCCATGGCTGAGCAGGGGATTTGTACCTAGATTTTCTGAGTCCATGCCCATTGCTTTCTATCCATTACACCCACACTGGGTATTCTTATGGCATATTTCAGGTACCTGTTAAATCCGTTTCTTTACTCTTGTTTTTTTTTTTCTTTTGTCTGACTGCACTGATCAGTCTGAGAAGTGCATTGAAAGTCTGTTTCTAAAGAATTCAAGTGGTGGTCATTTCACTGCTTGTTTGCCCATGTTCTTTTAAAGTGTGTTTATTTTTTGTATGCCACTTCAAAATATTGCTTTGAATATGGTAAGTGATACACAAATACATAAATTGATCAAAGAAGCTTTTCGTAATGCAATCCAGAAGCAGTTTCTCCATTTCAGGACCCCAGATGTATCTATCTCAGTGATGTGAACATTCCTACTAAATGTGTGCAGAATTGAATTTCTACACTAAATTCCCAGACTTCCCTGGGAGTTGTAGCCCAAGAAATCTACACATCCCTGTTTCTTACAATTCATAAAAATAAAAATTAGTCAAAGCCTCTGAGGATGCCAGATGTTATTTTTTTTATGCTCAGTTTAACTCCTACAATGCTCAGTATGCCAGTTCAAGGGTTCCACTGCAGTCACTCTCATTGCTTCAAAAATGGCTTGATGCAGACAACAAAAGAGCATCTAAACATTACAAGTGGTATATGGAGCACTAATCCAAACAAACGAGCTTTGGTGCTCTCCACGAGGAGGCTGCGGGGCTCACATTTGGCCTCAGTTTAACACAAAATTGCTAGACTAGTTTCTGCACCTACTACCACCCTAAAATTATGTCTCAGTGCATTTAAAGTTTGCTATTGTAAAAAATATTCCAAATCAAAAATGTTCAAAATTGTTGCTGCATTCTAGAGTAATGATGTGCGATTACTTGTACTATACAGAAATAGCACTCAAAGGGCACATAAAAGAACATGCTGTTAAGAGAACAATCAAGTGCACAGAGCACTCTAAATATAAACCTTTGTCACATATACTTATCTCCTAAACAGTATAATCTTCTTCTGGTACTATAATATCCCTGAAGCACCTTTTAGGGCAAGCTGTATAATTGTACCCACTTGCTTTCCTTCTTCACTAACTTTTATACTGCTTGGTGAGGGAGGGGGTCTAATAATCTTAGCACTTCTTACTTACTTCGTATAGAGCCATTTTATCTTATCTCTTTTTTATCCATCAGACACCTATGTGCTGTGGAGTACGATCAAGATTGTTGGGGTATCACATGGCAAAGTAACGAGTTTAACGTGTACTACCATAATCTGCAGTCTATAAACAACCAGTAAGTGGATTTTGGTAAGGAAAATTCCATGGCACAGTGATTAACTATTCCAAGTCTATGTTTCTTAGTATAGACTCAATAGTCTTAACCTTTTATATCCCTTAAGTACATTGTGTCCTTCCTAAAAATAAATACAATTCCACTGTTGCATGCAGAACAACAGGAATTCTGACACAGCTCATTGAAATAAAATCAAACATAGAAGTGCAAGTTTAAATTTTCCTAATCTAGGTTACAATCCTATTTCTAGTTCAGAATCATATTTCAAATCCTCATCGGTGAACTGCAAAGTACTTTTTCACTGGAAGTCAAGAACAAAAATCATAAACTAAGAAAAGTGTAGGGACGTCACATTCTTTCACACTCTTCAATAATGCTTTTTCTAAGATTCTGAGGAAAGGATTTGCAATGTGTTTGAGGGTCTCTCTTTCTCTTGAAAACACAAGATGTAAACCTGTATTTCCTAGGGACTCACCATGAACTGTGGCTTACTTCATGCTACTCTTTAACCAACAAGATGTGGCACAGTGAATCACATAAGTGCACTTTGGGATGTCTGGCTTCCTATCACACTTCAAGTCCGTCTTCTTGGTGTGTGTGTGTTCTGTTTTACCGTAATGACCTCTTCACATACATATGCTCCTAGTGGGGGTCACCATCTCCGCAAGTGTAACCCCCCTTCCCAACCAGATCCTCATTCGCACCAGGCTCTTTGCCTCACTTCGCCATCACAGCCTTGACTTCATTATACCACAGCTAAATCCTACTATTTCATGCTTAATCTGAATACACTTGTACGCTTCCAGTAGAAGTCTACTCTTATTCTCCCTCCTTGGCATTGACTTTGTGGACCACCACAATGACACCTCTCTCTCTCTCTCTCTCTCTCTCTCTCGCTCCCTCTCTCTCCCTCCTCACACACACACACACACACACACACACACACACACACACAATATCCTGTGTAAAAAACATTACCAAATCAGAACATATGACTTGAAATCCCAGCACCATGTTCTGGCCTCATTTTATGGTTGACTCACCATGTCCCTTCCATTACACTATGCCTATTATGACATGATAGAGAGGGCGCATGATCCTGTTACTAGAGATGAGCTATTCATACTTGTATCCCACAAGTGCCACAGAGGCCCATTCCCTTCTCCCAAAATTGGCCAGTCCACTTACCGTTTGGTGCACAACGCTCATCATCACACCAATTGCAGAAGGAGCTGAGCCCGTTGTTCCCTTCCTCCCCAC